TAAATATCTTATTTACTTATTAAAAATCTTTAGTCTTAGCCCTTATTAAAGCTATCTTATATATAACTGCCTTTATTTCTCTTAAAAGAGATTTAAATGCCTTTAAAATTAACTTTAAAGACTTACTTTAATGCCTTTTAATTTATCTCTTAAGGTATTTATATTAAAATTAAGCCTTAAGTATAGTCTTTAAAGTCTTTAATATTTAAGGAATTAAGGGTTTAATAATTACCTTAGGGAGTATTAAAGTCTATAGCTATATATTAAGCTTTAAAATTATAACTTTTAAATTAAAAGAAATAAGCCTAGCTTTTTTAAAACCTCTTTTAATATATACTTTAATTATAATTAATTAAAAGATAATATAAAAAGCTAGGAAGAACTTAGTCTTAAAAATATAGATTATAAACCTTTTAATTAGTTATTTTATTTCTTAATTATATACCTTTTTTAATAGGCTAAAGTACTTAATATTAAAGGCCTATAATAAATATAAAAATTAAGGTATTATATAAAGTATAATAATATTATTTTTCTTATAATATATTTAAAAATTAATAAATTAATAACTTTTATAATTATTAAAGATTAGAAGATAATAAGTATTAATTAATTAGTTAAATATATATTAATTAAAGTGCTTTAGCTAGTTAAGGCCTATCTTATTATTATTTAACTATTTTAAGTTATAATAATAGCCTAAGTATTTAAGAACTTACTTTCTTAATATTAATTAATAAGGTAATATTAACTTATAATTATAATAAATAAATTAATAGCCTTGCCTTTTATATTAATTACTTAAATTACTATAACTTATTTCTAATTCTTAAGCTAAATTAATTTTAAGCTTTTATACTTTTTTAAGCTAATAATAATTATATTACTTAATAATTTGTTTTTTTTTTTAATTTTTTTAAGTTTATAAGTTAGCCTTAAAAAGTATATCTAGGTATTTCTAAAATCTAATATAATTTAAATATTTATTACCCCTATAGCTAGTAAAGCGTTATTAAGTTAAATTATTATAGTTAGCTACCTTAATTATAGCCTAAACCTAGCTATATATATACTAGCTAAAAAGCCCTGCTTATTAGCTAGCCCTAACCTTCTTCTTATAACTTACCTAAAAGGATACTATGCTTTAATTACCTATTATACTTTAGTAAGTTATCCGACCTGACTTCTAACTGCAACCGCTAATAGCATTATAGCTACACCATTACAATACCTATCTAAAGAAGCCTATAGCTACCTAATAAGGCCTTTTATATTAAAATGCCTAACCTAATCCCTTATTTTATAGCAGCTCTTAAAGACTATAAATATAAAGATAAGCTTTATATTATAATAATAGAGATTAGAAAGACTTAAGATAAAGAGGATAATATTACCTTTATTAAATAAGCTGCTTTAGGTTATAAGGTCTTCTTACTTATATATTATTATTATAAAGAGCTAATAATCTTTAAAGGCTACCTTAAGGAAGAAATTAAGTTATTATAAAAGCTAGAGTAATCCCTTATAATAAGAAGGCTTATAAAGGTAAGTAATAAGGGATTTATTAAAAACTTTAAATTAAGGACTTTAGTTAAAAACCTATATAAATATTAGCTTAATAATATAAAAAAATAATTAATAAAGTTAATAAAGGCTATAAAGCTAATTAATAGTTAATAATAAGCTAGTTATAGTTTTAAATTATAAGAGTATAATTAAGATAAGGGAGATAGTATATTATAATATTTAAGATAAAAGCGGGGTAATTATAAGGTTTTATAAAAGATATATATTAAGTTTTATATAAGTTTAATTACTTAAAGTTAAAGACTTTAAGTTATAAATTTAATATTAGTAGTAAAAAGAGAATTAAATAAGTTATAAAATAAATTATATAACTAAATAAGCAAATTAGCTATAATATTAATATACTATTAATATAAATAGAGGCTATTTAATAATATACTTCTTATAAAGCTAGTCTTATTAAAGTTTTAGATATTATTTAATTAAATGTTATATTTTATAATTATATTTTTTATAAGCCTAAATTAATTAAAAATAATAATTAAATATTTATATTTAGCCCTTTAATAATTATATTTCCTTTAAAAATAAGTCTTAAGCTTTAATTATTACTTAATAAAATTAATAGCCTAGTACTTACTAACTAGTAAAATATTTTAATTAATAAGTAATTAATTTATTATTTCTTTATTATTATATTATTAAGAAGGAAATCCTTATAAATTTAGGTTAAGGATATATTAAATTATAATTTATTCCTTTAAATTATATAGTTTTTACTATTTTAAAACCTAATTATTATATACTTATCTATTTTATATATATATTATATATATTATTTTATATTAGTTTTATATAGCTATATTATATATAGTTAAGAAAGTAATATAGTAATATTAAACTAAATAAATTCCTTAATATAATAAAAATTATTTTATATTAATAGCTTTAATTCTAGTTAAATACTATATAAATACAATTAAGCATTTTATATAAAGAAACTATTTTTTTACTTGCTAATAGGTAGGTGCTGCCAGTAGGTGGGTACTGCATGGTATTCTAATTGGTCACTTTACTCCTTATCTCCAAACGCAACCGCGTGCTCAAATGCCCATTCTCGAATAGCATTAAAGTTACGACACAGTGCAACGTGCTAAAGTCAGGCCAGTGGCTGTCATAACCGTCATAATACTTAAATGCAAAGACGCCTGTATTACTCTGGCACATCAAGTTCGTTCTCAAAATCTCAATACAGTAATCTAAACAATATATTAGTCTGAATAAGCAATTGTAACGTGTTTAATAAGCAAGCGACGCAGACAAGCGAGTAATGCACTGCACTGTATAACTATAAAATCCCTATTATATAGCATTTTTTTAGTATAAATAAAATAGCTAAAAATCTAAAAGAAATATTTCTTATAATAATATAACTAACTCTATTTTAATATATTTTGTATTAATTTCTAGTTACTTTATTGTATATAAAAACTCTTAAATATATAATATAAATACCTTTTTTATATACTAGCTATATATAATATTTTAAAAAATATAAAAAAAAAATATAATTTATTTTAAGATATATATATATATTAGTAAGATTATAGCTATTTTAGGTTTAGTTTAGATATTTAAATAGTTTTTTAAAAACTAGATTTAATATATATAAGGTAGTGCGCTACTCGCTTAACTGCGTCGCTCGCTTATTAAACACGTTATCCTTACTAAGATATCCTCTTAAGTCCTCCGATTCAACATTAATATCGCCTCCCGTTATAGAGTAATATTCTTTATAAGTTTCTTGTCGAAGCAAGTTGAGACAATGAAGTTGATGGAAAACTTAGATTCCAACATAATAGCCTTCATGACCGGTCTTGGGGTCCTTGACGTTAAGCGAAGCTCAATCAAGACCCAATTTGTCAAGCTTAGCTTGAGAAATCATGTAGTCGCTAACATCGTATATTACGTGATTTTATGCTTTATCAACTTTAGGGCTATATTCGACAATTTCGGTCATTTTCAAGGCTAGAGTGACATTATATCGAACTGAGTGGAAACCGGAAACGCTTTCCGCAGGAGCTATTTGACGTTAACATACGATTGATGGTGGACAAGGTTAGACCTACCTTAGGGAAAGGCTGGTTGAGAGCACGCTCCATTAGTTGAAGGCGTAGCCCGAACTAGTAATGAAAAAACAAAGAAAGTTAATGAAAAAGATAGTAAGGTGCCATGACATATTCAGAATAGATATGGATGTGTTGTGGAATGCGACACAAATGGCGGGCTGTTGGAGTAGATTGGCAGAGGTGAGAGAAGGGCATTCTTTTCGTATGTCTGTTCCTCTTTATTGGGAACTGGTCTATACTTTGGCGACATGGTTGTTTCGGCCCGAATTGATGTGAACTGTTTGAAATTTACGGTTTTGTGAATTTAGATCAAAGAGATAATGTTGAAAAGCAAAAGTGAATTGAGTTCAAGGCGTCGTCAGTGTGTATATACCTGCCTTCAAACTCTTGGCGTTCCAATTGGTCTCTTCGTAATTGGACGGTTATTCGGCTCATAATGACAGTCTTAAAACGCCAAGACGAAACGTAGGATGGTTCGTGCAAGCACCAAATGCGACCTCACAAGGTGCGAAACTCATCCAGACCGCTCACTCAAAACAATATTCCAGTTTTGTGGATTTGGCAGTTTCGCAATCATCTCCAATGCAGAGTGGTTATTAATAAGTATACCGAAATATAGCTCTAGATCTTTGGTGGGGTAATATCTGTAACAGGGGTTTGTAATAATTTCAGGCAATGTGAAGCACTATATGTCGTAGCCGTCAGGGGTCGCCAAATCTAGCCCAATCATGTGATGTGAAACCGGCGAAACTTGTCCGAGCTTCAATTTCCATCAATGACCTATGACCAAAACTTTGGCGCGTTTAACAAACGACCCAGCGTGTTGGCTTTCGGCCGAGACCCGAGTTCATGATAGGCCGTTCTAGCCGTCCCAGCACCACCTTCTCTTATAGTAAGAGACCTATAGTCCGGGGTTAGTATTACTCGTATAGATCGGTTATTTCGGATCTCGACTATGAGTGAGTACGGCAGTTTGGCATCGTTTGCAAAAACTTCAAAACATTTTGGGTCTGGTCTTGGCGCTTGCGTTTGACTACCAATTGAATTACGAATCGAATACGAGAATCTACTCCAAGACCATAGGATCTGGGGAAATGGGGTATTAGCGTAGATGAACATAGTCGAGATGAGAGCGATATAAAGCTTGGCATTTTCATCACAAAATTGTTCTCATCAACCAACTCAACTCACTTCCATTCTTCAACTACTTGAGCTTTGCTTGACGCAACATCTCAAAGTTTCTTTCATCATTACCAGGCTAGTCCTACTTTAATCTACATTACTCCTCTCTTTACCTGCTGGTCAGAACTCATTTCTCATCTTCAACACCTTTTATCCTTCAAGATGTATTTCTCCAACGTTATCGTCTCTGCTCTTGCCGCTCAGGCCCTTGCCCAGGACAACCGAGTCCCTCGTGCTCGCGTTGGACAAGTTGCTGTAAGTTTCTCTTCACAATCTTGATATTATCTAGCTAAGAGCTTGCAAGGCCTTGATTGCTGCTGCTGCTGCTCTTCCAGGAAGCGCACTCCCCGTCTTTGATGCCCTTGAGGCACGAGATGTAAGTTACTTTACTTTTCGCTACCCATTCATCAACTAACAAGGATAACCCCATCATCAGGGTGCCAAGAACAAGGGCGCCAAGGCCAAGGCGGTCAAAGGATGCAAGACCAAGCGAGACGATGAAGAGGAGGAAGACGTCGAGGGACTCGTCGCCCGCCATCACGAGGGAGCCAACGGCAAGGCTGCTGCCAAGGCTACCAACAACTGCAACAAGAATGGCAAGCGAGACGAAGTCGCTGAGGAGGACACCGAAGACGCTGAGGGACTTGAAGCCCGAGACGTCGAGGAAGAATCCGAAGAGGACGCCAGTGAGCTTGCCACCCGAGATGTCGAGAAAGAGGACGCCAGCGAGCTTGTGGCCCGAGCCAAGAAGGCTAAGAAGGCTAAGAAGAGCAAGAAGGGTAAGAAGGGTAAGAAGGGTAAGAAGAGCAAGAAGGGTGCCAAGAAGGGCAAGGAGGCTGGCAAGAAGGCTGGTAGCAACGCCAACACTGGAGCTACCAACGGAGCCAAGACTGTTACCACTGCTTAAGCGTGCACTCGAGACCAGACAAGGACAGGGCAACAGTTGCAAGGATTCCAAGGCCGCTAGTCTTTGGGTTGGGATAGGGTTAAATTAAACTATCTAAGCTATTCTGCTTAAGTAATATCCTTTTATATATTAAAAGTAAAGAGATTTTTAAGAGATATAATAAAGAGGTAAGGAAATAAGGAAAAAGAGGTTAAAGAAAATAAGGAAATATATTATAAAAATAAAAAAGATAGCAGTAATATAAAAAGAGGTCTAGGATCTAGATATAAAATCAAGAAATCTAAAGAAATTTAGGAAAGGTATAAAAGAAAAGATATATAGAAAAATATTAAAAAGATTATAGGTATTTGGGAAAATTAGGAAAATTAGGAAATAAGGGAAAATAAGGCAAATAGGGGTAACCTTCTAAGAGGGATGTCTTTTAGTTAGATCTCGGGCTATAGAGGTCGTTAAGGTCGCCCTAGTCTTTATAAGAGCTAATCCTAGGTATTATTTATAGGTAATTTAAGTTAAATTAGCTAAGAAAATAGGTCGCGGGGTTAAAAAAATTTATGTTTTATTGTTTTGGTTTATATCGGATTGCTAATTAGTGCTATGTTATGTTATATTATATATATTTTTCTTCCGGGGGGCCATTAGCCCTGAAAAGTCTCCTGGGGGAGCACAGGACGTGCTAAGCTAAACTATCTATAATTACTATCATATCTAAATCTACCTAAAATACCTATAATATCTACTTGCATTAACAGAGAGCGCCAGATGCCCTTTCCCCTAAGTAGCACCTGCCCTACTTATAACCAGCCCTATAATAGTTTTAAGCATATTATTTTAAATATTAAAATAGGTAATCCTGGCAAAGTTGTATATAACTGCTATTTTATTTAGTTTATCTAGTATATTATTAGCATAAAGGCATATTACTTTTAAGAGGGCATCTTATTAGCAGGAACGTATCCCGCTCTAGCCTAGAATTCTCTTATATAAATAGATTAAGTAACTTTCTATACCCTAAGGCAGGAAACCTATAACCCCTAACTAACCCATAGTGACTAACTTAAACTAGGCACTAAATGTAATGTAAAACTTAATATAAATAAATAAAAGCATATACTAAGGCCTTAATTCTTACCTTACTTATATTTTTAAAAGTTCTTTTTACTTATTATTAATATATTTATTTTATAAGTTATTAACCTTATTATTAACCTTAAGTATTATTGCTAATTAGAATTTAATAGATAAAATATTACTATTATAGGATATATAGGGCCTATATTTAGCTAATCCTAAATTTTGCAAATAAAATCTATCTATTTTTAGAAGTATAATACTATTAGTATATATAAAGCCTATATTCTTAAGTAGGGTATTTTCCTAGAGGTATAATAGGTAGATTTGCCAGGTCCTTATAATGCCGGATTGTATTAAGGAAACCATCAAGCATCTTATTAAAATGCATGCCAATAAGCCTCTTTTATTACTTTGCGTCTATATAATATACCTAAAAATAAAACGCCAATGCCTTTTTTAATAGTAAGCAGTATTTAGTAGTTAATAAGGTATATTTAACTAGGGTAAATAGGTTTAGATAAGATATATAAGGATAGTTACTCTTTAGCTAATAAAGGAGGCTATAGCTCATATTATAGACTATCTCTTTACAGCAGTCTATAACTATATCTACTACCCTCTAAAATCCTATTAATACTAATCTTATCCTTGCGCAGACTGGCTAGATTAACAGAGAGATCTGGGATTCGGGCTGCACTAGCTATAAGGTATACTAGTATATCTGGCCTTTTATAGAAATATAGATATAATATCTAGATAAGGCAATAAAGCAGACTTCGGTCCTTATTCTAGTATATAGTCTCCTACCTTAACCTCTCTAATTATAGCTACTATTTAATATATATTAGTATAGAACTAGTAACTATAATTTATATATTACCTATAAGACTAGGATTATCTATAAGCTAGTAGTTTAACTAGTACTTATATGCCTATATAAAGCTAATTAAATCTTATTATTTATTACTAGTTATATTTTAATTACTTAAGACTAGCCTATATATATTACCTATAGGTATTACTAGCTGGACTTATTAATTATTATCTTTAATAATTTAATATCTTTATTATAACCTAGTAGCTTATATTTATAAGTAAATATATATAAAATATATCTTAATATCTGCCCTCTTAGTAAATCTTTATAAGTATTAAAAGTAATTAAGAAAATCTTAGTTATAATATTATATAATAAGTATAAGGTAAATAATATAATATTTATAATATAAATAGGAAAAATCTATTATAAGATTAAAGCCTTTTATTTTTAAGTAAATTATTTATAAAAGGTATAGCCTGGTTTAGATTTTTAAGGTTTAATATAGCTAATATCTTATTAAGGCCTTTTTATTAAAATAAAAGGATTTAATATTTATTTCTTAAATAATTACTAAAATAAGACTTATTAAGGGATATAATATATTTATAGTTATTATTAAAGTAAATTAGTAATTATAGCTTAAGATAAACTTATAAAGAAAATAACTTAAGAAATTAAAAAGGTAATTATTTTATACTTATAATTAAAGTAATAAGTAATAATTTTATAATCTTAGTACTTATTATAGTATTATATATTATTATTACTATTATATTATATTTTTTTATTATATAATCTCTTTAGACTTAAAGTAAAAGGTAAAAGATAAAAAGTAATAAAAATAAAATAAAAATAAGAAATTAGAAATATAAATATATATAAATAAAAGGTAAATAAATAATAAGTTATTTTTATTAAACTTAATTACTATTTTAATATATTAAAATAAAAAGTATAAAATCTAAAAGTAATTTTTTAAGAAAATGTTAGAATTTTAAGGTTATCTAAGTTAGTATAAATAAAATTTAATAATATAATAGGATTTAATTTAACTTTTATATAGTAAATATATTTCCTTTTACTTACTGCCTTTCTTATAAATATAAATAGCTTTATATAGCACCTATAAGGGTATATATTATATAACTAATATAAACGACTTCTGTTTATTATTTATATTATTTTCTTATAGTAGTTTATTATTATATCTAAAGTAATAAGGAGAGTAGTAATTTTACATTTATTATTTGCTAAGCTTATTATATATTTATTAGAATATATATTATTAAAGTAATTATTATTCTCTTTTAATATTAGGTCTTGGTATAAAGTTATTAGAAAGGACGCAGTAATTAGGCTTTTTTAGTAGTTCTTAGTTAATTCCCCTAAAAGTCTATTCCTAGCTAGTTCTCTTTAGCTATAACCTAAAATCTGTAAATATTATAGTTTATAAGCTCCTAGTCCCTCTCTGCTTAAGCCTTAGACTTTAGATCTATAAAGGTTTAAAATATCTTAATTCTTATTAATTATTTTTATAATAAGACTAAGCATAAACCTTACTTAGATAAGAAGTTTCCCTTAAGATGTTGGTTTAATATATAGTATTATTATAAGGGCGGTCTAGTTATTATTTTTATATCTGGTAAGATATTAGGAGAGGATAGACTTCTATTTCTTAAATATAGTATTTTAAAGATACTGGCTAATATAACTAGTAATATTAGAGTCATCCTTAAGTATTAATACTATAGCACTAGTTTTCCTATTTTAGATTTAAGGCAAAGAATATGCATTTCTTATTAGCTAAGTAGGTGCTTGCTAATACTATATACTTTACTAAGAATATTAGGTTTCTAGGCCTAGAAAAGTATAATTTAACCGCTTCTAACACGCCCTACATTATCTATAGTAGATTATATACTAGCGCCTTTGCTACTTTTGCCAGAAAGATTTACCTTAACGTCTTTTAGGGCGGCATTTAAGCATTCTTGCTGCTTAGTTAATATTGTTGCTAGCATCTCTTGCAAGCTACCTAGATATTTTCCGGGGTCTTCAGTGATCCTAGGGTCTCCGCGCCGAGCAACAGGAATAACAGCACAGCAAACTCCGACGACTATTCATCATTCTTTCTAAACTTTCCCGTTACCTCTTTACCCTTTTATGTCTTGGTAGCATCTTGCATGGACTACTAATGAGAACATTTCAAGCAGAATTCAGCACCGCAGCGAGAGGGAATAGTGCGTTGAACAGCTACTGCGGCAGAGTAAAGGGCATCACCGAGAGAGACCTTCGGATAATATAGCTCAGAGTAAGCAGACTTAAAAGACTAAAGCATGGACTTTTTACTGGAAGATAAGACATTATAAATATTTAGCATAATAAAGTAAATGGTAATTAATATAATTAAATAGTATTAGGCTTAAGGTTATATATATATATATATATATAGCAGAGTACTTAAAGATTTATCTTATTTAGGATAGGCGGCTTTTAATTCTTGTAAAAGCCTTTAATATATAACCTCACTTAGCGGGCTGCTTAGTTTATAAGGTTATAAGCGTAATAGCAAGCCTCCTTGCTGCTGCGTTTAGACTTGTAAGTAGTTTTAGTAGGCTTAGGGGAAGTAGGGCTAGAAGTCTGGATAGGAGTGGAAAGCTCCTAGGCGGTAGAGGAAGTCTTAATAGGAGTAGTAGCAAAGGTATTAGTAATAGGAGCCTTAGTCTTAGAGGGAGTAGCAGGGGCAGCAGAGCCAGAGCCAGAGCCAGAGCCAGAGCCAGAGTTAGAACTGGAACTATAGTCAGTAATAGGAGTACCTTAGGACTTCTTAGCAAGCTTGCCCTAGGTAACCTTAATAGCACCCTTAATTAGAGAAGGGCCAGGGATAGGATAGCTAGTAGGGTTAATATAGATATTAAACTTAATGCCCTTATTATCAGGCTTATATAGCTTAATTCTAAGGATATCCTCAGGCTACTTAATGCTAAAACCCTTAATCTTAAAGTTAAAGTATTAAGGATAGATCTAGGTATTATTCTCTTAGAAACTATTATAGAGAGTAATATTCTTATAATAAAGGATATAGGTACTAGCCTTAATATTTTTAAGGATTTAAATAAGCTAGCTATTATTATTAGTAATAAGCTTATTAAAGCTATAGATATTAGGGTTACTAGCTTTAATAAGACTAACCTTGTTAATCTTAAAGAACTTATAGATCTCTTTAATACTAGTCTTATAGCTAGCAGAACTGCAAGAGGCTAATATATTAATAATAGGTCCCTTATGGCTCTCGGGCCAGTTAATCCACTTAATGTAGATCTGGTTACTGGCCTTAACCTTGGCGTGGCCCTTGGCGTTCTTAGCACCGCAGTCATATAAATAACACGAGTGTCTCGGTGTTGTATAATTTGACGGTCTCACCGCTACCTATCTCTACCTCCTTGGGAATGCACAATTCAGTCACTACAGTAATTCTAATTGCACTATCAGCCATTATTTCATCCTTTACATACTCGCCCTGGTGGAGTTAATATATAGATTCCTGGGGCCTAATAGATAGATAGATAGAGTTTATTACGCCTAGGAGAACGAATCTCATAGGGCCAGTAGGTACACTAAGCCCTACTATACCAGGAACTGCTTGTAATTTCCTAAATTATATAAAACTTACTCGGCCTATATACCTTCCCTTACTTATATAATATAGTTTAGTATATTAATCCCCTATTACTGCAAATAAGTAAGAAGTAGCTTAATTAGCTTAATTTTAAATTAAAAGAGAATATATTATTTAATATCCTTATATATAAGGAGATAATTAAATTTAACCTAGCCTAGATATTTATTATTTTTTTTAAAAAAAAATACAAGTTAAAAATAGCCTTAATTTAAATTATCTTACTTATATTTATAATATCACTTTAGTATTTTTTAGCTTATTTTAAAAGTACATCTTTATTATATAATAAGTATTAGGGCTATTAATGGAATAAATAAAAGATTTTATTTCTTTTATAAAAAAAGAGAAGAAAACTATTATTTATAGCTATTTTTAGTTTTAATATAAACCCTATTAAAAAAACCTAAAGTAGCTTACTTAACTAGCTGTAGCTATAAAAGCCCCTTAATATAAACTAATTACACAGGGCTTAATAGCGGGTGGACACCATTCATGACATGAGAGGCCTCGAGAAGTACAGGGCTTCAAGTATATAGGCTCTTCTTCGCATTTACATGTCGTATCTTGGCTAGAGCTGGTAACGTTTTCTATAGCTCAGCGAAGCGTCACTCTGCGCGTTGGCGCAGCTTACGCCAGCTGGTTAAACGTGAAGTGGGCTGACATGGTTTCTCTCGGCTTCCATACCGCCCAACCATAAGTCTTATTATTTTAGAGTTTACCCAAGGATAGCCTTCGATACTGCAGATTCAACTGGGCTACCTTCGAACTGCGAGCTTGCAATGTTGTTCAGATGTTTGTAATTTAAGCCACAGATTCTGGCTATTTAGTTGGTAGTTATACTACACCACAAGCAGATATTGCTAACATGTGATGGCCTGTGAGTGGGAAGTTCCACTCACGCCGCATGTGCCAGTAACCGAAGGTATATGCAGCCATGACGCTATCGTCATATCACCTGAGGGAAAAGTATAGGACTGCTCGTTCACGTTGGCTTATATTTGTTCGAAAAGAATATTAGTTGCAGGCCATAAAAGTTAGACTGGTCATAAACTCTCTACTCTACAACAGGGTACAGGCTCAGTGGCTCTGTTACTCAGTTCGTGTTTTGACTGGAAATGCTGTTTTAGCAGACTGGTTGTTTTGGGATCAGTAAGCGGGGTAGCGGATGCGTAGTCCCTTAACAAGTTTATGCTGACATGAGTCAGTATCTGCCCATTACAGATATTTGAGTCTCTTTTTGCTAATTACGCAATAGCATGTAAAGGTAGCTCTGAGAAGCAGAGGTCGGAGATACGGCTCCGCAGTTTAAACCGCGCGATGGCGTCCAAATATTCATGCTGAATAGTTACTGGTTTACGAAGAAGCTACATACCAGCCACCAGCCCTGCTGTTAGTGCGGTTCCACTGGAAGTTTCGATCAACTTTGCTGTCACTGAACATGTACGCTACTGTATTAAAGGATCATGAAATAGTTAAATAGGGATAGAAGAGTATAGATTGCTATTAGTCTTGAACTAGGAACGCGTCCCCTTTCATAATTTCATACTCAAGTAGGCCAATACTATAAGCCTCAGCTCTCCTTTTTCCTTGCATTAATTCGTCCGTTAGTGGATGTCATTAAGGCAGGGTTGAGGTCCTGGCTTGGTTTGCCCACAATACAAGTGGCTAAAAATAGGCTTTACTTAACCCATTATCCACCACTTGGGAAAACATTAGTCCAGAATTGATATTTATTTAGTACGCAGGATTTACATAGGCTATATGTCCACCATGCACAAATATAGCAACGGCAGTCCGTCGGGCCCACTACCTGTCAATGAGAATGATAGGCGGCGGCATAGGCGTCGCAATATCAACCAGTCTGTGAGATGGGGACCAAGGAGAGATCCTTTCGAGAGATGCGTCAAGCAACCACGACAACCCTCTCGCCGGGTCAGTGGCTTGTCATTGTACAGTCTAGGGTAGCAGTTTCTCGTATATGAGAATCCAGCCAGAAATAATTCTGTAATTCTGAATTGCGCAAGAATAGGTTGTCCGAACTTATCAAAGTGACACCGTTGGAAAGAGGGGAAACTAACTCTCCTTCCTTCAATAGCTTATGATTAATCGTCTGGGGTCGCTGAGATATGAAATTTTTAATTTGAGTGGGGAGATCCTACGGTAAGCTTGATGGGACTCATGCATCACGGGATCTCTTAGATTATATGAAATTGTTAAATAGAAGACATTCAGTCCGTGGTGGGTACAATTTCAAGTGGCTGAGATACAACAGAACACAGGGACGCAATGAAGGCGGCGCGCTTCCTGGGCAGCCGAAGCGCGTCCCCTTATTCGCCATACTTACGTCCTTCTGAACCTTACCTATACGCGACATATGAAATTATGACCATTCCTTTAGTTGCCTTTCCATTTCACCAGCCTTTGTCTCCTCAACCGTCCGTTGAAGCCTGAGTTGCACCTGGATTGGAACGCCATCCCGTGTTACTGTAGAGCAGAGCCCTGGGCTGAAGTAGTAGTATCAAAAGGGTTGACGCTGGAAGAGACCAAAATAGACATTTAGCTACGGAACCTGGTGATTCAAGAGGGGCAAGGCCAGTAGGGCCGCCGATAGCTGGTGGGGTCGGGCAAACAACTCATAGAAAGGTTTGCGGAGCCATGCGAGGAGCAATGAGGAGGAGCAGCCACGATCGTGTGAATTGTCAATTCTGTTCGCTATACTCGTTCTGTAATACTGTGCACCACCATCCCGGTACTCTTGAGGATGGGGGCGTTAGAGTCGGCGCTGTGCGCGGTGTTCACGCCGGAAGGTAGGGCGGCGTCGATATTGTGGTCATCTAACACCCTATAACGAATTTACTGCTAGAAAAGTAAAAGTTACGGTAGTGCAGCCCTTCCCACCTGTTTATAGTAGCCTTAGGCATCACCTAACTACGGAAACCGCAGAAGAAAGCTAGCTTTTCAAACCGAAATATACGCTGAGGAATCATGTAGCCAGCAACAGTCTACCCGAAGTTGACATGCCACAAGAGTATCACGGCCTTCCACACCAGCCTGTGTAGCGTCCTGGGCTCCGGATTTTCTAGGATATAATCCTCAAGTCTTTCCTCCGTATAGAACGTGGTTAGTTGTTGCGGTGAGGGGTGACCACTCGCCTCGGCATTGACGAACCCCACTGTGACGGCTTAGTTGATCCCTCCTCATGGCCGGTAACAGGCTTCGTTAGCTGTTCCTCAGACTCAGTAACAGGAGTAATAGACTGCTCTTTAATCTCGGGGACCGGGTAGGTAGGCTTTGACTAAGTGGGCTGCTCCTTAATGACAGTTATGAGCTATGTAGGTTATACTTCAGTTACAGGGCATATAGTTATAGAGATAGCAATAGTCTCAGCTATAATGCAATTTCCATTAAGGCAGTTAGGAACCTCAGGACTATAAGAAGTAATGGTCAAGATAGTGGTTATATATATAATTAAAGTGGCCTATTAGCCAGTTCTCTTAAGGCTAGGTTAGGTCTGGCTAGGGTGCTTAGAAATAGTCTCAGTCTTAGTGCTAACAGTCTCAGTAGCAGGCTTAGGAGGAGGTTAGGTACTATCGTTAGTTAAGGACTTAGCTGCGAGCTAGGTAGGTTCCGTCTTAGCAGGAATAGTCTCAATCTTAGTCTCAATACCCTCGGTAGTCTTAGTAGTAGGCTGGGGAGGAGGGTAAACACTGGTAGAAGTAACGCTCTCGGTCTGCTCGGAAACCATCTTAGTCTCGGTCTCGGTCTCGGTCTCGGTCTCGGTCTCGGTCTCCACAGACTTAGAGACAGGACCGTTCTCAGTCTTAGCAGATATGGAGGCTATAGCAGTCTCGGTGCCTTAGGGCTCAGACCTAGTAGACTATTATTCCTCCTTTTATTTCTACCTTTATTTTCCTTATTTGCTCTTATTATGCTTTTCTAGCTATTTCTAACTATTCCTAACTACTTACTTTATACTTACTTTCTAGCTATAAGCTATATCTTTCTTTTTCTTCTTATTTCCTTATATCCTTATATTTTACCTTATTTATTTCTTCCTTTTCTTTGCTTTTATTATCTAGAAAAATCTCCACTCTATCCTTTTAGCTACATCCATAGTTAGAGAAAAGTATCAGGGTAGGATAGCTTATATAGTTAATTCTAATCCTATCCTAACCCTAAGATATTAAAGTCTAGGCTAAGAACTTTTCACAGTCTGCAAAAGCAAACTCCCTCATCGTCTCATTCCACAACGCATTTTGAAGGGCTACTCCACGCTGCTCATACATAATCGGTGGGAATCTAGACAAATACTGTTAGCACAACTTACGATATATTCATAGCCACTCAGGGAAACTCACGCCTTAATCTTGCCCTCGCTGACAAAGCTACCATGGCTCTCGGCCCCCTGCACCGTCACAGCATCCACATACTGCCGGGCACCAACAGTGGCAGTCCGTCCAAGAACCAGCGATGCCACATATAGCACCGCTTCTTCCATCATTGAGCGCTCCGCATGTCCAAACTGTGTTCCTCTGCATGCGCCGGGATTCGATACGTTGATAATAACTTCATTTGAGGGTATGCGCTTACTTAGTTCGTGTGCGAACATAACTAGCAAAACCTTGGTGGTCTTGTAGGCCTCCCACGAGTTGAAATGGGCTGGGTTGTCCATTACTTCAAGAATAGGCTTTGAATCTGTGCCCTTCCAGTTTGCATAATATGATGTGTCGGAGCCAACGAGACTTAGACGCGCTGGTGATGTGGTTCCACGCTTCTCTCTGAGAATAGGAATGAGAACGAGAGCAAGAAGAGCTGCCGAGAGATAGTTGATCTGGAAGGTAATCTCGTGACCTGTTTCCTCTGCGCGTTCATAGTTGGGCTGGCTTAGACCTGCATTAAGGATGGCGATATCTAACCTTGGCAATGTCTCGTATCGTTTTGCGAAAGCCATAATTGAGTCATAGGACGACATATCAACGACGGATACCTCGATCTTCGCGAAGGGGAATTCAGCCTGGAGTTTCTTTGCTGCAGCATCTCCTCGCGGTTTAGATCGAACGGCAAGAATCATGTGTGAGAGGTTAAGTGCAAGAAGTTGGCGTGCGCTTTCAAAGCCAAGGCCAACGTTGGATCCAGTAATCAGAGCGACTTGGCCAGATAGGTCCACGGTGTTTGGGATAGAGGGGATTGATTGAAAGAGTTGACGCCATATGAATGCGAATGGGGTTGCCTCGCTGGCAGCTTCGTGCTTGAGATTTGCAGACATTGTGAGACTTGGTTGTAAAAATTATTTGTGACTAGTAAAACATATAATGAGTCGATTGACTTTTATAGCAGTTGTCTGATTAAATTGGTGGAAGGTGCTCAAGATGCTGAAGTAGATGACTTTTGGTGGCTTCTAATGAGCATGGTAGAATCTTGCAAAGTTCACGTAATCAGCCTTTTGAACAGCGTTGTTTCCAAAGCAAAGTGGGTAGCAGTGGAACATGACATAATACGGAGTGGCATACGCAAACCCTTAATCATTCTCGAATTTGCAAAGAACCTTTCGTGATTTTCTTGCCAAGATCGAACGTCAGCTCTAAAGAGTTTAGTCTTTTCGGTAGCTGACTCGGATAATTCCGTATTATCCCCGAGAACGATTGCAGTGCTGAAAAAGTCTAAAAGTGGATATGTATACGAGTCAGGGGTCATAATTCTTGGTCTCGCTTGTCCCGTTATCCGTAAACTGATTCCAAACTGGGTCCCGCAAGTCATTACGTACGAATATCTGTAGCAGGCGGTAAACTAAGCATGAGTAAGGAAGACGTAATAAATCGAATTTGTCAAGCGCTATGCATAACGTTGCCATCAAGCACTGGTTGTAGGTTACTGCATTAAGCCATCTACTTAAGAAAGGATTAGCTCCATCGAATTGTTCCAGAATCCAAACAAACAATCAGTTATCTATTCACAATCGGGAGTCTCGCGTCACCAAACCTCAAGCACCAATATGACTGTCCAACAGAAACCTTCTCAGGCCATTCATGTCCTCACCTCCCAGAACGGCACCGAAGTTAAAGATACAAACAAGGAGATTGTTCAGAATATCCCTGCCAAGGGAGTTGAATACTTCAACCCCGAGCAGCTTCCCGCTCCCGGCCTCGGTTTGAGCGGTCCCAACGATTCTCTGCCAAGGATCTTTACGCCCATCAAGATCCGTGGCATCACAATGCCCAACCGCATTTGGGTCAGCCCCATGTGCCAATACAGTGCCCGTGGCGGCTTTCAGCAGCCCTGGCACTTTGCCCATTATGGCGGACTGGCCCAGCGTGGCCCTGGTCTCATCATGCTTGAAGCCACAGCTGTTCAAGCACGAGGCCGTATCACACCTGAAGACTCGGGTATCTGGCTAGACTCACATGTGGAAGGACTGCGAAAGCACGTTGATTTCGCACACGCCAACAACTCTCTTATTGGTATCCAGATTGGCCATGCCGGTCGCAAGGCCTCTTGTGTTGCTCCTTGGTTAGACGTTGGACTTGCCGCTGAAAAGGCAGCCGGCGGATGGCCCGATGACGTCGTGGGCCCCAGCAATGAGCCTTTTGCTCCAGGCTATCCTACACCCCGTGCTATCACCATCGAAGAGATTGAGCAACTCAAGGACGACTTTGTTTCCGGAGTGCGTCGAGCAGTTGAGGCCGGCTTTGACGTTATCGACTTCCATTTTGCTCACGGTTATCTCGTCTCGAGCTTCCTGTCCCCTGCTACCAACAAGCGCACCGACAAGTACGGCGGAAGCTTCGAGAACAGAGTCCGACTTGCTCTTGAGATAGTCGAGGGAGCCAGAGCCGTTATGCCCGACCATATGCCCTTGTTCACTCGTATTAGTGCCACTGACTGGCTGGACAACAACCCTGAGTACGAGGGAGAGAACTGGACTCTCGAGCAGAGTATCAAGCTTGCGCACCTTTTGGCGGAGCGAGGCGTTGATGTTCTCGATGTTTCCAGCGGTGGTATCCACAAGATGCAAAAGGTTGCTGTCGGTCCCGGTTACCAGGCTCCTTTTGCCAAGGCGGTTAAGAAGTCTGTTGGAGACAGGTTGCTTGTCAGTGCTGTCGGTAGCATCAAGACAGGCACCTTTGCCGAGGAAATCATCCAGGGCGAAGAGGACGATACCCCGTTGGATCTAGTAGCTGCGGGTCGTCTGTTCCAGAAGAACACCGGACTTGTTTGGTCGTGGGCTGATGATCTAAACACTTCTATCCAGATCGCTCACCAGATCGCCTGGGGTTTCGGTGGCAGGGCTAAGAAGAATACCCCCAAGCCTGTTCTGTAAGGGACGACAAGTTGCATAGAGTTGGAAATACAGTGGCCAGATGTATAGATTAGGTCATAGATCATAGATTATATATTTCTTAAATCAATACAAGCGCAATATTCTAACTCAGTTTTGTTTCTTCCGTACCTTGAAGTTATGCTCCGTGAGAAGGCCTTCAGAAAATGAGGTTTGTTCTCCAAAATTGCGCATGTGTAGAACATTAGGGATTTGCCGCTCTAACCGTCCATCTGACAAGCATGTTCCATAAGCCCACCACATTATATATCATTAAAAACACTCTGATTCATCTGTTAAAAGTTAATTGTATTTGATAAAGGCTGAAAAGAAAGTGCCGAAAGCATCAAGCATATGATGCAACTGTATCCGCTACCCTACACAATAAGTCTGTCTGGCAGATCGCTCATGGATGGAGAAGCCGAGAGGCCCACTATAAGTTCAAACAACCAATGGGCTAACTTGGAATTGTTCGGCAGGTTCATCGGGTGGTCCGCGGGATTTCCGGCCACCTTCCACTGAAGACCTGAGAATTCTCGGAATCATGAGCGGACCATGGAATTAACTTTCCAACTAGGCTTTTCTTTATCCGGCTCTTTGTGGGTTACTTGTGCCCATGATGGAGCTCAGAGTGTGATCGCAGAAACCACAGACCACATTGTCTAGTTTCATTTCTTGCTACACCTACCGATTATCACAATACAATGGACGTCGCATCCACCAGAAACATCCCAAAGGGGAATGTCTACTCACTCGAAGATGCGCCCGTGCCAGAAAAGGGCGTTCTCTTCCAAGTCCGCGCTGGAAAAGTCCAGCAACGCGGCCTGGGGTGAGAAATAACATCAGCCATGTACAAACAGGAACAGCACGGCCCAACTTTTGTCACAGCGACAGGCATTGCTGGCGACGAATATGCCGCCAAAAGTCACGGCGGAACCGAACGCGCAGTATATCAGTACAACCCAGCGCACTACCCAGACTGGCAAGCCGAGAACGCCCCCAAACCGAACCTATATGATGTCGGAGCTTTCGGAGAAAACATTATTACAACTAACATAAGTAATAATAACGTCTACATCGGCGACCTATATAAGCTTGGCGATAAAGTCCTCCTCGAGGTCAGCAAGCCTAGATATCTATGCTATAAACTTAACTCCTGATTTAAATAGCCAAGAGCCCTTAAGCAAACAATACAAACCGGATGATCCAGATGGAGTTTTAGAGTGTTACAGATGGGAAATATTTGCCAAGGGTGATACTATTTCCTTAGTTAAAAGACCATATCCTAAGTGGTTAGTTCTCAACATGCAGAGGATATTGAGAGTAAGAAACGTCTCCCTCTAGCTATTGGCTAAGTGCATTTAGCTGCCTATGCCTAATATGTGGATCGATATTAGGAAAGTAAAGCTGAGGAGCTCGCCAAAGCCATACATACTGGTTGACGCTTAACTTGTTACCTGTCGTGTCTGAAAGCTTACGTTCAAGTTGAAAGAGGACCTGACTCTTAACAACCTTAGCTTCAATCCTTATAGGTTTGCTTAGATCACCTTTGGGCCAGATAATAAGTTTGAACGGTTATACTTAATTGTTGAAGGCGATTTGTATAAGTTCAGTCTAGGCGTTTCTCTCGATCGTAACTCACGAGGTGGTTCGGCTTATATCCATAATGGGATAAAGGTTGGCGACGAGATCAAGATGTCACCAGGCAACAATCTAGGCGCACAGGAGAATGACACCAAGGCCGACCCGAATCTCGAGCATATCCTAATCGTTAGAGGTATTGGCATAACTGCTTTTCTCCCATTAATCTGCGAGTGGGAGGCCAAAGGAGTACCATACCATCTTCACTACGCCGTGCAAAGCCCCGAAGACGCCCCGTTCATGGATCAACTTCCCAAAGACAAGACAACAATATACGCCAAGTCATAAGGCCAGAAGCTTAACATCCAACAAGTTATACCACAGCCCAAGACCGAAGACAAGACCTTCCCAGCCCGCATCTTCTCGTGCGGACCAGGAGGTATGATGAAAGAATGCCAGCGCATCACCACCGACCTCGGCTACCCAGAGCACATGGTGCATTTCGAAGATTTCGGCAGTGGTGGTGACAACTTAGGCGACCAGTTCGAGGGGACGTGCAAGAGCCCGAGACCAACAGACACGAGACGATGACGGTTCCTTCCAACAAGACGCTACTCGACGTGCTCAACGAAGCTGGCTTCGATATACTTTACTTATGCAAGTCTGGGGCTTATAGCGCTTGTAAGGTAATGCTTTATAAGGGAGAGGTTAACTACAGGAGCACGGCGCTGTTGGCTAAGGATAAGGGGACTGCTTTACAGGCTTGTGTCGATCGGGGACTTGGGAAGCTCGCGATAGAGATTGATTAGAAATGAACCTTTGACGGATATTAAATAAAATGACGGATATTACATGAGTCTTAACGAAGTACTGTGAATATTCTTGCTTCGTTACGACCCTCAGGTGCCTACCTGTCATCATACCTAGCAGCACTTACGTTCAGGCAATCTTGCCCTCGAGGGTTACTCTAATTGGTGTTCTATTAGAGGATGGCAGCCAGTGGTAGATGTTCCAGTCAGTCATAGAGTCAATGATGAATGAATGGATGCTCGCGAAACTGATCAGAGTATTCAATTACGACGCTATGTCATTCAAGTGACATGGCCATCATCTGTACACCAATCCTTGCTTAGTCAGCGCACGGTGAGTGCGGTACCTCATCGCAGGACTGCATTGTAAAAAACACTAATCTTAGCACTCGCTACCATGAATGAACTCCTGTCCACAGTTCACTTTTAGTGGCCCTGAACAAAACCAGAGTTGTCGGCGCAATCGAAACCCTTGGCAATGGCGCCCGTGGCAAATGCCTCCTTGATCAGAACACCGACGGAATAACTAGGCAAGTATAGTTAGCATCTGAGATGGACCAGTTAAGCATGGTTAGAGGAAATAAGCACTTACACTCCAACGATGATTATGTAAAATCCAAGAGTCATAATCAGCACATGGAAACCGTACTTGATCTTCTGTCCCAAGGCTCCAGTCTTGTAGCTCTCGAAGTCATATATCTAGAGAAGAGCAGGAGAGACTAGACTAAAAGGAGCGAAGTAGAGGGCGCCAGCCAGTCTAAGCAGGTAGTTTAAGATAGGGATAGCCTCGGCCATAATAAAAGCAGCAGAACTAAGGATAAAGTTAATGCTAAGCTAAGTACCCTAGTAAGTAAATGTATTAGCCTGTAAGTGCTTTAAGTCTTACAAGGTTAGATAAATATATATTTAGTAGCAATATGCTAGTAAATGCTAATACTAAGAATAAATCTAGGTAAGGAGATGCTATAGGCAACCTTATTAATAATAGGTCTAGTACTAGTAAAAGTAGGGGTTAAGAGCTATATACTATAGTAATAGTAGACAACTAGACTAAAAGAGAGGTATATAGCTTTAATAATAAAGCCGGCAAGAAGATAAGCCTTATAGTAATCCTAAGGTCGCTGTATCTCAGAAATAATAGACAGGAATATAAAAGAGCTATAAGTGCTGATAAAGATGTTAGTTACGTTAACTATGCCTATAACAAGGCTAGGATAAGCAATTAGCGCCTAACCAAGATCAAAGTCTCTAGCCTTAGGCGCAGCAGCAGGTCTATTAACTTGTAACATGGCTATAACAAAGATGAAGATGCCAATAACGAAGGTAATAAAGCTAAACTATATTAACCAGCCTAGCGTAGAGAAGGTACAAATAGACGAGAAGAGGGTAATCAAAACGGCAGAAATAAGGCCGAAATATACGGTATATACTCCGTGGTTTAACAGCGCATTGAAGCCAGTGGTTGATATGACGATTCCACCAGCTAAAATGAGGACTTGGGCGATGATGATCTAGATACCAACGATTTCGCGGCCCCAGCGACCCCAGATGAGACCCATCATGTCTGCCAATGCTTCAGGGGTGTTACCGTTATGTGGCGTTGCCGTAGGTAGCTGATTTACTTACTGTGGCACTCTGTGTAATTGTGCTTGACGTCACCAAGAAAAAGGCCAGTATCTACACGAGTCAGCGCCAATCATGATGCTTTTCAAATCAGGTCAACTTACAAACATTGAGCGACGTATATCCAATGATATACAAAGAGCCGCCCACGGAACCCAATGCGCCCAAGGCTGCTGGGATAGCAAGAATACGTATGGCAAAGTTGATCTTAAGGAATACAACCGTGGCTCGTTGCCAACTGACAGTTCTAAACTCGACACCATCGACATTCTCCTATAAAACCTCCCTTAACCCCCTCCTACTCCGTATCAGAGACGGGAGTCTCACCATGGTCGAGGACGCCCTTTTCCTTCTTGTCAGGAGACAAGTACTGCTCAATAGAGGAGATTATTAGAGACGCCATTCTGTTATGGTGGAGTAGAGAGAGGAAGAATGGTTGAGGAGGGATGGGTTGGGAGAGAACAGTTTGGAGAACACAAGATACAGAAGAGATATTGATGCTGGTCTGGTCCGGTCTGGTCTGGTATGGTCTGGGCGGCTTTGGCAATGCTGGGGTAAAGCGGGGTGAGAGGGGGCTAGGTACCGCTAAACAACCTAGCTAGTGACAAATTACAGAGTAGCCCCAGGCAGGCATGACGAGTCTCAACTCCCCGGTCAGATAAGCCAGCCGGCCACTGGGTCGGGTCCAGGCAGGAGACGAAAACCAGGCCGACAACATTTAGGTTTAAGAACTTAGGCCAAGAGAACAGAAGATTGATTGCTAGTGCCAATAAGCTAAGCGAGCAGACACGTAGTTTGACCAATATCTTGTGTTGTTCTTAATTTCTGTACCATGATGTGCAGTACATCAGGGCGGGAAGCCAGCGGTTGTGCGCCTATACTGTTAATTTCCTATGTAGGCGAACTGCAAAAAACAAAAGCAAATACACGAAACATCTATCCATCTATTGTCTCCATAGCAAACGGGGCCAGAATGATAACAAGTATTGTAAACTCGGTCTTCTCAGACCTGCTCTGATATCACTGACCAGGGGGGTTATTTCGGGATACCCGGTGTTGGCTCTTGGCGTCTGCTTCGGTTAGATACCCTTGACTCCGCTCTGCACTCACCTGCCCGTCAGTTCTTTGCTTTTCCAAACTCAAATGCCACCTCTTATCTACTTGATCCCACCGTTCCGCTTCTTTGTTTTGATAATCGCTGGAACCTTTTGTTTATCAGACTGATGAGCCTCTAATCATTTCATTGTGCACAACGTTCTGCTGGCGGATTGTGTCCGAACAGGGACCGCTAATCTACAGGCTGCGCTAACGACTTATCTTGTTCCCCGAAGCTGGTAACTAACCAGTCGCTAATATATGCATGTATGCCCCAACCGCTGACAACGTGTCACTGTGGGCAATCCTGTGGCGTAACGGTGCTGTACAAGGAGCGGTTCATCTAACCATAAGGCGTGGCAATTTCGCACCACGTGATCTATAATAACCAATCTAGTACAGTAGCCGAGACAGGTCAATGTCCGCACTCGGAGCAGGGCAGGGCAGGGCAGGGCAGGGCCAGGTCAATCGTTGAGATTCAGATTCAGATACAGACAGAAATAGAGATACTGTAGACAAAGTTCGGTCAGAATGGAATGCGGGGAAATTCCACACCAGCCAAGATAAAGAAACTGGGGAAACGGTTCCGCTCAGAAGGAGATACCCGGGAACGGGGAACCCCCGCAACTAGTCTACAGATAATGTTTGGGGCAAAACGCCTCGTTTTTTTCTTGGCTAGACACCCCTGCAATGCCCCGCTCGAGCCGAACTGCCTACTCCTTAAGACGTGATAGATTCAATTATCAGATCTTAGCATCTAGCACTTCGAGTCTACAAATGTCTTAGTATAGTCCAACCAGTATCCTATATAGGGCATATACTTCTTTCCAAGCCAAAAGTCGAACCAGTCAACAAAGCTCTTGAAATGTTGCTCCTTAGCCCACTTCTCGTAGGGATCAGTGAGACGTGCTCGAGACTTTGCCATGAGTATTAGTATAACAATAGCTTCATGCAAGGTGGGGATGTCTGAACAAAACTTACTGCAAAACCGTGGCCGACGTTTGAGAAGATCTGCATGTTGAATCTTCCGTTTCCTTGAGACAGAATTTCAACTGTCCTGCTGCGCTGCTCAGGTTCGAAGAGCTTATCTGTGGCAGGAACGGAGAGAAAGATCGGTTCTGCGATATGATGGTTAGCAGCAAAGACTTGGAGGTGCGCGTGAATGTTCGTTGATTGACTTGCTTACCTTTGGTCTTGAATACATCGCTTTCCTTCAGAAAAGATGGGTGGGCGATGGCTCCGGCTTGACAGATGCCGTCGGCCGACAGTTGATGAGTGACGAATCGAGCACCCCAACTAATACATTGTCAGTTTCGAATATTTCCTAGACCGACTCCACAGTGGGTTACTCGGTAGTAGCTGACTCACCAGTATCCAACGGCCGCAAACTTGACAGCCTCGCTGGTGCTGTACTCGGCCTTGACAGCCTTGACCCATCTCGCGGCAGCTTCCTCAGAGGCGTGGAGATGCTTTGAAGGGAAGCTTTCACTAACAACAGAAGTATTCTGATTAGTAAATTTCATCCTGACTCCACCACGTTAAATGGAATTTGCAACTATAGTATGCTTATCTCGACTAGTATCAATCCAACTCTGCAGACTTAACAAGTTAACCTGCTCGCTGACATCAAGTATGGATAAGAGTCTAGAGAACTCGCGCAGATACTCTGTTGCTCGCCGTGCCCGCTTTTCAGAAGGATCATATGGACACGATAACAGCGAAACAGCGACGTCTCTGACTTTGTACACCTATATTTGTTCAAGAATAGGATGTCAGCGTGAATCAGCCTTTTTAGACTTTTTCCCTTGTGCCGAGATAAACATTGACTGACCAGAGAAAGACCGTTCGGTTCTAGACTGGGTTGAGAGAGTGAATTTAAGAGATGTAGGAATTGTCGACAGATATCTTCGCGTTCATCCCATGATGCAAAGTCTTGTATTCTTGGGGATGAGGTAGAATACGCTATCGAGGGACTTGTGAATTCCTTTCCACGCTGGCCACCAAGTATGTCAATTTGATCAAGTAGCATAATTTGAAGCCACAAGTGCGTGACATGTATATTGGCACGAATGGCTTCACGTTGTATATTGGCCACATCATCTTGCCCAGGCGAAGTAGTAGGAGCGGCGGCTGTACTGGACTTGCTCCATGATCTGTATGCCGGCAACACCGTGTCGAGCATATACTTGAGGTGATGCAGCCTATCTTGGAGAGACGCTAAACGCACTGCGGGATCTTTCACGTGGCTGCAGATGCAATGCCTCTTGGGATCCGAACCTGGAGGTCTTAAAGCAGCCGAGAAAATGCGCGAATGGATGTTGAAGCCCGAAGTCAGAGACTGAGCGACTTCAGTCTCAGGACATGGGAGGATGCCGCTGGATGATATATATTCGTCGTCCACGGGAACCGGCATGAGGTCTTCGATATTGATTTCACATGACATTACAGGGTCGAGAAATGTCAACCGCTCGTTGCGCAAGTTATGCATCTGGTGCAAATAGCCGTAGAACATCAACCAAAAAGCCTTTTTGCGCAGTTGGGCCTCTATGGCGTCCAAGCCCGCATAGCTCGAGATGTGCTGCACTTCCAACAGGCGTAACAGCTGCATGGATTCCACTTCAAACATCCGCCAGAGGTTGTTATTGCCTGTCTGATGAAACGTGACGCCTAGGAGAAAGCTACTCGCCCATTTTTGATGACTGACCGTGTCGAAATACGTCGTGTCTCGAAAGCTTTGGTTGAGCTTGTAACAGCCGTTTGCCATCTCTGAGCGTGTGCGGAATGGCAGGGGACTTGAGAACCCACGATATGTTTGCAACCTAGACGGCAATAGTCCGACAGTAACGGCGCATAAAGAGACGATCAATGTGAGAAAATCATCATCGTGTAAGTCACGATTCCCGTCAAGGTCTGTTTCAAACGATGGGCGGTGAACCACAGGGATCAGTGGATAAACGTATGTTACATAATCGTTGAGAATGAACCGCACAAGGTCTCGCGGGAAAAGGATGTCGGTCGCATATGGGAGTATACAGCTTGCAGACGGCACAGAAGGCTCTGCAAGCGATATAATGGAGCTCCCGGGGTTTGAAAATGACTGTGGTGAAGTGGGACTCTGAGCTTCTAGACCCAAGTCGGCTTCTGAAAGGGCTGGCCCAGGAACGCTGAGTCGGTACTCGGTCTTCCTTTTTGGGCCTCGTGCTTTCGATGGTAACTGAAACGAGCACTGGGAGTTTGACTTTTTGCAATTGTCGCACGTCATGGACGACTCTAGTATATTTGTCCAGAGCAGGCTGCCCTGGGAACCAAAGCTGCATTTTCGTTTCCGGAGGCGACATGCATCGCATGCTTTCCGCGCAACAACCCTGGAGGAAGCAGGACTCGTTGACATTGTTAGTGAGTGCCAATCTAGAGAAACGATATTGGTAATAGACACAGAAATTTGGCCTAGACAATGACAGCGCTGTCGATCCTCGATATTTGGCCAATGGGTAGGGGTGGAGTAGCGCCTTGTCGCTGGGAAGGATTGAGGAGATGGACCGATCCATCCCCGCTCGAGATATGCTAGAAAGTGCCCCGGCTAAGCACCCGAAAGGCCGGGACGACTAAGACTATGGTCACGTGCACCACTTGAGTCATTGTTACACTATTCTAAGCTTGATGGGCACAACGCTTATTTGCATGATTTCTTCTGGGTCTTAGTCTATTCTATATATCCCCCGAAATTAGGGTGCGAGACCGGTCCAATATCTCGTTTTGTCTACCGCGAATGTCTCCTCCAACGGCGTATCCACACTGCTCGTACCAACCAGGACCCTATACTCACCCCTCTCGCTACACCATTTATCACGACCCTCGTACCAGTAGCTTGTAGAAAAGACCGTATCCATATCAATCGTAATTTGTCTCTTCTCTCCAGCCTCAAGGTAAACCTTGCGGAAGGCCTTGAGCTCCTTGACAGGTCGTGCAACCGCCATCGTCGTTGGTGAGGCAACGTAAACTTGGACGACTTGGGCTCCAGCGCGAGAGCCTGTGTTGGTCATATCAAGCGTAACTTTGCAAACATCATCAACCTTCACGCTGAGGTTCTGGAGCGAGAACGTGGTGTATGATAGGCCGTGACCGAAAGGATACAGAGGTTTGGAATCGACCTTCTCGTAGTACCGATATCCTACATATACGTCCTCGCCGTAGAGGACACGTCCTGCCTCGCTACGGAAGTTAAAGTATGTAGGGTTGTCTTGAAGACGACGCGGTATCGTCAAGGGCAGCTTGCCAGCCTATTGCCAATGTCAGCTATCATTTTGGGATACTCTGCCTAGTCGGATCGGGAGCAAACTTACTGGGTTCACGTCACCAAATAACACATCTGCGATAGCATTTCCCGTCTCGTTGCCACCGTACCAAGCATGGCAGACTGCTTTAGCGTCGTCGATCCAAGGCATACCAACAGGTGTGCCTGACTGAACCACCACAGCAGTATTGACGTTTGCCGCAAGTACCTTAGAGACAAGGGCGTTGGTATGAGCGCTCATATCCATAGTAGTACGGTCTATGCCCTCGGACTCCAGCTCACCATTCAGGCCCACAACCAGAACGACCTGATCCACAGACTTGGCTACTTGTGCGGCTTCTTCAATGGCTTGAGCAGGGTCAATTCGTCTGCACGCGCCAAATCTCAATCCTCCGTGCCGACCACCGACGGGACCAGAAGGCGGCAATTTGCTTGTTTTGAAACATCCCCATTCCACCCGGACTTTATAGTCTTGGCCCGCTACTAGTTCCATGCTGCCCTTTTCCTCCACAGTACCAGAACCGAATAGCGTCTCGCCTGGTTTTTGGTTCTCGACGTTGCTGATCAAGAGTGCATCGTTGATGAAGAGCTTCCCTGTGCCTTCCACTCCGAGCCCAAAGTCGTAGAGGCCGCTCTCCTCAGGTGTGAAGATTCCTTCTACCTGAGAGTACCAAACTGGAGCCAGATCAGGGTGTTCATAGTCCAAAAAGAAGCAATTGGAATTGGCAAGAACGCGCTCGTCCAACGGAACTCGGTCCTTGATTCTCGCGGGTTCATTGTAGGCCCTCCAAGTGAAGCCCCGTTGACCCTTGTCAGTCCTAAGCACATCGCCCATCTGCGGTAGCATCTGGTGGTCCATGGCGCCTTGTGAAAAAACCACTTTCTCACACTGCTTTGCGATGCCATCGTAGGGTGAAACACTATAGTATGGAAGAAGCGACGCACTGCCGCCTCCACAAAAACGGGCAATCTTGGCGTTTGGTCCAATGACCGCAGTGGTCTTTGACTTGACAAACGGCAAGACATTATCGTTGTTCTTGAGAAGGACGATGGACTCTGACGCTGCTCGTCGCAGAAGTTCTTGGTCTTGTGGGCGGTTCAATCGTTTCTCGGGTGCGTTCTCAGGCACACCGGAGGCGCGCGAGTAATTGATGAGGTTGAGGACGTTACGCACGCGGTTGTCGAGCTGTTCTTCAGTGACTTTGTTGGCCATGACAGCATGGGATAAGGTTGAACCTCTCCAAAGCGTTGGGCCAGGCATTTCCAGGTCAAGGCCAGCGTGAACAGACTCTGTTGTGCTATAGGTACCAAACCTACAAGGTGAAGCAAAAAAAGGTCAGAAGGATGATCTTTAGATGTTTCCGTAAGCCCACTCACCAGTCGCTCATGACGAGTCCGTCAAACTTCCACTCCTCCCGAAGAATCTTCTGCAACAGTGTCTTGCTCTCCGAGACATGTATGCCATTGACCTTGTTGTATGCTGTCATGATTGCCCGAGGATCACCTATGCCAATGGCAAGCATAAATGGCAATAGGTAAATCTCCCGCATCGCGCGTTGAGTGATAATCACATTGACGGCCATGCGCTCATGCTCCATATCATTGCAGACAAAGTGTTTCAGCGTAGCTGCGATGTTCTCCCTTTGAACACCTCTTGCGTAATACCCCGACAGAATACCAGAAAGCAGCGGATCTTCAGAGAAGGACTCAAAGCCGCGGCCACCCAGTGGGCCCCTCTGGATGTTGAGTGTAGGGCCAAGCACGCAGACAGCTCCCTTCGCCTTTGCTTCCTGGCCCTGTAACTGTCCAAGCTCAGCCAATAAGTCTGTATTGAATGTCGCGCCCAATGCTGTCCCGCATGGGAGACATGACGAAGGAACACTGTCGAAGAATCTTGTCCCGCGAACGCCGTTCGGTCCATCGGAGAGGCGTATGGATGGTATACCGTGGTGAGGTAATGGTGTCGTGTGCCAAAAGTCCTTGCCTGTCCAAGAGTTAACACCCGAATGGAGCGTCCTGTCGCATGTGAAGTTTGGATCTTACCTGCAAGAAGAGCCACCTTTTCGTCGACTGTCAGTTTTGAGAGTAGCTCGTCGACGGGTAGCTCATCTGCGCGAGTATCGCTCAAGAGTGGCGACATGATAACGGGATGGAATGGGGACCGGGAGAAAGAACTCAGATTGTCCCTAGTTTGAGATATTGCGTGAACAGATAGTGTAGCTTATCTCTCTGAGATGTGCATCAGAAGTGTTATTTGCAGATATTCAATCCGGCCGAGAATTAATTGCCCTCATGTTAGCCTTAGCTTATCACTCTTATAGTCCACTTCAAATGATAGCCAATCAGTCCTGATCTTCTACCAAGCCTGGACCTGCGTCTGGGGCTTACCAGTTCTGGCAATTCTCCGCCTCCGCCATATTGCCTCCTCCGCCTAAACGACTACGTATATTTCTCCGCCAATTCCCCGCACAATTGACCGCCAATGTCGCTAGGAGGCCTTCCAGGCCGTGTTAGTGCTGTCACTAAAACCTATCGGGCCCATGCTGGCCGATCTAGCCGGTATCACTAGGTATCACCAGGTCTGGAGAAACCCCAGAATGGTTCTTATCTCGAATCAGACGCTAGGCCGCCCCTGACCCCAGATATTGACTCCACCAGATAAGGTATGAACCCCAATCTTTCAGCTCCTTAGCCGAGTTGGAGAACGAGATGTGACTGCCTATAAAGTTGAAGCCAAACCCATGAGAATACCATTGCTCAAACATCCGCACAGAAACCTTGCAAGAGACACGAGCCCTCGCTTGTTCATCAATTGTCTATACCTGAATATCATGAGTGCCAGCGAAGCTCCAGTCAAGAAGGCGGACACCGTGGCTGACACGCTGGCGTCGGTGTTGCCTTCAGATGGAAAGCCTTGGTACAAGCAGGTTCATCTATTGAGGCTCAATTTCATTATTCTCTCTCTGGTCATGTTCTGTAAGTCCCGCGACAATCTCTCCTCGCATAATTGACGAGGCTAACATAGTCTCAAAAGCATCCGCCAACGGATACGACGGTTCTTTGATGAACGGTCTCCAAGCGCTTCCCAAGTGGAACCAGTTCATGAACATGCCACATGGTGCTTGGCTTGGATTCATCAACGCCATTTACTGGTTTATGAACGGTGTTTCCTTCTTCCTCGCCGCCTGGACTTCCAATAAGTACGGTCGCAAGCCAGGCCTTTACATCGGCTACGTCTTTCTCGTTTCTGGCACCGTTCTACAGACGGCAGCACATAACCCAGCAGCCTTCATCGCCGCTCGCGGCCTGCTTGGTGCTGCAGCAGGATGGTACACCAGCGGTGCGCCCCTGCTCATTAATGAAATCGCCTATCCCACCCACCGAGCCATCGCTTCCGCTTGCTTCCAGTGCGGCTTCTATCTTGGTAGTATCATCTCGGCATGGGTAACATTCGGAACTAGGAACTATAGCAGCTCCTGGGACTGGCGTCTTCCATCGCTGATGCAGATCCTGCTTCCTGCTTTGGCTTTCCCTGGTTTCTTCATTGCGCCTGAATCTCCTCGATGGCTTGCGTCCGTGGATCGCAACGAAGAGGCAGCTCAGGTCATCGCGAAGCACCATGCTGGTGGAGATATCAACTCGCCTCTAGTCCAATTCGAGACTGAGGAGATTACAAACACCATCAAGGCCGAGCAGGAGGCCCATGTCAGTGCTAGCTATGCCGACATGCTCAAGACCAAGGGCAACAGATGGAGACTGCTTATCTCGGTTTCTCTGGGAGTGTTCAGTCAGTGGAGTGGTAACGGCGTTGTCTCGTACTACCTTGCTCTTGTCCTTCAGACTGTCGGCATCACCAGCGTTACTCACCAAACGCTCATCTCTGCATGCCTACAGGTTTGGAACCTTATCTGGGCTGTCGCAGCGGCAACATGCGTCGAGAAGCTCGGCCGACGACCTTTGTTCCTCACGTCTGCCGCAACTATGTTGGCTAGCTACATTGTCATTACTGGATTATCGGGCTCTTTCGCAAACACAGGAAACTCTGCTGTGGGCGTCGCTGTCATTCCTCTCCTCTTTGTCTTTTTCGCGGGTTACGATATTGCACTGTAAGTCAATAACATACGTCTAAACGGTGCACAGTGCTCAGCTAAGATGAATTAATTTAGGACACCACTAGTCATCGCATACCCTATTGAGATTTGGCAGTACCAGCTCCGATCCCGAGGCTTCAGCGTCATGTGGTCCTCAGGTATTCTAGCTGGCATTTTTAATATGTTTGTTAACCCGATTGCACTTCAGAGTATCGGTTGGAAGTACTACTTTACCTACATTATCTTCCTTATTGCCTTCCTCGTGATCGCCTACTTCTTCTACCCTGAGACTCGAGGCCGTACCCTCGAGCAGATGGCATACATCTTCGATGGAGAAAATGCAGATACGCAGCACTTGGAGGGCAAGGCCAAGGTTATGTTTGTGGAGGTGGAACACAAGAGCGGCTAAATGGGATTCCATGAATCACCATTGCAATTGAGCAAAGCTGCTGCTGACAAGAGCCCCAGCTATGGGGAGTAGGTGAACATTTGAACTGGACCTACTGTGCAAGGCTTAATAGGAAGGAGAAGCTAGGTTCCCCGGTCTCTCCAGCAGTCGACGATGTACTACTTGCAAATGAATCTTAATTATATGGCTACGTCAACTTCCATTGCCCTTCACAAGATCATGCAATATCCTTATGCACAGTAAATCCTGACCCGCCGGGCGAAGCTGCAACCGGGTTCCGGGGAGGTGGGTATATCCCCGGCAACCAATTCCGGTAGATGACCCAGCATCATCATACGAGGAAGGCTAGATCGACAGCGTAAATAACCATATCTGGCAAGGACCCCCTCATTCCCCATGGACGCTTGGAGGCATTAGGAGGAGCTTTTGCGTCGACTCAAACGCGCGCGGCCGTGTTCGCAAGCAGTGAATGGAACCTTAGCCAACGTCAAAGCGAGGCAACACCCAGGAGAGGCCCCGCAAAACCCCAAGCGACGGAGAGCGGCGCCATCAGCTAAGCACCACTTCTATCAAACCGGGGTAGAGCCAGAAAGCATCGCGGGAAATCCGGGGACAAACCCGGGGAGAATCTGAGCATGCGGGGTCGGCTTGGCAAGATTGGTGAGCTTGTACGTTATTATCTCATTCAACTCGACTCATCTATTATTTTAAATTAGTATTATTATTACTTTATTACTTAATTTATCTAGTTAATAATAATTGCCTTCTTAGGCATTACTTAGCTAGCTTGCTTATTAGACTTAACCTTAAACTAACTATTACCTAGCCTATTATTAAATAATTATTAATATTAAACCCTAGTATATTATAAAACCTATTATATTTTTATAACTTGCCTTTAGATATTTTTATCTCTTTCTTAAAGGTTTTTATATTAGTATTTCTTATAATAATACTTTTATATACCATATTTTATATTAATTATATATAAATGCCTTTTATTATTATATTTAATCTTTTAGCTTAATAAATATATAAATAATATAAGGTTAGTTATTAATAATATTAATAGCTATATTACTAAATTACTTTACTTTTAGATAATACTAAGGTTATATTAAATTATTATTATAATATTATTTTTATTTAGTATTTCTATTAACTTATAATACCTCCTTAAATATTATAATATTTCTTTCTTAATATATATATAATAATATATTTTATAAATAATATATAGACATTTAAGTAGTTTTATAAATAAATTAATATTATATATAAATAATATTATTAGCTTATAATTATTAAATACTACTAGGTTAAGTATTAATTGCTTTATTTTAATAGCTATTAATATATTATTTATACTTATTAATATACCTACTTATATAATTATTATAATTTAAACCTTAATTTTATTACCTTATTATTATAAGTTAAAAATATTTATAAATTAATAACTATAAATTAATATATTATATTAATTAATATAAGTTATAAATACTTTACTATTATTAATTCTTATAGTTTTTTTAATTTTATAAATTACATTAGCTTAATTACTATTTCTTACTTATTATTTTACCTTCTTACTTTTACTTAAATATACTAAGATATATAAACCCTTTTTAGCTAAAATAGTATACTAATTGCTATTTACTTTTAAAAATACTAAATATAATAAATTAGATTTTAAACTAATTATAATATTATACTATTAAGTTTATATAACTTAAAATTAAAATAAAATATATCTTAATAAGTATTAATTAATTTATAATTTTAAAATATATTTTTCTTAATATTTAAAAATATTAACCTAAATCTATTAAGGGTAATAAATTCAGGTCCCTATCTTTATTAATATAGTTTTATTTTATATATATTTTCTATTAGATTTAGACCTATATATACTATATAGCTAGGATAGGATATTGTAAGTAAGTACTTATAGTAGTATTTGCTTTTAAATAGGTATATATTAGTTTATAAGCAAATAGCAGGGATATTATGTTTTTTAAATAATTGCTAATTAGTTGCTGTGAAGTAGGGGAGAGAGCCTGCTTAAATAGCTGCTTACCTTATATATACCTTAAGGTTAACCTTTTAGCCGTTATAGGTCACCTAGGATAGAAAAAATACATTTTCTTCAATTGAATCAACTTATAGGAGTTTTCACTACAGCATGGTATGTTTTTTGGCCTGCGCATTACTATGGTTGGAAGGTGTTGCGTTGAGATCTGCTTTTTTGCTCTCTTTGAATGCATAGGTCAACCCTGACCCCTCCAACCATCATAGATATGCCTCACCAATATTAAGGCTCCTCATCCATACAAATGAAGGGGGGTCAGGTAATCCGCCCGGCTATGGAACCGTGTATACCAACTTCTCTGCGCTGATAGGTCGCATATGATCCTCCCTGAAGTCAGTATCATTTCGTTTTGTTACCAATCCCGACAACAATGCGAGCCCGTCCGGTCGAATCTTTTTCAGCCCACCCGGCATGTTGCGAACCGGATTGGGTTGTAGCTTTGTTTTGCCAGCTGGTGCCTCACTTCCGAGGAACTGGAAGAATCTAGCGGCAAAGTCTCGCGCCTCTGGCTTTGCAGAAAAAACCAATCCTAGACAGAAGCTTAGTGCCGTCGGCTTATGTTGGTAAAGGAAAATATTGACTCACCATCACCGTAATCAACCTCCACTCCTAATCCTTCCCAAACAGTGTCATAGATAGGCTGAATTTTGAGACTCGATAGGTCGAACTGTCCGCCGCCTGGGCTTCGAAAGACGTGAAATCTGCCGTTTTCACCAAGCGTACTGTGAACTTTTTCGACCGTGTCGAATTCTGATATGGTATCGAGGGCGAAATGGACACCAACCCCACCAGTAGCGGCTTTTACTTTGTCAGGCCAATCCGAGTCGTGATAGTCAATCAACACGTCATAATTGTATGGCGCTTGACTTAGAAACTGGTGGTTGGAGGCGCTTGCTGTACCGATAAGGTTGAACTTTTTACCAGATGTCTCAGCGGCGAAGTGCACCAACTGAGCGGCAAATTGCCCAAGGGAGGTAGAAGATCCGTAGATGAGGAGATTGATGGTATCTCCAGGTGGGACCGTTCCAGAAGAAAATGGACTAGGAAGCTTGAGTCGATCAAAGAGCGCTTGAGCTGCGGTCAAACTACACATGCTGACCGTCGAAGCAGCTTGGAGCGTGATTGTGTCTGGAACAAGCCACAAGAGGTCATACGGTGCAGTGACATACTCGGCAAACGCGCCAGGGCGATCGTTTACAGATGAGGCTATCAAATGCCTTAGCATTTCTTCATCTAGAGGGGACGGGTCGAGTATGACTGACCTCCTTGGTGAAATCCCGCAACGCGGGCTTCCCTTTGAACTCGTGGATCCTGCATCTCTGCAATGTCTCTGCTTGCCTCGACCACAACGCCGGCAAAGTCTGTACCAACCACTCGTCGATCCTGGGTAGCGATGGGCGATGAAACATAGAACTCATCAACTGGATTCAACGAAACCGCGTGGACTTTGATGAGCACTTCACCTGGCCCAGGGACCGGAACAGGAACCTCCTCGACAGCCACGATTCCCGTGGACGGAGTAATTGTTAAGGCTTTCATTGCGTGCGTCAATATTATATCTTCATGCGAAGAGAGCGATAGAGTCTTGTTTCTTGTTTGTCTGGATGATGATGGCTATAAACATGAAACCGAGCTTCCCTCATCCTGATGGGCAAGATAATTAAACGACGCCGTAATATATAAGCAAGGCCATTCGCATCGTCTCCAAAATCTCTTGTTCGCAGGCATAAGCCGCTTACCAATCTTACATGCTTACCTTTTTGTCATTACAAAAGCGGAAGGTGAAATATCCTGGCGCTCGCGCCATGGTCTCATTCGTCGTAATCGGCAGAATACGCGAACAAAGCCCGAAAAGAGCCTAGCGCACGCTATTACAGACCACTTGTTTACCCGATCGAACTCACTAGATGCCTCGGTTTGGCCAGATGATGAGAAATTCTGTTACCGTCATGGTGTCGCACAGAGCGTGCTGAAAGGATCAAAGGACAGGTAAATGATAATGAGCAGCAGCAGTCGTTCAATTTATTACGCCCCGCGTTTTATACCGAAATATATCCACACATTTCCCAAATTGCGTCCTTGTCTCCTTCGGCCCATACCATGTCCGCTTGTTGCTTTAATTTGTAAATACTACGCACGGCGGCAGTCGTCTTCCTATGGCGTTGATACACTCCAAAATGGATACCCAAGTGCAATTATCGCTCTCGGAAACGATAGACCGGCGATAAAGGGCATCCCCAATAACTTTCCCAGTTTTAGTCTTGCCCTCAGTGAGGCCTTGTTCGTCAGGATTAAACGTCAGATTATCTGGGACATTCTTCTCTTGCATCTCTTGGCTTAGCTTGGCGTAGGAGCTTTGGGAGTCGTCTTATTAGAGCGAGTGGCCTTAAAAGATACTGAGGTCTATATATTAAGTCTTCCGTTACACTCAAGAAAGCTGTCTGGCTAGTCCTTGCCGACGGGCTTGTCCTGGTGACCTGGGTTATATGGTAGATCTCTCTTGCAAGCTTGCGTAGGCCACGCTTCGTAGGGCCCGACAGGCCTTTTCTTCGCTTATGATGAACTTGACTAATCGTTGCTCTTACTTGGGCGATAGCTTTTGGCGGCTTTCTTGTGCTTTCCGTGCATTTTGACCGCCTTTCTTCCGATGGAGGGCTTATATGGACCAACTTGACTAAAATGGATGACCAATATTCCTGCTTATCCCAGTTATTCTTAACTATAATTTAATTAATAAATTGAACTTCAAACCAATTGTAATGCCGCATTTCTGATTTTCTATTACTAGAAATTAAAATGCGATATATACTTGATGTAATAAACTGATGTATCTTATTAAAATGCATTTTACTGGATTAAATTTGGGGGTGACCTGAATCTATTGCGTGCAATGGATTCGCTTTACCTGTTGATTACCGCCTTTTCTTTTTGTATGGGAGAACCATTAGATTTGCCGCTGAATCTGCTGCGTAGCTAAGATAGGCTGATAACTAATATATAAACTTACCTCAGTGTAATAAATCGATGCATTTACTTGAAATGTATTTTATTAATAAAAACCTATGGGTGACCTGAATCCGTTGGGGTGTAATGAATTCAGGTCGTCTGTTCATTAGTGTCATTTCTTTTACTATGGGAAAGGCATTGGATTTAGAGCTGAATCCGCCGCGCAGCTAGGATAGGATAGAGGTGGAGGAATGGACCCATGTATTCCCTAGCACTATGGGATCATGGATGGAACGTGAGATACTTGTATGATCTGAGTTGGGTTGATAGAATAGAAGCTAATGGACTCACTCGTATTAACTGATTATCCAAGCTCGGCTAGTTGAAGCGCTGCTACGCAGTTTGCCTGCGCGCACTTACTCCCACCTAATGTTGCAGCCTTTCCTAGCCATAGAATATACTCGTGGCAAGTCTTAAAAGTTTGGCTAAAATGTTTAAGAAACCACTTTGTCCGTCCAGGTCGACTAAAAGCTCCAAAGCAAAGCGGCATCACCATATCCGGGAACTGGCATACACCTTTATCTGCACCTTCGTATGCTAGATCCGCGGCTCGGCAAATCACTTGTGGCTGGTAGCACTTCCAACAGACAGCGAACTCGTCCATCCAGCCCTTCCCCTGTCTCTTACACTCCTGCAGTGCTTTAGCCTTTGCTCGAAACCACTCGTGGCGTCGTGCACATGCGGCAGCTGCGTGCTCGAATGGTTTGCCCTCCACACGACAGTAAAGACAACAGCCCATCATCGTCTCGAGATTTCTCTCATACTGCGCTTAGCTCTCCATCACAGACCTTAACTTGGCGGAGGATCTCACTAGGGCCCGTAAAGACCATCTCGCCTGCCATGGACGTCTGATAGTGGTAGCTCTGTTACTAGAGAGATATACCAGCTCTTTAAAGCAAAGTAAGATGCTATTAAGGCAGAACTCTATAATGCCTTAATAGTAATATATATTAGCTTTAATCTCTAGATATTACCAGATTGCTTTATAAGTATAGCTATATTTAGGCACTTTATTAATTAACTAAGGTATTAATAGTCCTATCTTTTAGCTTTATAATATTAATTTAGTGCTTATAGTAGTAAGAATCTTACTAGTTTTCTAGTTAATATTATCTATAAATAGGAAATTAAGAGGCAAGTTGGCTATATTATCTTTAATAATATAATAGTAAATAATACTTATTTATATTATATATACTAAAAGCTTAATTTATTAATAAGGCCTATTAATATTAAAGCCTGCTAGATATAATACTATAGGTATATACTTAATCTTATTATATAAGCCTTTCTCTTTAATAAAAATACTAACTTATTTAAGGTAAAGTCTAATATTAATAATATATATAGCCTTATTAAGCAGGACTTAGATTATTAATATATAAAGGGCCTTATTTATAAGCTTTATAATATTATTAATACTAAAGTAAAGTAAATAATTTAAGTAAGTTACCTGAGAGTAAGAGTATAAGGAATACTAGCTATATAATAAATTTATAGCTAAGCTTAAGGATATTATAAATAATAAAATATAAGAGAACTTAATATATATAATAATTAAGAAGGCTTTATAAAAGTAAATAGATATTAAAGTATTTATCTTTATAACTTAAAAGGAGGAAAATAAAAGAAAATAGATTTTAATAAAGGATATAATATTTAGTAAAGACTAATAGGTTTTTAATAAAGTAAATAAGATTCTTAAACTTATATACCTTTAAATAATATAAATATAAGGCTAAGGTAAAAGTAATAGTTATAAATACCTATAAGAGATATTAATAAAAATAAAATATCTATTAAAGTATTTTAAAGAATAAAAGGTCTTTTATAATAAGGTTATAAAGGAGATAATAAAAGAAACTTAAGTAAATACTATAAAGTAAATTATAATAATATTAATAAATTTCTTAAAGTCTAATAGCTAGCTAAGTTATATATACTATCTTCCTGCCTACTTTAATAAAGATAAGGTTTATATACTATTATAATAAAGCTAATCCCTAAGATTTATAAAATCTGCCTTACTGCTATATTTTTAGGCAAAATATTTTATAATAAAGAAGTAATTAGTATTTAAGATATTATAAAAGAGTATATTATTAGCAAACTATTAAGCCTATATTTAGGCATTAATTAATAATAGGTAGAAGAAGTTAAATAAGTATTATAATAAACTTAGAGAATCTCCCTTATTTATAATAATAGTTATTCTTTATTTAATGTTTAGGATTAGCTAGTTAAAGGCTACTTAAGTCTTTAAGGAGTAACTTGCTTAGGTTTATAATATTAAGGTTAGAATTAAGGATTAATTTACTTATTAATATAATATAAACTAAGGACTATATAAAGAAATAATAAAGTATAATACAGCGTTAAGGACGATGGGCTAAGAGGATAATTAGTATAGTATACTTAATGGATTAACAGCAAGATAAAGAAAGCGTTTGCGATAAGCAGCAGTATCGGCGTGCTTATAAGGTATTTCTGTCTAGAGCTACAGGATATGTAGGATGCTATCCAATAGTGGAGAGACTACAGGGCTTTGTTTCCCTCACTAAGTAACTTTGCTCTGGATGTCTGTGCTATTCCAGCAATGGCAAGCGATTATGAGAGGCAATTTAGCCTAGCTGATGTTGACATCTTAGAGGCTTTCAATAGGCTCGGATACATTAGGACATGTTTAATGCCTTAAGAACTGGGTCAGGCAGGGCGGAGTAAAGTTAGGCAGCTGGGTGGGTAGCTGACTTTTGGTGTGCACGAGGGGGATGAGTTCGCGTAGGGGTCTCCACCTATCTCTTTGAGCGGTGCAAGACTCCAAGGCGGTCACGACAGGGGTCTAGAGCGAATCAAAATTAGCGCAACAATCGGTACCTCTACCTACACCTAAAATAGCATGTGATAGAAGTACCAGCAGTTTTCATTGTTACAAATCGCTACATTACATACTTTACAGCCGTACCTGCTCTTCCGAATTTGGTTATTTCCTGATACCGGCTGTAAATAACCTCCTTTTATCTTCCTTTTTTTGAAGGGTCGGGGCTGACCCTGCCAGAAGCCCTTGCAAGCTAGGCAGGGGGAATTTGATCCTCTGTTAACGTGATTAATATCTCTTTATAGGTGTTTTTGCCGTGCTTCTGTATCTTCGATATCTTCTTCTAACCCTGTACAGCCTCTCTTCCTGGTATGACTTTCTGAAGCATATCTGTTGAAAATAGCGTTATAGATGCACTCCTTCTAGTCTTTTAATGTTATATAAGGCTTCTAATGAGGCTGTTGTATGCGAAGCTGCAAAATGAAGCTATTTGTAAGTGCGACTTCAAGAAGGAAAGACCAAAGCAGCGCCTGCCAAGGACCGCGGCGGAAGCGATGTTTATATGTTGTATATGACCGTATCTAATCGCCGCGGTCAACGTGATTCATTTCATCGTTATATGCAGCGGCAACAGTAGGAATAGGGATTATCTTGAAGCTATCTCTGTTGAAGACCTGCTGCAGGCGCCGTGCCTCTGCCTTTGTGCCTCTTTTAGCGGGCAGTTTCCTCTTTTTTGGTATGCGCTCGTGAGGAGCTCCGCTATGCACAGTTGAAAGGAAGAGCACGATATTGCTATCTTTCTAGGCGATTTAGATGACCTAGAGGAGATAAAAAGGGATAAATTAGTAAGGGAAATATATATAAAGTTATCTATACCTGTTTATCTTGTGTCGGGATTAATATTACCTTATTATACTCCAAAGGCCGGCCATCAGGAGCCTTTCCGGTCTCTTTTATATGCTTCATCTCGGTGGTGATGCCGCAGTTAGGGCGTGCCGTGCCTGTGGCACCGTATCCAAGCTGCCGAAGATGGCGGAAGAGATGCGGCGAGGAAAATAGGTTATCTGTAAAGACGTGATATATCTGTATTGGCAGCCTTTTTAGTAGGTGAACTACGATGCTCTGTGTATTGCTAAGAGGGATCTCGGTCTGAAGCTTTCCCTGCTTGCCGTATGGCTTTAGTATAGGTAGCTTAATGATAATAGCTTTATATGGTGATGCCTTTACATGCCAAAGCCACTGCAGAAAGTAGCCCTGTTGCGCAATAACCCAGACTTTAAACCCTACCGGCATAGGTTTATTCTTGACGACTGTTGTCTCTTTGGATCTGCCTGTAAAAGGGATTATACACTTATCTACAGTTAGATTAGTCCCTAGAAGATAGAGCTCGGTAGATGCCTTCTGTATGTGGTCAGACCACTCTTTAGCCGCTTGGAAGGTCTTTGGAAGATCGCTCTCATCCCTCACATCGAGCTTGGTATAGTCAAAAGTGCGGAAATACCTCGTGATCAGCTCGAACTTAAGTAACGGCATGAACTTCGTAAAAGAGTAAAGAGGGCGCTAATCTCCTAGGCTAGGGGCCTTCTAATAGTCCTTGATTAATATTTCCCTATAAATTCCTAGGTAAATCATGACTCTAAGCTATACATAGGCTGTTGCGATAGAGAGGTCTTCCTACTTAAGTATGCGTGAGTGTTCGGAAAGGGGTGTATTCTAGTTATCAATAATAGCATTTTCGAGCAAGTAAGTGACCCAGCTGTTGGTGTATTCGATCCATGACTATACAAGGGAAATAGGTATAAAAAACTGGAATAATTCAAGTGGTTCCTAGGGCAGAGGGTTAATCTGAAAATCACGATATTCTAGGTTAAAAGGCTGAAAGTCAGAGCCTCTGCCTTCCTCAGGCGGAAAAATCGGCACCCCGGTGGGGTCATTACGGCTGCGCCTTAAGTGAGGGTCAAAGCTGTGATCATCTAGGCTATCTTGTATCTTTAAAGAGCTCATTGTTTTCTTTGAGACTTGTTAGGGTTAATTTGTATGAGGATTTGTATGTATTAATTGAAGAAGCCGTCTGACGAGAACTTCTCGTACCCTGCAGGTACTTGTGTGATTAGATAAGCTAAGTGGGGCAAGTGACCCTTTGGAGTCTTGCACCGCTCAAAGAGATAGAATTTATATAGAATATCAATCAAATCAATCAAATCAACTTTGACCTCAAAGTTGATTTGATTGACATATGATGAGCGCTGGCAGTTACAGACAAAGCTCCGTCATGTGGATATATATAATCACTGGCTTCGACAGGAGGTCACAGAGAGCAGGATCAAGACTGCCTACACACCATCCGCTGAGCTTATAGCCGATGGGTTAACAAAGAGTCTTCCAAAGCTCTCTCATCTTGCATTCCTTCAACGGTTGAAGATCACCGATCAAAAGGAGATACTAAAGGCAAATCGCAATAGAGAGCTCTCCGAAGACCAAGCAAAACTGGAAGCCCTCATGATGAAAGAGGACCTGTGGAATTACCCTGAATAAGGGGGCTGAAAGGAGGTCAGCCCGGCCGTGACCTGCCGGCCTGAGGGGGGTGTCAGAGAGGGCAACCTGTGCCAGAGGCTCGGAGATTTGCTTCCGAGACCTCCGAGAGAATCAGCCAATCAGAGGGTGCCACCTCCTCGGATAAAACAAGGGGGATCACAGCTAGCCCCAAGATAGAAGTTACACACATCAGATTAATACACACGCTTCCTATTGCACAGATGGTGCCTTGGTCGGTCCTATGATCCTCTGCCAGCTTTGCGTTGAGACTTGCCGGCCTGTAGCTCAGCAACAATGACAGACCTTTGCTCCGGAGTGAGTTCAGGACTGAACATGGCCGGTGGCAACAGAAGCCGTAATTACGCGGAGGTGTGACATTTCTTGGCTTTTTGCAACGCTATAGCAAAGCTTCATGCGTAAATAGTCCAGATCAATATTTATTCAAGCATTTAGGTAGCCGCTACAGCTTCTAGGAAAGAGTTTACTTATTATCATAATATATATAGCTTATAGCGGTAAATTCTCAAGAATAATACCCCCGCACGATAACAACGAAAGTAAGACAAGGCATCATTAAGACTTTATCAAGATTATTAATTCTAGTCTACTAGCTACTAAATTCGCCCCTCCCTATCGCATATCTATTATAAACATTGGACTAACGCCCCCGCACCAAGACCAAGAAACGAAATCAAGATGACATTTGGTCATCAATCAATAAGATCTATACATTCTAGTCCACTTCCTACTGAGTTGACCCTATTGTACGCCCTAGATACCTACCGCGTATCTAACAGCTAGCTAACAGCCTCACTAACCCCTCACTAACGCCACTCAGTAAAGCTGACCAGGATCTGACGGAACCTTCCGCTCCGTATCACACACGCCTGATATTTAAAAGTTATATACAGTATACTAGGTAAAGCATCCTACCGAAACGTTTTATAACAGAGGAAGCTAATTTTGCAAGCGACTGCTTGTAATGTAACTGAAAACCTAAAAGAGATTGCGGCCCCTACTGAACCGATTACGATCCTGTGTACGTACTGTGTGGTACAGAGTATGAGTGTGGGTAAGGCTTTGGTTGGCCTTCTATCATGATATTACTATTGTGGACCGAGATTGTAGTAGAGTGGGATACCTATTGTCGACACCGAGGGGACCAAGTGAGGCGACATAGTCGCGTGGTAGAGGCCAGGGTTGATACTTAATTAACTAATAACTTGACTAGTTACTACGAGTAGTAATAGTTAAGGCACCGGGGACTAAGCTTGGAAGCAGGTAAAAGAAAGTCACACTGGGCTGCTATAACTTGAAGGGCTTTTACAGTACTGAAATCGAGATATGCTGACTTTTGCTTACTAAGATGCAGATAAATGAAATGTTCTTTAGCTCTTCTCACGTCTATTGCCTAAAGTCGCGTTGAATAATAGTGACGTGTAAGGACACGGTTTCTCATCAATCAGTCGTTCTCATATCCACAGCCTGTATTTTATATCCTGGCACCTGCATCATTATTACCCCTCCGACGCATTATCAAGCCACTCTTGTCTTTGAACTTTCAGCTCTGGTATGGCTCGCTAAATAAACGTAGGGGCCCCAAGGACTCCCGACTGCAGACCTGCCAGCCACTTGGGACCTATCGGTGACATTGCCCCAACGACTAAGTAAAAGTATACGACGCCTCCATATTGTTACCAATCGAGGCCGTCTTTAATGCCCGTGGCTGAAGTCGGAGAATGTGTGTATACATTCGCCTTTAAGCTTGAATGCTAACGATAAATAAACCAAACCCCCGACTGTTATTTTGCGAGATATCTCTGCCGACGGTTTCTTCACCATCTCACTGTCAACTCTAAGATGAGTAGTCTACTACATTTTGGGTTAGCATTTGGCTTTTGGATTGTCAAGGGATCACAAGGACGAGTCCTGTACGAGCCCACGCAACGATCGCGCATCGCGGACCATGACCGATTACCTGCGGTAACCCTTATGGTAGAGATCCCTAACTTCAGGCATGCAGCAAAGCGGCATGAGACCAGCTTTCCAGATGACTTCCATACCCTTACTGTAGCACCAGATGAAACATGCGGTTGGCTGTCGGGGAAGTCCGAGAGCCCAATTACTTGCGAGTTCCATCAAACCTGCATGTGGGTGCGATCATATACGATGGGATTTATACTCTGCGGCGTGATTCAGGAGACTGATATTAAGTACGAGGCTAACGCATTATGTCTTGGGAGAAAGGACGCATTGGATACGGACATTTGCGACGATAGTTGTCAGACAAACATGCTTGTTCTTCGCTGGTGAGTTGAACATTCTGCAGTCCTATGAGATTTGTTTCTGACTGCTGTAATTGCACTCTAGTACCGAAGAGTCGTCTGCTTATTGTCAAACATATGCTTATCCGGAGGGAATTGAAGACTATAGATGTGCACCGACACCTGTAACCAGGGTCGAGAGTGTATATTTTACATACAAGGGTCAGGACCATGCAGAATTTTTCACTACAACACTTACCCATGGAGATATCACGTCGACTGAACCTACTCCTACCACTGGTCCCGAAACTAGCGCAACCATACCGCCTCCACCTCCACCTCCACCTCCGCCAAAGTCCGAACCTAATATTGGAGCTATTATCGGTGGTGCGATTGGAGGTTTCATAGCACTTTCGCTCGTAGCATTGGCGATCTTCTGGTCTGTTCGACGGTTGAAGAAGAATGATACCCCCCCAAGTCAGGCTGTTTCGATGCAGCAATCTCCGCAGATCGGAATAGCACCAGTTGATAGGAGTCGCGGAAAGACGAGCGCGACTTCTCCAGTGCAGCCCGAGTGGAGAGATTCGGTGATAACTGTACCGAACGCGGTTACCAGTCAACCTAGGTCACCGAGTAGCCAGAGCGCGGCGTATCAACGTGATCAGCAGCCTGCACCGCCGCCTGTAGCTTATGAAATGAGCGGAGACCGCCTTGAACCTCCGATTCAGGAAATAAGCGGAGACTTTGTTCATTCCTAGATATAGTGTGTTGAAAAACGAGGGGGTTTGCTTGTTAATAAAACGAGGTAGTTCCTTCATATTGGCAACATAAATAGTTCATCTCCAATATTAAGAGGTTATCTACAGTTTCACGCGAGTGCTATATAAATGATTATATTAGAAAATGCTACTAGTACTAGTTATTATTATTATTATTATTATTGTTATTACTATTAGAATCTCTAGCTCTACCGCTATAAAAACTGCTATTATAACTACTAGTAAATCTATCTCCTTTAAGCTTATATACTATATCTCATAGTAAGGTCTACTATTCATCTGTAAACTAAATCCCCTACTGCTTAAGCGCCTTATTACAGCTAATATAATATACCTACCAGCAAAAGCTTAGATATTAATAATTAATAGACTAATACTTACTTATTAATGTCTTTTTTCTCTTATAACCGAATGACATTGCACTTAGATTAGTTGTTATTATGTTAGCGAGCTATTAGAGCGTCTTGGTCGGCATACTATTAACTGGCCAATAGTAGCGGTCTACCTCCTGGTTGAAGCTCTGCCTGAGCTGCACCAGTAGTAGTCGCTTGTGGATTACCTGCTTATCTTTCTGTTGGGCCTGTCTGTATGTTGCTGTCTTTGCTTTTATCTACTTGGTTGCCTTAAAATTGTCAAATAAGTCTTATAAGCTAAAGTGCTTAACCTAACCTAGCCTCTTAACCTATGGCGAATCGTAGTCGATGTCCTCTTTTAAGTCGTCCTTCTAGAGTTATATGGCGTCTTCTGCTTTTAGTCAGGCTTAACTATTAATAATAATTCTTTTTATGGTGCTATCTCTAATAATGCCAGTGACATCCGATGTGTTGTCAGTATTATATATGTATTGGATACTCCAATATTACATATACTTCCTACCTATTAAAGTTTATGATTAAACCTCAGTCCATCAAATCTCTACCATACCATAACCTACTTTTTTCTAATAACAGATAATATTATCTCATACCACTGTAAGATACCTACACACACAGCAACTATACCCATATAATATTAGGAGTAATTCGATAGCTACAGTACTATCCAATAGAAGCAGCTCGGTCTCCGGATCAGCCAAGTCTACGCCGATGTAGTAGTCGTCAATGTCCCTTACCTTGTCACCCATCAGTTGATGTGCCCGCCGGAAGTGCTTCACAAATCTGTTGGGTCGAAGTGCCGTCTGACATTTTCAGCAAATGGTAAAGTGGTCTTCCATACACGTCTTTCCCTGCAGATAAAAAACAGACACTCATTTCGACTGACCCTTCATAAGCTCCGTGCATTTAGTTTCTTCAAGACAGAATAGACGTCTAGTATAAACCGTCTCAAAACATGTACACTTATGGTCTAGCCTGATTTAGGGTTCCTAACTCTACGTCCCGACTAGGTTTCTGATAGTGGCTATTCTCGACATCATCGATCGAATTGGAAGTTATTCTCCCTGCGTGTTTTGTTTCCCCAGCCAACGTTTGAATCCGCCGTCCCACATGCGCTTCAACCCATCCCTCAACCTATACTATTGCATTAGCATACAGACCACTAAACGCATATTTCAGAAATTTAGTTACCTCAAAATATTTGAAGAATAGCCATCCAGTGATTGTTAAAAGTAAGAAGGATCCCACAAAAAGAACATACCATCGCCAATCAGGATTATTCTCCAGTATATCCACGTTCATACCAAAAAGGCTCTAACATTGCGTTAGAACCTTCTAATTCTTGAGATGTACGTTGTGATCTTACCGCGGCAAACATGGCTGGCAGGAAGATGAACTGGAGATTTCAGTATTGGTCTATAATAATTACAGGGAACTGAGGGTCACACACCGTAATCCAGCTAAGTCGTTTCATGCTGGTTGCTAGGCTGGTCGACTTGTGAGCCTCATTGATTGAAACCCAGGCAAATTCCTGTTATATCAGCAGCGATATAAAACAAACTGAAATTTACTCACTAGTTGCAGCAGATCCCTGATTCTTTGACCCAAGCTCTGCAGCTGTCGGTCCACGTCTGCAAATCTATGTATTTCTTCAAGTGTTCTTCTTTCCTTGCCTGCGCCATACCGGCAACCTAGGTCTATACTAAACTCCCTCGCGCCGCGAACTTGGCCTTGAAAAAAGCGGCGGAGCTTGGCGATGTGCAGAGCGTTCTCCGCGAAGTGGGATATAGTTTCTGGGCTTTCCCCCTTAGACTCTAGCTGGTTCAATCGCTATCCATTATAATTAACCACAAATATCTTTGATCGCTGTTAGTGTTGACTCACAAGGCGAGATAGATAGTCCTCAAATTGACTGCACAACTCTGACCATCTGGCGGTCAGGTGGACCAAGAATTGCTGAAACAATTCAATGCCATCCTCTGGAATCCAGCCATCTTGCAACATGCTGAAATACCGGTCGTCCTTTGTCTTCCGAGCGGATCCGCTATCTTCTCCAAGGTCGACCATGGTCCACGCTACTCCGGAGCCTTCCCAGGTGATTCGACTCTCCCCTGAGCCCACCTGTAGCGTTGGAACGGGCGCAATGGCATAAGCACGCGACTCTAGACTCCTATACTAATGGTAGGACATGATTCGCATTGTATCTTCCAAATCTGGTAACTTTGTGAAAGACGGCCTCCCAAACCCATGAGAGGCGAGCATGATTGATGACCAAGCCTGATAAGTGGATGAGAGACTCAAAGACGTCAGCATATCATCTTAGAAGCGCAACAGATGACCTACAATAATTGTCTCTTAACCTCTGGTTCATTTGGCAACACGTTGTTCATGCTAAAAAAGTTCATTCTTCGTGCCCCAGTAGCTCTTTCTAAAATATGTAGGTTAAATTGTCAGTGAAAATCTTCGTAGAGTGTTCGCCAACTCTCAAACTTGATACCCTTCATACATGCAGAGTTCTCAAGTAGTAACTCAGCAAAGTTGCGAAGCTGGAACCGAACTGCGAAGGACAGAGGGTTCGTGAAATGCGTATCCTCAGCGTTGACATCCGCCCCCCTTGAAAGAAGCTTATCAGCAATTTCGAAATGATTATTAAGGATTGCGATGCGCAACGAGGTCTGGCCTTGACTGTCTTTGGTATTGATATCATACCTATTGTCAAGCAGGACTTCGATAAGCGGCAGATTCCCTTTTTGAACTAGCGAATGCAGAGTGACAGTGTCTCGAGCTGCAAGAAAGGAAACCACAATATTGTGTTGATTCTCAACGGCTCTGGACAACGGTGTACGGCCATCCTGGTCCTTATAATCCACATTAACGCCGCTATTCTCAAGCAATAAATTCACTGCCGAAATACTGTTGTTCTCTGCGGCTCTGGAGAGCGGTGTTCGTCCTTCATCATCTTGCTGATTCGGATTCATAGTGGCGATGTTTAGTACTAGCTTCATCTCGTCCTTCCTGTTTTTCTCTGCGGCCCAGGATAATGGCGAGCGACCAGTAGGAATCTCTGGATTACGACTGATTTTAGCGTTCAGAATTTTTGATGCTATGTTCCGAAGCCCTTTGTCCAAAGCTATTGAAAGTAGCGCGTAGCCGCGGCCCATAGAACAATCAGGGCCAAGATCAATGTCGTCCTGGTTAAGGAGCAATTCAGCGACAGCTTCATGCCCCTCGGCCAATGCTAGGGAGAGTGGCGTTTTACCGTGACTGTCTCTGGGGTTTAATTCGATATCATCTTTCTTGAGAAGCAGGCTAACGATAACCTCGTGCCCATTAGCTGCGGCTGCAGAAAGCGGCGTCCGGTCAATTATATCTCTAGGGTTTAATTCGATATCATCCTTGTCGAGGAGAAGGTTGACAATGATAGTGAAGCCAAGGGCCACGGCGATCGACAAGAGTGTGTGGTCGTTATGGTCTTTTCCATTTTTTTGAATGCAATCTTCGCGTAACAGCAACCGAACATCATTCTCTCGTCCTTCCTCGACGGCCGTCCACAGTAACGTGTGCCTGGTTTGAACATACTCATCGTAGTCTGGATCATATGGCCCGTTCTCCATTGTTGCAAAGAGGACAAGGTAACCGAGTATCACTGAAGCTAATCGTCAGTAATGGATACAAAGACCGTGAGAATGATTGGTATTTGGAATTAATAACCTTCTAACGTTTTGCGTCCAGCATCAGAATTAGTACTTTACGAAGACAAGTATCGAGCATGAGGAGCGTCTTCAGCCTGATCTCAGAACATGGTAAGCAAGGCATATCTGGTTGGGCATGGCTGCATATGCGAATTTTGCCGCATTAACTAATTAATTCTGCTTTAGCGAAATCTGCAAGGTTGGAAATCGATCGACTGATCGACTTGATCGATTCGACTTATCGATTCGATTTCGATTTTGATCAATCGATCCAGCTTGTTAATTGATATCGATTAATTAATTAGAAACCCTAGTCGATCGATATCGTATCAATCAAACCTCCAGTCGATCATTGAGGAAAACTGCTCGATCGGTGTCATATCGATCAAACCTCTAATCGATCTATACGATCGCCGATTGCCAACTTATATCTAAAGTATCCCGGGTAGCTTGCCGACCAGCCGTCGGCTATTTCAGCCTCGATAACATATGCAACCATAAAACTTCCGGACTACGATGTTTAGACGGCTGATAAATTCAGGCGATTCCCTAGGTTTACGATAGGCCATGACCTTTCTCAAGAGCGGACATAGTAGTGGCATTTCGGATTCAGAATAAAGGATAATAGGCCACAGACTCGGAAGATAGTATAGGTCTGCGAGAGATACTTCCTCCAGAACAAACCGAGGACCACGGATTATATATTCATTGCTTCGACAGGCGGAGGTATTGTCCGACATCGTGGTTTGTGTTATCCCTCCCCATCCCGTGCCCATGTCATTGGACGAAACGGCTGCTAACATATCAGCCACCCTCACAATACGCAAGACCCGTGGCCGGAAGTGAAGGTACAGATCGGAACATACTCGATATGCTTCGCGCCGATCTCGGAGACTTCTGAAAGTTTACATCAAGCTCGGATGGAAGAATCTGAACGAGTACTATGGCAAGCTGAGCCCTACTGCTTATATAGCGGCTGTTATATTTTATCCTTGTAAGAAATGGCGAGCTCTTAAATGGCTTTAGGACTAACTCCTGACTTATTAGATATTCGAATAGAGGAGAAGGTATGAGAGAAGCCTAATGATTATATAGGAAGATAAGTATAAGAATAAGGCTTATAGGGCGGGGTCTGGGACTGTTTTGGCAGTAGAGGCTATGAGTGCCTTAGACTATATTGAATGTCAGCTGGCCTTTAGTCGCTCATTAGCTACAGGCATTTCTAATTCTTAAGGGCGATAGTATAAGCAATAACTAGCGGCGGCGATATTAATATAAAATAAGTTTAACTAGTATCTATTAGAGCCACTAGTTAATAATATGGTATATAAAGCTAATCTGATTAGTTAGTAGAGGGATATTAGTGCTATATAATAGCTATTAACTTTCTTACTATTATATTATCCTTAGTAGAAATAGAGAGAAACTTTAGTAATTATAGGAGGATAATAATATTACTATGGTTATATTTATAATGGCATATTATAGGCATATCCTAGTATCTTCAATCCTAGAGTAAAGCTAGTATCTACTAGCTAACTCTTCCTTTTAGTTTACTTAAAGGTAAGAATTAGAGGCAAGTTCTTTAACTAGTAGGCAAGATAAGGGTAAATAGGGATAGTAAAACCTAGAACTAATCTAATTAGTTATTAATTAATATTAATTGCTAGATTAATTAATTATTACCTTTAGTTAATTAATATTAATTAAGTGGTAGTAATGCTTAATATAAATTAATTATTTAAGGCTTAAAATTTATTAGTATAATAACTAATTAACTAGTAGTTAATTGATATCCATTAACTGAAGGTAATAATCGATTTAAATCAATTATTTAAAGCTAGCAATCGATCTATATGATCGATTTCTAAGCATGCTTATACCATACACCAAGCACCCCGTGTCACGGAGGCGGGACGCCGCTTCAGCCGCCGTGGATTGGACGCTGGATACTTGAAGAATAGCTTTCAAGCTAGTTCGCTGGTAATGCTACTAAAACCACGGGAGAATGCAGAGAGCAGCAGAACAGAGAGGAGAATTATAATCGAGGAACAAGCGGAGTATGGGCTTTAGGAGACGGATTTCAATTCGAATGATGCAAGGCAAGGTATAGTATGGGCTTCCGGAAATGGGGACATAAATTGAGCAATGTCTGGCACAGCATGGGCTTGAGGAGACGAGGACGAAAATTAGGCAATGCATGTACGGATTAGTGACTAGTGCCCTATCGGCCGAAATGAGCCGCCGGGCGTAATAAATTGTATTGTATTGTATTGTATTGTATAGACTGTACCTTACATACGTCGTCCTCCATGAAGTATCCATCTTTTCATGCTTACGGAGTAGGTACTTGCCCAAGAGCAGGCACGGGACCGTTCATCATGGCAACGGCAAGAGGTTGTAATCGCTTGGCCGCAGAATCGAGTTCCGCAGTATCCAGCTCGGCAGCAATGATCTCAAACGTAACCTTTTCGGCCTCCAGCTGCTTTCGAATCGTGGCCAGGAGACTCGGCTGCAGTCCCGCAGGCACGACCCCAGAGAACTTAGTCTTTGTCGGTGAGAAGCTGATCGGCGTTTCCACGCCGCCGATGTGGATGCCGCCGTGCTCGGCGAGGGTCTCAATGTCGCGGCGGATTTGGCCGCCCAGCTGGGAAGTTTTGTAGGACTTTTCGATCTGTTGAAGAGTTTTGGTAGGGGTTTTGCCATCCAGCTTTGCTTGGGCTAGGAGGTCTGTAAACTCGTCCCTTGCTGCGGCGCGGAGCTCGGCTTTTTGGGCGTCTGTTGCTGCTGCCGCGGTAAAAGACAGCTCGCGGGCGCCGTGGGGACCTGCTTTTGATTCGAAGACGGCGAGGATGTTCAATACCCCATTGTCGAAGTAGCCCAGGATTCCGTCTGTTACTTGGCGGTTGTCGAGGTCTCTCTGGCCCACTCGTCAGTCTCCTTTCATTTAGATCTGGACTTTGCGACTGGGCGTCTGAACGTAGGAGGGACGTACGATGAGATGTCCGGGGATGAACTCTAGCTGCTTTTTGTCGGGGACTCTGAGGCCCAAGGGGAAACTACCCTAACGCTCTCGCAGCCAGGGCACGATTCGGGACTCTAGGAGCTCTTCCAGGAAATGGCCTTTTATATGGTTTAGGTTGCCACCTTTTAGGAGGACTCGTTCCAACGCGAGGGCATCGAGGGTCGCGTAGACTTGGGAGCGGCCGACTAGTGCAGTCAACGCATCAGCTACTCTTTGATCGACGGCAGAGTTCACAGCCGCTCTGGCGCCGCCTGGCTTCACCACATCGAGTGCCTTGGCCGCTTCGTCAGTTAACGACTTATTGAGGCGGCTTCACTTCCTGATAGCTTCCTCAGCCTTGCGCAAAGTAGCAAGCTTCTGGGAATCTTGGGTAATCGTTGCGCCGGCCTTGACGGCTCTTGACCAGCCCACGGCATCTCGCCCATACAGCTTGGCGAGACGGGCCTCCGTGTACAGGGCTCGCCCCCCTTTGGCGAGCCTCCCGATAATAGGCAGCAAGAGCGTGGCAGCAATAACGCCTCGCTCGATATCTGTGAGGTGGTAGTCGAACAGATCTTTCCCAGTGTATACTTCATACACAGCGACTATTTTACTGACAAAGGGAATCATTCCAATGATGAATTCTGCTACTTCGACCTCCGTGGGGACGTCGACGGCGGTGTGCTCGACATCCAGAGGCAGGAGCTGAGCCTCTCTCAGCAGCGTAACGACGTCTTTCCGGTCCGTCATATTAATCCCCTGCCGTCTAATACCGCCATAGTCGACCGTCTGCCTGGAAAGTTGCAACAGATATGAACGCATCTGTCGCATCCAGGCTCCCCGAACTCTCCACCTTTTACTTGCAAAATGAAGTTGATACTTATGACATCGAGGTCCGCATTAAGCGAGATGAACAATATAACTCCTCGTTTCTTAAACATGGGCAAAAATACATGCTGCGCGTTATCGATCCGGCCACCTGTTTTGGTGACCGAGATCTGTCGCTGTTTACTGGGGGCGCTGGGAGCGGCATTGGAAGAGAGGCAGAAATTGGTTCAGGACTGTTTGAGGTCGGAGACCATGCCCCTGCTATAACTACTCTAATCTACCCAAGAGATAATATAGGTTGAGGGATTTTTGTCACGCTTGCTTATCATATACGTTATCTTTAGTTAGAATAAAACACTTAAGCAGAATAGCTTAGATAGTTAATACTAACACTGAGGGCCGAAAAGAAGAGCGATAACCAAGCTAGAAAGAATAAGGCGAGATTCGTATGGGCTTGGAGAGAACAAGGAACAAGCTAGAGCGATGTTCTATAATTTTGGCTTTAGAGAACTTTGGGTACGGCCACCCGGGCGTAATAGACATGTGTGTATGTTTATGTGTTTGTGCAGCAGGGGGTTGGGGCTTATGCGTTCCTCTGGGTGAGCACGTGGTGAAAGAAAAGACCGTCATCACACGGCCAACAAAGTAAAAAGTTCAAAACACCATACTTTCCCGCTGCCTATAAAAGATGGTCTAAATTCCAGAAGATAAAGTAATCAGACAGGCATCGATGATAACATTCAGCGCTTCTGTGACGGAGTCCTTGCTACTGCTGTCTTGTAGCTCCAGTCATTAGCTGCCGGATCCCTTGAAGGATCGGGAGCTTCAACATTGGGCGCAGCTTCTGACTGCACGCTGATCTCTTGTGCGTAATGACTTGCCGTCACTGTCTTCCGGCAGAATATGCTCGTCGCTGCCCCAGGCCGTTGTATGGGGGACAGTAGAGAGTGGGTGGCTACTCGGCCCTCGTCGTCGACTAGTGCCGAAGCGACTTCCGCCCATCTCACTACTTCTGAGCTGGTGGCTCTGGGAGGTTGATCTGGTTCCCCGGCTGAAGAGTACACTCAGGCCGATCATGCTCGCGCCCTTTCGTAGTAGAGGCTGGATGATCGGTAAGTTTGTGACGACAATGGCGACAAATGATTCGCAACACGCCCAAGCGCTTCCCGAGACTGCTCCATTGGGCCCCGACTAAAGCAAGAGATGTTGGTTAGTAAATGTCAACACCTTGTCGGTGTACAAGATGGCCTATGCTTACAGTGAGAATTGTCACAGCTCGAATCGTGCCAGCCATCATAATGAAGAGAGCACCGCTGAACAGAAGCATAAGAGTGAGCCTGCGTCGCAAGCTAATATTGACACCCCAGAGAAGCTGCATCGCAAGTTAGACAAGTTGTTGACAACTGTGTCATCATGACATACAGGTAGTGGAATAGAAAGCAAGTAGATATCTCTCAAGATGTTTGGAATAACCACCACCAGTACGTATGCTGGCGAGTTTATGGGTCGGCACAGGGTTCCCGGATCTGGGGTGACCTGCCAGAGGTGATTGAATGGTTGACATGATAGAAGAATCGTGAGGGCGACAGCCGTGTAGGTAATCCCAAGAACGATGTATGCAAGTTTCACACGGGTCTTGAGGTGAGTTAATCCGGACCTGTGCGATAGTCAGTAACAACGACCCTAAGTTTGCGACAACTGGATAGCACAAACGTGAGGCGGCCGTAGAATGCTGTAACGCAAACCTTGAGCGACCACAAGGTACAGGCATATAACAACCAGCCGATGACCTGAATCTTGGATCCCCAGACACGATTGTAGTGTTCTTGACCGTGGATGTCGATGTTCGTGCGCTCTTCATTCGTCATATAACTATTGGTGAGACCTTGGAATTTGGCAACGACTAGATCCGCTGCTACCGTCTCTGCAGTAAAGACAACCTGTAACCAAAACGCATGTCAGCAAAGTTGCATAAAGCAGCGATATTGACAGATCCCAAAACCGCGCACTTGGTGTTGGTGCTCTTGGGTTCATCGCTGATGAACCAACATGAGCTATCAACCAACAAGTGGGTTCGTTGCTGCAGATTCTTGTCAAAAAAGACATAACTCACTCCCGTTAACGGCATCAGATAATCGTCGAGTAGCCATCCACCAGATGCTACTTGCCGCCATCGTACTCCAATTCGGACACCAATGGTGGCAAGCCCGAGCGAGAGTAGCACAAATTGTTCTTCGATACCCATCTCCACATGCTATTATGCTGCAGTACAAGAAGCAGGCAACGTTAGTCGGCCCGAGGGGTTGGGACCGGAGGTGTGAGAAGTAAAGATACGAAGGGATCCAGGTCGAAAGGGAAGAGAAGCAGAAGAAAAAAAGAGGAACTCGTGTTGGGAATAAATCAACGTGTATAGATCTAGATAAGGCCAAGATCTTTGCCTTATGGAAGCGGGGGCACGTCGCAGTGATCGTGTTACTAATGAAGCGGGTAAGGGGCATCAGATAGGGGGGCATTGGGGTCAAAGAAAGCACCGGATTGTTCCATTACACTTGTCTATGTAGATGGGTATGCAATATGAATACATACAAATCTTGTGATATCACTAGTGCCTGGCCGATAACTGTCTATCATTGAGCTGACTGACTCCCACTATCGGCCATCTGATGAGGGACGGCCCTTGTACTATCCGAAAGTGTCGGGCGGGATTTGTTCCGGGTGACGGAAGGTGGGTCTAGATCCACTTTCAGGAGTTAGCCGATGACAGTGTCCGCCAGCACATGCATCACGGTGTTCATGAACTCAAGTGATCGCTGAACAGCCCGCACATCCACAACAAGGCGGATGTTGGCGAGTCCGTCGTTCATTGCGCCTCTTTCTTTCCTGCGGCCCCACTAAAGTTCATGCCAGGTACCGAGTATAATGATTGGCATATGGGATTGCCTGACAACGCGGGGCAGCCAATAAAAATGCATCTAATTAAAGGTAACTAGCCCCCCCACCTACTTTAGCCTATGATTGAAGTACCAGCAACCTCTCGACTTACAAATTGCTACATTACACTGCTCACATCCCCAAATTGTCTGGCGCCTCCTCTTATTACGACTGACCGGCGCCAATGGCCTTCTTGAGCTTCCTTATCTTGGCTGCCCTAATTGAAGGCTCTTGGCGGCTATTATCTTCATTGATAAAGCTATCATCATCATACGTGTTGACTGTCTCTACAGGCAATGATTAAGCTACCGACTGGGAAGTCATCGTCTGATTAAGAATGGTTTGTACAAGAATTGGGTGATTGTTGCTTAATGATGCATCGTGTGGTTCCCCTCATGTGCCTCCTCGTTAACAGGGATGGTGTGGGGCAGGTTACTCGCTGGAGCTCCTCGACAATTGAAGAGCATATCACCGGGTGTAGAATCCGGTCCCCACATCGTGAAGGCCCTCCTAGATTCCCCAACTTTAACGTAACGCACGAACCTTCGTCGTCGAGACGGAGGGTGTCACCCTTTCGGCCCCACAATTTGCCTGTGAGTGGGCAATTCTGAAATCCATCGTCCTCCTAGTGGCTCGTTAGCTCTCGGTCGTGTCCAATTGTTATCTACATGATGCACAACTCAAACTCAACTTTGAAGGGCTCGTGCGTGGCGACCGCCGACTGACTGTTTTTAAGATGGGTCAGATGAGCTCTTTTTGAGCAACTTGTGAACTCGATTTCTTCTTTCGATTCCTCGACCCAGGGGGTTATGCCACTCACGCTCTCCATACCCTACCTCTGATATACTAAGATGAGCAACTTTACGACAGAAGCATTTACGTTGCTCGGTATTGGCCTCGCAATCATTGGTTTGCGATGGTACGTCCGTATCTCAGCGGTGGGCATTCGCGGATTACAACCCGACGATTATCTGATGGTCTTGGTAGTGGTAAATGCCGACGATTTCCTCATTGAATGCCACCTAAATGACATCTGACGATACCAAGGTCTCATATACTTTAGAGACCATTCTTAGATATAATGTCGGAGCGCGCTGGCATGGTTTGGCAAACAATGGTATGACGAATGAGCAAAGAGCAGCACTCGATCCCGCGAGCGACGAATACACATGGAGAGTCAACGGATCTAAGACTCAGCTTATGGGATGGGCTGCATATTCGTTCCTCCTGTGGTGTCTCAAGGCCGCCATGTGCACGTTTTACCTGCGACTCACAGATGGATTGAAAAAGTCCAGGGTTCCTATCTACGTGGGATTTGTCCTCCTCATCATTACTTGGATTACCATCATTTGCTGCGTCATGTTGACTTGTCGACCATTCCATAAGAACTGGCAGATTGATCCTGATCCGGGCAGTGCGTTTAATTCTTTCCGTAGAACATTTACCTTAGTTAACCGAACACTTCCTAGACTTTTGCCAGCCGGCGGTCTCCAGGGTCAACCTCTTCACCATGGTCGTTTTTAATAGTATCACTGACCTGTATCTGCTTTCGATCCCGATACCGATGCTCTTGATGGCTCAGATTCGTCTCCACAAGAAGTTGGGACTAGTCCTGCTTTTTTCAGGTGGCATTTTTACCACCACGGCTGGTATCTTGCGATGTGCTCTGATCTTGACGGTGAGTTAGTTCGTTAGTTGCTTTTTTTTTTTCTTCTTTTTTTTCTTTTTCTTCTTCTTTTTTCCGGGGGGGATTAATTTTCTCTCTGTCCTCTTGACGGTACCGTTTGTACTTATGACCTTTTACCGTAGAATCCCATTAAAGGCGCCCAAGAGTCAGGAAACTGGGCATGTCGAGAATCGTTCGTCGCCATCGTCACCACTAACGTCCCAATGATATTTCCACTTATCCGACGGGTGCTTTCGCCCATCATCAGTATCTTTTCATCTATGACACCTAAGTACGATTTGTCAAGGCGGAAAGCGAAGCCGCAGCCTGGGTCAATACGTCTTCACGATAATATTAACCGCCACAGCTCTCACAGCGCCATGTTCCGAAAGAATCCTCCAACATCACCGTCATCAGCCTACGCGATTACGCATATTACGTCTGGTGCGAGCGAAGAGCACTTGGATAGGCAGCCTGGGATTAGAAGAGATTTCGAGGTCACAGACGAAGAGTTTAGGGACGAGGTGGGGTTTGGAAGCGGTGAATACCACCCATAAGAAAGAAGTGTTTCGATGACACCGAGAAGTTCAATTTTGACCGGACTATGGTCTATATCCCACGAGTGCTCAAAAGACAACACCTCCGTACTTAGCCCCACATGACCGGTGCGATGACGAGAGTACGAGCGGGGTACCGGAAGTTTGATCCGTCATTTCAGCCCCCCCCAAAACACACTGGAAGGCCCCTAAAGCATTTCAATTTCATCAATGAGTACTCAATTGATTCCCGAGGATGCGCCGGCTCTCAATGTCTATGATGATAAGAGCTTTATTAAGGCAAAGCACAGTCATCGGCTGTGGCCAAATGACCCCACCTGCATAGTTGTTTTCCCGGCTACCCGAGACCGAGGCACGCAATTTGAACCTTTCAACGTACCAAGGCGCGAATTTCACATTGCTACGCTTCCTCCAACGCCTCTCGAGCTATTCCAGCTTTTCCTACCTATTTCCCTTGTTGAGAAATGGGTACATTGTACCAAGATCTGCATCTCGTGGCTCAAAGCCAACGAATGGGTAGATAGCTGGAAAAGGCCGATGGGTCGAATATTACGTCTCCGAACTTGGGAAGGAACCTATGCCTCAGAGATCTACCTGTTTATTGCAATATTGATTTATATGGGAATACATATAGAAAGGACGCTGAAGACCTATTGGAGTTCTCCTCAGCCCGGTTTACAAAGCGCAGAACACTTATTTATCAAGTTCATGCCCTACTAGAAGTTTCAGCTCATGCACCATCATCTCCGCCCTTTTGACCACACCAAGATCGGTGAGACCGGCAAGGAACACCTACCAGAGGTGTTCCAAGGCGTTGAAGAGTGGTCTAACCACATACAAGCAGTCTCAGCCGAGCTTTTAACTGCTGGATCTCACCTTGCCGTGGATGAGTGCATGGTTAGTTATACGGGGAAATGTGGTGCCAAAACAACGGTCAAGGGCAAGCCAGGACCAGTGGGAGTAAAGATCTGGGTTATCGCCCAACAGGGCTTCTTTCTTCGGTGGCTTTGGCACATCAGAGATGCGATTTATGGCCCCGTTGGCATCGAGCTTCCACAGAAGAAGTCATCCACACGTTCTCAGGGCCGGGGAGCTTCCAAGGCCGCAGGGAAAGAGCTAGCCAGGGAAGAGAAGCCCATTGCCTTGGACCCGACCCAAGCCGTCGTCATTACCCTAGCAAATCTGCTGCCAAAAGCGACATATCATATCTTCATCGATAACCTCTTCTCATCATCAGGTCTCCTTCGCAGTCTTCGAAAGCATGGCCACGGAGCCATAGGCACGGCCCGCAAGAACAGCGGCATCTACAAGGAATTGGCAGAGGATAAGGGCAATGACGGCAAGGTCAAGAGAAGCTACGAATTTAATAAGGTTAAGGCGATACCAACCCCTGATAATAAGGTATCAATTTCTGGCACTTTTACTTCGAAAATCCCTACTAATTTATTGTCATTCTATATCCCCAGGTCAACCATATCGCCTGGAAAGACAATAAGCTTGTATTATTTAGGACAACCGTGTTCACTGGCGCCGATAATGAGCGAGTTGAACGCCAAAGGAGGAAGCCGTCGTCACGCAAGCCCGACGCCAAGCCAATACGCCAATTCTTTGGTGACGAAGCTATCAAGATAGTTCAAATCCCGACGGTCGCTGCTGCTTATAACAAACAAATGAACCATGTTGACCGTGGTGATCAATTGAGGTCATATTATGAGTATAGGCATCCCCTACGCCGGGGCGCTTGGCAGGCACTTTGCTGGACCTTCCTCCTAGATATGGCCCTTGTTAACAGTTATCCTTTTCAGCGTCACGGGCAGCCGCGTTGGAAGCGATATACAAATCATAGGGAATGGCGAGAGTGCATTTATAACGCATTATTTAACACATACGGTCATGAAAGTCAGTCAAGGAAGAGATATTGTGCAGGGGAGGAATTAGACGATGAGGGCACCGAAACACAGCCAGAGTCTGATATGGTAGGCGCTCCGCGCTGGTAATACTGGGCTAATCCAGCTCTTAGTAGAGCATACTGAAACAGTTGGCACTCGGATCTCTGACGACCATATTCCCAATGATCTTATCTCTATTCCGTTTGATCACGAAACCCCTTGGTGCGAGGCCTGTACACTAAGCATCCAAGGAGGTTGCCGCTACTCTTGCAGCGTGGGCTCTGCTTGTGCATGGAGTGCTATGCTAGGGGTATTCGATTCTGTGACAAGGCTCACGTTCTTTTGCTTCAATGAGCGTCTAGAAGCGTCTCTGGTTAATATCGAAATCTTAGACGACCTTTGCCGCCTTGTTCTTCAAAGTTTACTTTCCTTGCTTTTTCTATACTCTAAACTCTAGGTTTCACGAAACGCCGACTTCAAGGCCAATACAATATTATTGAAACCAGTAAGAGAGCTGCACGAGCTCAAAAAAGGTCTCCCAATACGCAATACCGATCACACAGAGAATCAATATGCTATCTCATAAAGTTGAGGGCGGAAGGCGGGTGAAAATGAGGCGTTAACTTAGTGCCCGCCGCATTGATACCTAGGAATTTTCAGTACAATGGGCTCGTGTCTTTCCAGCAACTTCTGCCACTGCCACGGTCGGGCTCCTAATGATATCCCATGCGCTGATCGTCCACTTTCCCCCAGCCTACATACCAGTCAGGTCGTTATTGTTATTTTAAGACAAATAAAGCAATTAAAGTCAATTTAATTAACCAGATACTAAGAAAAAATGCGCCGCATTCTTGTCTATGGCGCACACTTATCACATATATTACATAATAATAAAACAGTTTCCGTCTTTCCTGAAGGCCAACCCCATTTTACCAAATGCGTCTCTAATAATGCCCTGTTCTGAAGACAACCCCACTGGCTCTAGCTTTAAAATAGTCTTCAACAGTGGATGACTCGAAGTCTTGTACTCTGTAGGAACTAGGTCCTTTACATTAATGCTTTGCAGTTGACTCTTTGAAAACTATGGCTGAAAGCGTATATGGGCCAAAAACAACCCAGTATCAATGTGACCGTGCCTTTGGCCTTGGATATAATCTCACGATATCCCCGAGCTTTTGGCCGAATGATTCTATTATGTAGCTTGCATATAGCCCGCGAAGAGCCTTTTTTTTAGTACTGCCGCGCTCAAACAAAGATGTCCAGCAGAGCGCGTGGATGACGAAATTTGGAGATAGAGTGAAGAGCAGTCTTTGGAACTAAAAGAAGGGAGGCCGATTAAATTTTGCAGATCTGGTTGGGCAGTTGATTAGTATTGATTGATATGATTTGTTAAGATTCGCTAGGCGAGGATGCCTTGCAGGTATGATGGTGTGCTCTTAGCTGGTCCCCAGTCTGTCCATCCGAGACCACGACGACCGCATCAATGAACGCCCAAAACGACTAGTTATCTCATAAAGACTGCTCCTTGGTAATTTCCACTGGTGGCTGCTGTCGTGTTCCAATTACCTGTGTTGGCAGCCTAAAGTATACCCTCATAGCTTGCAGTCCCTCTATGAGCTGAAACATCACTGGTGGCTGCGTCGGACCAACGCTTCAGTCACTGTCCAAAGCCTCAGAACGAACCTCAAGCAGGCGGCTTTGTACGACATTCTATTCTAGCTATGCCCAATGGTACGAACGAGACGGCCAACGTCAATGACAGGCAAAGATTGCGGGCAGTATTGGCGCCAGAGAGCAAATTGGTGGATGAAGCGCTCAAGGCGGCCGTAGATCACAAGACGAATCTCAACGCCTACGCCATGGCGCTTAAGGTATCGATTCAAGGACAGAGTTGGCAAAGCAGACAGATTCCACACACTCCAAGGCTGAAGTTAAAAGTTATCCTTCACCTAGTTAGGCACTTACCGCAGTCGAAGAATATCAAATACCTGAAACTAGTTAATCAGAATCGCAATGTCAGGAAGTAGATGCATTATGGCGACGAAGCGGTGACAGAATTAAGGACCCCATAACCGATGAGGTCTTGCTTAAAATCCAAGATGGTATGCACTGTAAAAAGTGCGGTTACTAGAATGCTCCATTCATCGGTACACAGTCAAGTCAGAGTTATAAATAGCACTAGTGCAGGCATACAAGACTAAACCTTTCGCTGCTTCGACTACAGGAGCTGATCATCATTCGAATGCCTTCTGCGACCCATGGTTCATTTATTTGGCAATTAGGAGCCAACATATGCGACAATCTCCGGGATCTCGGTCGTGAGAACGAACAAGTTTGTGATTTCACCAACAGCATTAGCAACGTCTTGTCCTCCAATCTCTTTCTACGTGACTATGACAGCACCCAAGGTTCAACGGGAAAAGTAGAAGCTCTACGCATGTCTGATACGCAATTTCAGCATGAGAGCGCCACATACCCAGGTGTAATTGTCGAGGTTGCGCTGACGCAAGATGCAAAGAGATTGGCCAGAATTGCCAAGGACTACATCTATCTTACAGAGGAAGCGATTCAAGTTGTCATTTGCATTAATCTTAATTCGGATAACGACTCTACGATTTCCGTCTGGGAGGCTACCTATGCTCCCCTCCCAGACACTGATCAGCTCGAGCTCTTCTATGAAGAAGTCGTCAAACGCGAGGTATGTTCGAACATCTTCCATACAACTTCTGGGCGTAAACTGACCGACATTGCCCTTCCGAACCGCCGGCGGCAGCCCCGTCAATCAGGGCGCCCTCACACTCTATCTCTACGACTTTGCGCTCGAGGAGTTCCATCAAGGCATACCCAACCTCTCTTTCTCAATCCCATACTCCAGAGTGGCTGAGATGTTGAACCGCGCCGAGATGATACAATTGAACCGAAATGCCGCAGCAGAGAATGAACCCGTCTCCCGTGGTGCTAAAGGGCGAGCGCGTTCGCCAGAGTCCAAGCCGGAGGCGATGCCTGGTGAAGATAAATTGTGACTGTCGGATGAGGCAATAGAGAAACAAAGTGGCTGGGACAAGACGTACGAGGATGCCAAAGGGAATACAAGTGATAAGACGGGACCTGAAAAGGAATGTGCTTAATTTGTAAGAAATTGCGCGAGTTCCTGAGCATTGGATTGCGTCGTGATTGGCTTGGAGTTCAGGATAGAGCATGATTGATGAACATGCTGGTTGGATGGTATATTGTTTTCTTCGATATGGCAAAGTTGGCAGAACCCTTTCTGGATAGTTTGTTGGTAGACAGTCAGACTTGATATAATGTTAGTTTAGACTTGAGATACTCCTTTGGTTGAACTGGATTAAGTCGGATTGATCTGCTATCGCCAGATGCGCCTTTTATCCAACGAATTTAATTGACGTCGCTGCTACACTGAATGCATGCATTGCTTCTGCACATAAAATGACGTTTTTCCACCGCAGACTCTCCTTTCTCTCGTCTTCTCCTCATTCTCAGTTGTACAAGCATTATCGGCAACGATGTACGTGACATCAGAGACAGACTCATTATCACTATTCTTTGAGAAAACGCAATGATGTACGCAAGTATCAAGCAGAGCATTGCAAACCGGAATGAAAGTTCTCTTTTTATATAGATCGTGTTATAACTCTGAGACAAAAGAGAGACCCTGTTATATCTCCTGATCAATCCGCAGATCTAAGGCCAGCTATCTCACAGTACTTGAGAGCATTTGAACATCATTGATATCCCATTTCAAGCCAGCCAGTGGTTCCACCCAGTGATCATTTGAAGTTTGACTATTTATAATATGTCTAGACAAATCGTTACAGCCTCAAGGGAGGGTCATATGACGAGTGGCGGAGAGCCTGATTAGATTTACGAACAAGATGTGCCACGGTGTTGGGGGGCTATACTCAGGATAAAAGGCAGATGTGGTACGGTGGCGAAATGCGTAGCTATTGGCAAGAATGTTCTCATTACCCATGCAGACAGACATTCGTGAGGGTACTGATGATATTCCCGGCAGATATCAACGAGGTACAACAACAAACCCTTGAGTTCACCCTGAACGAACCTCCCAATAATAACTACGGCAAAGCGTTATAACGGCTACAGATACAAAAGGAGCGAAATCTGAGTTCAAGCCCATGCAGACTCTTAAGATAGCAAAACCGAAAAACACGCAGGACTGCCCAAACAGAAGATATAACCCGGATCATATGAGTATAATTTGAAGGGCTGACGTGATTTAGGTATAGCATAATTCCTTCACCGAAGCGGGGTATCAGCATCGTATATACATCTCAAAGCCAATTTTGGAAAGACTCAATCCAATACATCACTGAGGAGGGTAGAACTTATTGTAGAAACGTGAGCCGGTGATTTGCGCTAAAACCCTTTGGGCTTAGCAAGATATATCTAACGGTGTAGATGGGAGCATAGCATTATCAAAGGAAAAGGATGAGAATGACTACGAAAATTAGCCCAATGGTGACTCTGGGGATATTATTGATGGCAAGGAGTAGTGGGACCTGGCAGTCCGGTGTGATGCTACACATACAGCCAATGGGGGCTCCAGGCGAAAGCTAGTTTATCGGGACCTTGTTGAGCACATGCAGAGTGTAGAAGTCGACGAAACCAGTACTGTTTATGTTGAGAAGACTGCTTGGAAAATGGTCCGGACTGAAGACATGGACCTATTGCAAATGCCGCACGAGTTGATTGGACCAGAGGCAAAAGAGGGCAAGAGTCAAATGTTGTACATTCTTGACATGATGGAGAAGGCGTTGGACATATCGCCGAAGGTAGTGCGCTCGCGAGAACGCTAGAATTGCCATGGACGGTTTGAATAATGCACGAGAATTCGATATGTATAGGTTCCAGTGACCAAAGACATCTAGCTTAGTGGTGGTGGCAGTCTCCGAGTTCCTGGACTGCCTAGTCCATTAAAGTAGAGTCTCCCACCGATCAATAGATAGCATTATATAAGAGACGTAATTTACTATTACAACCTTTAGCTCTCCCTCCTATTGTGACAGTTAGGTATTATATACAGACTCTGTAAGCATTTGAAAATGGGGAGAACCACTAGAGGCGCGTTAGTATTAGAAACTAGTGAAACTAAGCATAATTATTACAGGGGCTATTTATGCTTATTGGCTAGAGTTTGGGTTGTTGACCAACACTAGCTAATTACAGTCTAATGTGGACTTTTATAAGGCGATAGTTACAGACTATGTTAGACTATTGGCTTAAGTTAGCGAGCTGAAGTGTGTCTGGACTAGGGCTGTTAATTTATTTTAAGACCTCTGCTCCTTTTTTCTTTCTTTCTTTTGACTCTGTTGTTCTTGTTTTCCGTCTTGTTCTAAGCCACTCGTTTGCCAAATTGCTTCAAAATGCATGCAAGCATTCTTCTGGTCTTTGGCCTTTTCGCCAACTCTGCGCTTTCAAGCCCTTGCAAGCCCAAATCGTCAGGTAAGTATCGTGAGCGATCCTCAGTTACAATTTCTAACCAGGAATCTCCACGACTTCAGATGGATTATTGACAACTACTGCGCCTACAGTAGAGTCCACTTCGGCGATTCTCGGCACCTCGACTGAATATTTATCCCAAACAACTTTAGAGACAGGCATGACTACAACTGATGCCGAAACCACGACCGCGACATCAGATTCGTCTAAGACAACCACTATTGAAGACATTACTGCAACAACATCGACAGCCGAAAGCACCGCCAAGGTCGACAGCACTACCCTCTCTGAAACCATCACTACTACTGCCGAAAGCACCACTACAGCGGCTGCCGCAAGCCCGACCTTTTCCCTCGTCGCTGATGGTGGCCTTGTAGATGGCGCGAGCGTCCAAGGCGTAGGTGCAACCTCTCTTGTACTCAATCCCTCTACGGACATCTTCGGGAATACACCATACACAGTCCGAGCCTGGACCCTCGAGCCCAGCACTGGCCGACTCATGGATACTCAACTTGGTATGTATGCATGCGCATTTTACCCGTTTTTCCAGTCGGATCATGCGGCCGCCCTTGCAAACTGCAGGGAGAACGACGGCTATGGAGTCGGCATTAACAAGGAGTATGCTTTTTTGACCTGCCAAATTGTGAACGGTCAGTTCTCGTGCACGGCTCCTGCAACTCTGTGCGCCACCGTTGCTGGTTCCTATAATTGCGTTACGTCGTCGGAAACCGGGCTTGACCTGTTTTACGTGCCGGATGAGGCGACTGAGGATGCTTCTCTCTTTATTTCCACTGGTAGCCCTTCTGGATATACATCGATTAGACTTACTATTCATGATATCTAAGCCAGCATAGAGAGATAGTGAGCTAGATGTGTTATTTGTAATTAAGAGCTATGGCTAAAAGTATATATATACCTATATACACTTACAGAGTAATTCTATTCTAAATATAATCTTTAATAATATTATTATTACTTTAAAGCAGCTAATATATTTTAAGTAATAGCTTTATAAAGATTATATTTAGTATTAACTTTATTCTCTATCTTATATACTTGTTCTAAGACTGTAATGGCTTTAAAATGTTATAAGTTTTAATGGCTATATATTGCAGTAGAATATAAAAGTAAAGTACTAAACTTATAGCACTATTGTGTGATCCGCCGTTTTCAGATAAAGGGCTAGAGATTAACCCTTAAACAACCTACAAAGATAGTTAATTAAAAGGTTGTTTTAACAAGGGTTATGATATCTAAGGTTTATATTACTATAACTCCTATAGCCAGTTAAACACTATAAAGTTAATATAGTAAGTGATTACAAATACAATCCTTTTGAGTGGAGATGCCTTGATGAGCCTGACCGTGTTTCTGTGCACTATTTGTTTGCATATGGCGCCACCATAATTGTCTCCGAGATGGGCACTTGGCCCTGATGACTTGCGTCCGTGATTACAATGGTCCCTTACGAGCTTAACCCATTAACAACCCCAGTCGCCTGGAGGACAGTATGTTAAGCTCGACTTAAAGTCTGCTTCCCGATAGCTAAACCAGTACTACTATACACTTGTATTAGAACACAAAGTTTGGTACTAGTAGCCGGAAGATCCTCCTTTAGACACTCATGGTTGCACCCAGTCAGTGTGATCGCACAATCCTTTGATGGCATTTGTAAATCTTTTCATCGTGCTAGTGCTGAGCGCTCTGAATTCCTTGAATTCATCTGTGAGAGCATATGCGTCGCTTGTCAGGAATCTTCACATGTGACAGTGTTTCAGATGACACACCGTTATTCACGTCCTGACTCAGGGCCTCTTGGGACCCTCGACGAGATTAGACATGAAAGCTCATCGAAGTGCTGTATGTTTATCTACCGTATTCTTAGTCTTTGTGCTCAGGTGCTGTAACTAGGTCGCCACGTGGCGCTGAACTACACAACGTCGAATACGTGATACCGTTGGGTCGTGGCGTATCCAATCTTAGGAATGAGGGTATGGGCTGCCGCGAAAGTGGTTTTGACCATGAATTGTAGTTTGAACTAATTGACGCTGGATCTCACCACGTCACACGGGGTAGTTGGGCACCGCTTCCACTATGGGACGAACCGTTTTCGCCATACCTCTAACAAGTTCTGTTAGTTTATCGTTCCGGTATCTAGTACTTAGTCGCATTTTTTAAGTTATCACTCATCACAGTGGCAGCGTTCAAATGTGATAGTCATGTATTGCATGACGAGTATGGATATGGCCGGAGTTGCACTATCCGGTCACGCGGTTCTGATTAGTGACTCTTTGTGCGAAAACGAGAAACTATTCCCTAACTCGGATGATGCTGGCATACAGCTATCCTGATAGACAATGACAATCATAAATTGTTTACTTAACTTGCAGTCCGACTATATATTTTCCAGGTTCGTCCAGCCATATACTATATTACATAGGCCCTTGCGGTGTATTTTGAATGTATGTATTAAATCTTTCGCGCCATACATGCTGTAGTATCCTTCAATAACGACTGCGGGCTTATTGCGCTCTGATAGAACGTCTATGTCTCTGGAGTTAGGGCATAACTCGACCTGTTAATCCGTCTGGCTCTGCGAGTCGAGATAGCCATGTTCCTGGGCTTCATTGCAGGTTTGGGACTGACAAAGATCTGTGAGGATGAAAGCTCGGAAGAAGTCTTAAGTCGCAACACAGAGTTAGAGAACATATGAGTGGTGGTAGAGCAGAATGTCAACGGTGGTCGACAAGCTGTCATGGAGCGCGCCGAGCTCTCGGGTGCATGTTACGGTATATCGTCAAAGAAAGCATTAGATCTCAGTGACAAGGTGCAGAAGCATTATTTATGACTCAGTTACTTAAGAAGGTTGAGAAATAAGTGTATCATCACAGCTTGGAAATACATCGAGCTCATGGCGAGTTCAAAGTAGATTGGTGTAAGCTAAGTCCGGACACAACCGTTTATATCCATTTTTGTCAGTAGCCTCCATCGACCTCGACCTCAACAATTGATGACTAGAATTGCTCCTCATTTGCAATGGCCAACGGCTATTCTCCAGTCAAATCAATGACCTCAATCTCTGCACGCTTAGTCTCTCCATCGACCTCTTCCTTCGGTCCCTTCTTCTCGAGATTCCCTACAAAGCGAATCAGTATTATGAATCATTATACAAAACCGGGTGACTTGCCTACCTGCCCATAGTAGAATTTAAGAACTTGAAGTCCACCACGTCAAGTTCTTCTGAGAGTAAAGGCTGTATTTTGGGCTTCAAAGGTTTGTCTGTCTTGACAGTGTCAAACCTAGTCCTGTCAGTGTTTTGCCATGACGGTGTGAAATTCATAATCATGCCCAGTTCCGACAGCAACATCGATGGCAGACTGAATGAATGCTTTTCCGGGTACCGCAGGTGATACAAAATCTACCGGATCAAGTTCTTTGATCACTTCTTCTCCTGCCGACTTGGCTGTTGTGACTTGGGCTCTAATGGAACCAATAGTTTTCAGACAGTCACAGTCAGCTGCAATCTCATCTTTGTCCCCGCCCTCAGCTATCCAACGTCTATCAGCTCTATCTTGCTTTGGGTTACTGGATATACTAACTTGAAGAAACCTTGGAAAAGGTGAGGTATATCCGATAAACTTGTCCATCTGTTCACTGGTGAGATGCGGAGCGCAAGCATCCGACGACATTGCTCCCAACGGCAGAGAGGTCGGCCTCGTCTACAAAAAGGGCAGCGAAGTTGTCAGGGGATTTATCGAGATAGAGTGCGAGTATCAGCAGGTCGTGATCACCGGGAAAGACAAATGACCAATCCACCCCATTACGACAGTATATCCTGCCCCAGTAGTGCACTCGATAGTGCGTTCAACGTCAACTGTGTCTTTATTTGAAGCAGGGCATTCTCTTTTGCAAAGAGGCTTGCTGTTAACTTTAACAGTTATAGATAAGCCAAGGATATTAGGATAGATAGCTATAATATTTAAGTTATTAAGATGGCTATTGGTAAGACTTTAAAATAGAAAAGATTAAAATTAAAGAATATTTATAGGGAAAAAGGATTTTATGCCTTACTATTATATAATAAATTAAGTAAATATGCAGTAAATACTAGGTTGGCTAATAGCCTTATTTTAATAATCTTAGATATTAATGCCTGGGATTATCGGCTTATTAGGCCATATCTCTTATTACTAGAATCTCAAGGCAGCATTTAATTCCACGATGCACTCTCACTGTTGACAAATTGATTTGATGTTATTGGATTGCTGGGTTTTTAGAACTTGGTTTGAGACAAATTGTGCCGTGTATTCATTCATTGCACATTTAGGACTTTCTTTGTGTCTTGTTTTTTATGAGGGGCGGTTGCACATACTGATAGCTAGTCTCTGGAACGAGTCAATCTGCATTGCCCAATACCACAAGATGAAGTCACGGCATTGGTTACAAGATATCGCTTATCGTGTGTACCTGACTACCACCCCGGATTTTGCTAGCGCGATCTCACGACATTTCCTCATTTGGTACTCCCACGCAGCGATCTCTGCGATCCCTGCGAACTCAGCAATCAGTGGGTCAGCATAACAAATGGTGACTTAGATATAACCAAGCGGTCAGAAAAGGCCATTTTGAGTCCTTATTGTCTCTCAAATTGCGTCGCAATCTTGGCTGAGTATAATGGTCATGGCATCACTTGGATCTTTTGATCAGGTCACTTACAGCCACTGGAAAAGAGCACATCAGCTGACGAATGAAATACCTGAGTTTTCATACATTTTTACGTGCGGCGAAAAGTACCTCATTCTTTCACATTCCCTGCACATGCCAAATAACGTTCTCTATATTCAGATACCTCTCACAGCAGAGCAAAGCAAAGATAAAAGAGGTATCTTTATAACGCCTTGTCAGTAACTTCATCCTCCAGCGTGCAGGCCGGCAATCTCACCGTCGGCCATATTGCCATAACTAGGGACAGTTCCGAAATCATACTTATTACTAAGTGTACAAACTGGATTCAGAGCACTGGATCTACAGTGGACAGAAAGACTACTTATGAGGAAAGCATGAAAAGTATTACTATTGCTATTTCTACTGAAAACCTATCCCTAGACGGCTCTATGAGTAAGAATTCAACTTTCAATTCTCTGTTGCTCCCTACCCTAGGGTCACAACACAGGCCATTTACCAATAAGCACATATGTCGGATTTGGGACAAGTTCTTTTTTCTTTACCGGTTCTAAAGTACTCGTTTTTTCCGACAACACAAAGGACCTCAAGTCAGCGCCACGGCCTCTGGCGTCAAGCGCAGATTCAGCCGCCGGGGCGGTTATTCACTGCGATAAGCAATTCTGTAGGTACTCATTCTGTGAGCCTAACCTTTGGTACCACGCGACACTCAGTCCCCAGCATATTCAGTATGTCTGCATCGGCTGTTCAAATGCCAACTGGTTGTAGCAGATAGGTTCTTTCTGTCTCAACAAAATTGAAGCACTCATCTTTACGCGAACACTTATTATCGTATCCAAATCGTGTCGCGTCTACCAATAATATGACGTTGTCTGTCTCACTGAGCCCGGGATGCTTGGCGCGAATGCTGACGGTGTGCAGGGTTTGAAAGAGGGGAAGGGATAATTGCTTTTTCAATCATGACGCGTCTGATGGACAGAAACACAACTTAAGCCTCTTCAGACCAAACACCTCTTCAATCTTGGATCCTTCTTCATCATTCTCCCCCTTACAGTAGTAAGATCGGCTATCCACATTCCACAACCCTTGGCCGAATATGGAGCGAGGGCCAGAGGGTGCAAACGCTGGGGTTCGTACCTCTGGGCGTATCCGAAAGCCTACATGGCCCTTTTATCCATCTGAAGAGCCGTGGAAAAGACCTAGACGCGGCAATTCCAAAGCCAGAGCCAGGAAAGAGAATGTATCAGTTGAAGAAGGTGAAGCCTCTGATCCTCAACTGAACCCGAGTCGAGACGACAGGCAAGTTAGACGGCTGCATAAATTACAATCAAGAAGATTTGGAGTAACATTGGGTTCAGACGCACAATCCACGTCAATTCTGTTCCTTTGGTCGACAATCACAACGGCCATGCCACTGAGTCTCACCCTGACAACAACGCTGTTCCTCCTCCTCCAATCAATAAGCGTTATGCAAGAGCGAGCGAGAACTTGATCAAGGTACTGACTGAAATGTGCAACAAGGACCTTGCGGAGGCGGAAAGGAACCTTGCGCACTACAACCAGCTGCACGTTTCAGCTGAAGCAAAGCGAAAAGCGACACTGAAAAAATACCGCCAAGCTAAAAAGGCTCGAACGAAAAGGCGGGAAACCCTCTGCAACCTTGAAGACAATGAAGAGGGTTTAAAAAGGTCATTTCGTGAAATGAAAGACCTCTTTGGCGATGATCGAAGGCCGGATTTTCTTTATGAAGAGGAGATAACTGGCCTTTCTGGGCTGCAAGATATGAAGACTGTTGCGCAATTCGCTCTCCAAGAGGCAAACCAAGCTGTGGAGAACATCAAAGAAGACTATTCTGCTCTGCACAAGCAACAAGATATCCTACATCACAAGTTGGCAGAATGCAAAAAGGAAAAATGTCGACAGGATTCGGTATTAGAAGCGTGCAAGTCAATCATCAGCCTACTCGAGACCGGCGTGGAAAAGATCGCGGAATGGTGTTGCAAATTGCGTCTGTTGTGGGGAAGCAAGTTCTACACAAGCCAATAAGGGCCATACCATAAACTTCAGGCGGCTTACTATTACAGGTCATTTCGGCCAAGACAGAATAGTACATTATCAATTTAGTACTATGATAACTGCAATCACCGTGATGACAGCGATCTCTGTGATTACAGTGATTACAGCGATCACTGCGAGTACGGCGAACGCTACGAACAGCGATCTCTGCGATCTCTGGGACCTCGATCTCTCAGATGGCTCGTCCATCATGTGTAGGGTTGGTCTTCTCTAAATGCAAGACTTGCAAAGTTTCGTGTTCAAGGTGGCATTATGTATGTAAGTAGAAAGCAGTCTTGTCTTACATCATGGCTTGATAAACCTTCAAATAATAGTTTGACGAGAAAGAATCAATGAAGGGAAGAGAAAGAGATAGAGTATGGGAACCGAGCGTCAAGCTGAGGAATCAACTCAAAGGGGGTACAGCGCAGAAGGAACATCACCTAAGGATAGTCCAGCCTGAGGAAGTTTGTTTGTCTGGCAAAGAGCAAGATAAAGCAGTACCATAGTACATATGTCTTAGGCCTTGCGTATGCGGCAATCTACTGTGATTCTGGGTATCACAAGGACATTGTTGAAACGGAGGACTGATTGACTGACAAGTAATGTAGAGTAAATAGAATCCAGTTACTTCTATGAGAACGGTTAAGGGATGCACTGCGGGCGAATAATAAACAACCTTAATTATATAGCTTAATTCTCTATACTATCTACCAAGTGAACTTCATTAAGTTTGGATTTAGAACAATAGGAAGGAAAAAATGACAGAAGATAACAGTTGCAAGAGGAAAGATAGCAACAAGCTCGCTCATTAATCCTCCATAAGTAGGGGAAGGCATAGACTCCGCAGATCATCAACGCAATTACCGCAAGACAAAAGGCGAATACATACTTGAAACCCCTAATAATAATACTTATCTCTTGAAAGAAATTCGTGTCTTCTACCTCTTTCGCTGTAGCGCCCCAGTTGATGTCAATAGACAGCATGTGGCAGAGGACGGCTTTTCAGACATGCATCGATATGCCGCCCAGGAAAACAAACATAAGAAGGACCCATTTGAAGCAGGTCCAGAGCTGTTTCAGTACGCTGACCTGCTGAGAGCGGTATCGGATCAAAGCGAGTGTGATGTTACCAGCTATAGAGAAAACAACAACAAGGGCCACCCAGACACGCCAGCTGCTCATGTAGTAGTGGTCGAGCTCTCCGTTGAGCCACCCAATGAGGGAGTAGTTCAATAGCGAACCAATCCATGAATAGCCGATGGGGTAATATGTGCCAATGTAAGACATGATTGTGATTTTAGACCCCAGTGGCATATTCGACATAATGAAGCGTTTGAAAAGGGGTGTGAAGATGCCAAGTTTCCACCAGTCTCTCACAGGATAGAAAAGAAGCTCGCTGCAGCCATATGCATACTTTTGCCAGCGGGAAAGCTCGTCGTTAACAGTGAGTGAGACGCCCTCTTTGAAGCCGTCGCCACAGTAAGTCGCCAAGCGAATCTGACACCCTAAAGTTTGTAGCCGGATAGAAACATCAAAGTCTTCCGAAACGTGGGACTCGGACCATAACTTCTCGTGCGGGGTTGTTGAGTTTGGATCCTTCCCGTTGTTGACAAGGTTGTCGTGACCTTTGAAGCTGACCTCTTGCAGTGCAGACCCACCGAATAAAGGCGTTATGTCCAACGAACGGGGAGACATCGCCGTTGGCAACTGCGTAGGTAATAGCTGTATAAATGAGATTGGTGAATAAGGTGATGCCACTTTCGAAGTGGCTTGTAGTGACATTCATGACACCAGAGGTGAACTGCAGTATGGCTACTTTGGGAGAAGCCCCAAGCTCACTGACGGCGTCAATCAGGCAGTCCGTTGAAACGCGGGTGTCAGAGTCCACGAGAAGTATGTAGTCGCCAACTCTGATGTCACCTCCGACACAAGCCCGGCCTAGTTCTTCAGAAAGGACTTCATCCAAGCGTCTTTGATAAGCTGTGCCCTCGTCGGCATGTGCCCAATCAATGCTCATCGCGATCGATTTGTACCAGCTTGTCTTCTACCTTGAGACTGATACCCAGTGCATAATTCATATTCGATGTTTTCTTGAACTTGCCACGGCGTATGAATCTGCTTATGCCTTTGTCATCAGGATTATGCGGTGGCCGGGCAACCCAGTTGATATTGTTCTCCTTATGGAACATGCGTCGTTCATCAGCCTCTTGTGGGTGACCAATTGCATCCCGTCGCCGTTGACGAATATACTGGCGGTGCCGCTGAAATATTCATAATTTCGGATGTCAGTAGATAGGGACCGTACCGTTGGCCTGATTACTCCCTCCAAGCCTTCTTTATATACCGGACATTGGATGGTGACGTGAGGCAATGGTATTTTTGTGTCGTCGAGGCGCCTTGTTCGCTTTGCTGAATAATACTTGGAGTTGACTTTCAGTTGGGTGACTGGTCCAACCATCTGGAAGATGGTAACTTTGATAGCCTGGCAGAAGAACTAGGAAGTGAAGATCTAGTCAGCATGGACTCCTGGCACGCTGCTCGTATGTTATCCTTACCAAGCTCAAGACAATTTGTGGAACAGGAGTCAGCAGAAGCAGCAAGCGAGTCCAACCTCCCTCGCTCGCAATCTCGAGTGCCATTGTGCGACAACCAAGCCCTATAAGCGAGAGACATACGGCTACAGTCAAGGCAACGGTGATGGCGTTGAGCAGCTGTGTTGGCCTCGGCGCATCAGAAGCGAATTCCAGATCGGTATCTGTCACTACAGTGCCTTCCGACGTTGCATAGATATTGACTGACTGTACTCCGTCTGTGGTTTCTCTAGTGGCAAAGCTGTTGATGGGATACACCGGCGCAACTGAATGTGATGAAGTGTTGAGCCTCGTCATCAGCAGCTCGACATTGTCCTGAAGCATGGCGTTCACCCTGGCCTCAAGGTGGTGCTTGAGAGCTAAAGCTCCCACGCGCCGGCGCTTCACAGTCGCCCATTGTTCCTGTGAAAAGAACGAGTTCTCAATGGAATTCCGCTTATCGAGAGTACAGTCTTGATCACGTTCCTCGTCTGAGAGACTTCTAGCAGCGAACCAAGGATGACCAAGATAACGTTCCTTGTTACGCATAGCCCTCAACACCTGGATTAATCAGTCTCCAAAATACCCGTGTTTTCGAGGGACGCAGCCTTACATGTCTTCTGGCCTCCATGGGAACAAGGTCGCACTTGGTTACGACTGCGACGGTACGATTACCTGTCACATCAGCCGCTTGCGCAAGCTTCGGCCCCTCTTGGTTGCTCATATCGTTCGTGGCATCAACCACAGCTCTGGGATCCATGAGTATTATATTCGAGACAGTCAGGGGTAAAACTGACAGAATGATGGCGTTAGGTTGCCTGAGAAGATCCATGATAAGAGCTCTGGTTAGTTCTTGTGCCTCACCAATCGTCGCGCCTGCGAGATGTAAGACTTAATACTAGGCAAAAAGCACAACGATATTGCTCACTTGATGAGAGCCCAGGGGTATCGACGATTTCCATGCTGAAAAAGTCCGGGCCTAAAATTTCAATGACAAGAACATTGTCGGATACTTGTTGCTCTTCTTCTTCCTTGTCGTCTGAGAATGCCGTCGCGATCTGCATGTGATCTGTTGCCTGTATTGTTGTCCGTTGTGATCAGAGGAACGTGTCAGGATAAGGATGTGAAGGGCCATACGAACCTGGCGGACAATTTCAGAGAGATTGATGGCTGTGAAGTCTCCCTGATATTTCACCTCAAAACTCTGTAGGTGGTTTGAAAGGTCCTTGTTCTGTCCATCAAATTTCCCCGGTTTGATTCCTGCTTTTAACGCTGTCCCTGTCCGGCTTGTGTATATAAAGTAGGTATGGATGGGGAATCTCGTGGCCGAGAGCCTAGAGCCATGCAAATATATACCAGAAAGAGCCTCGAACAAAGCTGTCTTCCCAGAGCACTTGTCTCCAATGATAGCTACCTGAGCATCTTGCTGTTAGTCTTCTTATTTAGAGCACTAGACGTTTGACTGCTTACCATAGGGACGGGCGTTGACGTGCCCAGTGATAAGCCAGTGACATGGCCAGGTAAACCATCATTGGGGATCAACTACATTCCCTGACATACTGACTGATGTTGTACTTGATCTTGATGCAAGCGTCATAGCTATCTCTTGTTCTCATGAACATCAGGATAAAAGGTCTTGGCCATGGCAGTCGCTGAGGAAGATACGTACCAGTGTTCTTCAGGCCCGTGCGAGTGGCCCTGTATGTTGTTTTCAAGTTGGCCAGTCGCCTGTTCCAGAAGCTATCATTCCAAGGGTGCATCAGCCCTTGTTATGTAGTAGCGGCAAGGGGAGGTCGCTGGGCACAGTCCTGGGTGGTAGATGTAGGGATTCTCCAGCAGACCAAGCATACCACTTATTCCTATGCAATCCAAATCCACGTGGGTCGCCTTCTTCAACTGCCCATATGAATTGAGCATTGAAACATTATACCCAACATTTGATGTGAATGAGCGGAATGAACCGAAGAATAGTGAGTGATGTTTCTAGATGAACCACTGCGTTAGTCACTGTAACCAACCTAATAGCGGGGTAAATATAACTCACTCATTCTCATCAAGATATTTAACTGACGTTTGGAAGTAGTCCTGCGTCGCTGGCAAAGACGAGAAATCCAGAGCAAACTCTGACACCTAGATCTTCTTGTTTGGATAAACGTCCAATACACCAGCAATATGACTTGCCATGCCGTCAAAGCTTCTGTACGAGTGAATAGGAATGAAATCAAACGTACAGCTGCCGTTGCAAGCTTCTGTAAAGTTGGTAAGCCAACTGAAGCCAGACGGAGCGCCAGTCACCGCTGGTGCACCAAGGGAGACGCCCAAGTTTCTCAGGGGCTCTAGCTGCTTGATCCAATACTTGGCTGCATCTACAGGCTTGATGTCGCTGCCTCCGTTGGCCATTGAGTTATCAGGCTCATTGAAGTCCATGGCGTAGGTAACATTTCGTCCTCCAATGATCTGCGCCGTAACATTTTCCAGAAACGTTGTGTCATCGAAACCATCAGGCGCTCCCCATAGCATGGGTACGAACTGAAGTGAGGTATAGTTCTCGTAGACAGAGCTTGGATACATTTTGTAGTTGTAATACCACGTCAGGTCCGAGCCTTTCTTGACCCAGACTTTATCATCGCTGGGGAAGTCAGAATCTGGTATGAAGATGAGTCCTCGTTTTGAGGACGGGTAGAAGTCTTTCGATATGGCGATACATGAGATCGCAAATAGGGCCAGGGCCAGTAAGGAGAAGTGTGCGACCACCATTGCTGTCAGATGGATAACAGCAAAGGATGAGGTTTTGGAAACGAATAGAACAGGGTCAACTTGGCAGGCTGTGCGCCAAAGGTGAGGACAGACTCTTGCAGAAGGTAACGCTTCCTGGTTTGCCTTACTACAAGTGCCATTCCGACAACTGTTCGTGGTTGTATAGCATGCTTCCACATGCGTAAGCTCTAGTAGTTGCTGTTTGCGGCATTTGGAAATGTGAGATTTGCAGGGGTTTATGGAATCCAACGGAAGAGAAGCCTACCGCGTCTGTTTGATTATTAACTCTATTATATACATATTATTACTTCTGACATACTTATTACAAATTCTAGTGCATATTAGGCAGATATTGCGTTCTTATAGCTTTTCAATTTCATCTTTGGATTTTCTTTTTCGCAGGGTAAACTCAACTCAAGATTTGACCTCGCTAAAGTATAAGATACCTCATCTCATTGATGATAAGAGAAGCCTGGAGAGAGGCAGTCGAGACTTTTTTGTGGCTGGCTGACATTCCAACTACCATATCGATAGTTGTCTTTAGTGGATGCAGGGTAGGGCTTTGCTTGCGTAAACCAGCTGATGAGATGGCTCACTTGCCAGATATTCGCTTGCGCTCTCAGCCCCTCCAATAGGTGCCATTGTGATAGGCAATAAAAGTGAATCTTTCCCGAATTGCCATACCTAAACTGGTAAAGGCGCGGGGTTGGCGCTGTTGGCCCGTCGTTCCGTGCCATCTTGCAGATCATCATAGAATTAAGTGGCACTGATAGCTACTTTTGGCGTTTTCTTGGGTAGCCAACTAGTTAATGAAAATGCAAATGAACATCTTCTAGTTGGTCAAATGAACCGAGTGGCTTTGATCTACTGTCGCTACTTAATTTCATAAGTTAATATAGTAAGTATATCGCTTTAGCCAGTATTGAAGCATGACTGGTAAGTCTTGGCTGCTCTTATCTAACCCTCCCTTTATCAATTGCTTTCTCGGTTTGTTGAAAGGGGCTATACCCAAGGCTCAACCAAGCATGAAGTTGCCCTATCTTTTTGCAGTCATAATCGCTGCGCTTAGTCAAGCAGCACCTACTGTCGACGAGAAATACCCATACCTTGGACCTAAAGTCCCGATCGGCGATTGGGTCGACCCCACGATTAATGGCCACGGTAAAGGATTTCCTCGTCTAGTTGAACCCCCAGCTGTGTAGCCTGCCTCTGCAAATCCTACCAACAACATCAATGTCATTTCACTATGACATATACCTGCCAAGACTGGAGGAGCCACTGTTGGCATCAATATTTACTACCAGACGCCCTTTGGTCTAGGTGTCGCACCCTCAGTTTACTGGGGAACCAGTCCTTCCGCTTTGAACAATGTGGCTACCGGCTTGAGCGTGACATACGACCGGGCTCCTCCCTGTTCACTCATCAACGTCGTTACCCAATGCAGCTAATTCTTTCACAACGTTCAGATAGAACAGCTTCAGCCAGGTACAACCTATTTTTATCAAATCCCTGCTGCAAATGGTACCACCCAGTCTACTGTTTTGAGCTTTACAACTGCCCAAGCTACAGGCAACCCATCTCAATTCAGTATTGCCATCAATTGCCGGCGGAACTTACAAATACATGAACTAAGCCATGAATGATGATGAAGGATTGGCTTTTATCTGGCATGGTAGGGATCTCAGCTATGCGGATAACTGGTATTCTGGCGTCATACAGTGTAACGCAAGTAGTTGGCCCGTCTGTTACAACGGCAGCTCAAGCCACCTGCCTAACAATGACACCAATCCCGATTATTTCGACACGCCTCTCCCAGCACACGAAATTCCAAATCAAGGCAGTCCTCGTGGCGGCGATGTAGGTGTCCTCTACGAATCCAATTGGGATCTTTGGCAGCAGTGGATGAATACTATCACTATGAAAATCCCTTACATTGTTCTTCCCGGCAATCATGAGGCCACGTGTGCCGATCATGATAATTCTCCATATGTCCTCTCTTCATATCTCAATGAGAACAAACCAAACACCACCATGTCTGACAATAACCCCAACGTCACCCTGACATATTATTCATGTCCGCCTTCACAACGCAATTTCACAGCTTTCCAGAATCGCTACTTTATGGCCGGCGAAAAGTCTGGTGGCATCGGGAATTTCTGGCATTCATTCGATTATGGCTTGGTGCATTTCGTATCTATTGATACAGAAACGGATTATGTTCACAGCCCAGACAAGACATTTTTGGAGGATATCGAGAAGGCAAAGGAGGAGGAAGATTGCAATGGCAAGGACAAGGATTTTCCCAAGTGCAAGCCCAAACAGAAGGAAACGGATACCTATGAGTGTAAGACGATTAACCTAGGTGATGAGACAGATCTCTTGGCCGAAGAGATATACTTTCTGTCTGGAAAAACACATCCTTTGGCCAACGAGACTCACATCACAGATGCTGGTCCTTTTGGAACAATCAACGGTTCCATTAAGGACAACAAGGCTTATGAGCAATATCAGTGGTTGAAAAAGGATCTTGCTAGGGTTGATCGATGTAAAACACCCTGGGTTATCATCATGGGACATCGCCCTATGTATAGCTCCAAGGGCGGCAACTATCATGAGCACCTTCGCGAGGCTTTTGAGAAGTTGTTCTTAAAGCACAAGGCTGATCTCTATATTTCTGGGTAAGTTGTTAGTTCAAATTTGTCAAGCACGCCAAACTGACTGCTCATAGCCATGTTCACTGGTATGAGCGCCTCAAACCTATAAGAAACTGCGCCGTCGACAGTGACTCGATCATCGACACAAATACATACGAGGTGAACCCTGGCTATTCAATGGTTCATCTTATCAACGGAGCTGCTGGAAACATCGAAAGCCACTCCACCGCCAACATGTCTCAGCTTGTGCCTAGCATAACCGCTGTCCGTGATCTGACCAGTTTTGGCTTTTCCAAATTGACCGTCTACAATGCAACAACTCTTTCTTGGCAATTCATCCAAGGCCAGGATGGTCTGGTCGGTGATGAACTTAGTGTACTAAAGGATCCGTCTTTGGCCTGCGAGGGTTACAGTTCTTATAGCTCCCCTGGCTCGTCTGGCTCGTCTTGCTCCTCTGAATGCTCTGGATCTGGCTTGCTTAGCTGGATCTACTGTAATATCTATTGTTCCAGCTTCTGGGGGCCACTGAAGTTTTAGGCTTGTTACTTATAGCTACACATAGACACCAGTTTCAGACGTGAGGCTCATAGCTGCAATGGTATTGACCTGGCAAAGATACTTTTCAAGGCTGATTTCTGGTTCATTATTAAGTGCAGTAAATGAATGTATTATCTAATGGGCCTAAGTGTTATTCTGCCAAGATGACACTCAGACTAAAGACCAGGTAAAGTTAAAGTCGAATAGTGGATAGTCTGGCGCGTTGTTCGTCAGCTTTGCCACTACTGGCCTCTGCTTTGGAACTTACTTTAACAAGCAACAGCAACATAGCGTCTACGCGGTGGAAGCGTCTTACGTTTGGTAGCAGGTCCTTTGCCTTTCTCGCCTTGGACTTCACTAATACTCTGCGTTTTGGCTGCGAGCCTGGGTAGTACTCTTCCTGGCGGTGTCATTGTGGGAATTTGAAAGTTTGGTGTTACTTTAAATGGAGCCGGCAGTGGTTAAGATTGATGCGACTGGCTGCAGTTACGACTTGACGGATTTATCGGAGCTGAAGTTTGTCTGGCTGCTCGAATCAGTGGTCACCACTAGCTTAACTTGAAGTGGAGCTCGCTCTATTCATGCTCGTTTCTTTGTCTCCTGCTATCTCTGAGCCGAGGAGCCTGTGCAGCTCTCTTGCAGAATAGCCCTGGGGTCGCAAAGACCTTAGTAGCCTTTAATCCTTTAAGAGGGAATTGCTTTTTTTTTTTTTTATTTTTTTTTTTAAATAAAAACTAAAAAATTAAATTATGCAGTAGTCATGCAAATAGGGATTGATTTATTAATCATGTATTGCCTTTAGGTTACCTCAGAGTTAATAGCCGCGCGACTCTCCCGTTCCTCGGAACGCCACCCACGTCAAGCCGGGACATCCGTAACATCCGCGACATCGGCTACATATACCACCTAGAAGCCACCTGTACATGTTTATCTAAGGACTATACTCGCATTCTTTTTATTAACCTTTTGAAGACATTAAGTCTTGCATGTTAACAGATCGAGACATGCCATTATCTGTCGGACAGCGTCTGAAGTCAGGATGGAAGTCCCTCAGTATTGATCATAAGATTTTAATGCTAATGTTCAAGTAAGTTCTCTACTTGCCTGCTCTATAGATATTTTTAGTTAAGCCCAGACTGATACAGCAGCATAGGGGCTCGATACCGGTGGCAATCTCGTTGTCGTTCTATCAAAGCACTCCTGTGTCAGAAACGTTTACCTCACTAGGATTCCTAGTGGCTATTATTGCAGTTGTCACAGTAAACGTGTTGCCGCGTGCGAAACTGCTTGAGTTGACTTTTGGAATATGCTCCTTGACTGCCATAGCTATCCCACTAGCGATGTTAGCAACGTGGTCGGGGTTGCAAGCCCGCTTCCACACTGACCCAAACGGCTTACATGCGTATAATTCATCGCAGAGTGGTAAAACAGGGAAGCTCGAACCCAACGAATACTTTTGTCCTAACACATTCCAGCAATCACCGCTATCTGGCTCACTTTTCACATCTGGGTGAGTAACAGTATTCAAGCAAGATTCCCGGCGCTCCTTATTCCCACGATATTGTACAACATCTTCATGATCGTGCAATTCACCTCTTGCTCAGTCTTTACCACCTGGAAAGAGTGCTGGGATCTGATATACCTCACGGTTCGTTGTTACTACACCGGTATCGCCATATCCTTTTTTTCTGGACTGTTCTTTTACCCTACAACCTGCCGGACGGAGATCTTTGAGGTTCAAGAGAAATATATCCTTTGCACACAACGAGCTTTGAGCGAATCCATCAATTACCTAACCCAACTATCAACAACTCCTACATTTCCGTTCATTTCAGGTCAAAGTTCCGGTCAGAGTGCAAGTCAGAGTGACAGCAACGATGGGGCTGATGCGCAAGGGCGACACGACCAAGCTGAAAAAAGTTTAAAAAAGCAAGTATCCAGCGTTAAAGAGCTATACACCAAGATGCATGAAGAGCTGGTGATGGCGAAGCGCGAGATTGCTTGGGGAAAGCTACGTACCCAAGATCTGGATGCTATCAGCGACTTGTGTCGACGCATCCTCATGCCAGTGTGAGTACTCCTGACTTTCTGGAATGCCTGTGAGGAAGCTGATTTTATTCTCAGTGGCGGCATGTCCCACCTCCCAGATATTCTCAAGCGCATCGAGGAAAATGGAGGCTGGGTTCCCTTCGATACTCAAGTGGAGCAAGAACAGGTCTCCGAATCAAATGACCCCGCCGACAAGGCTAAAAGCTTTCAAGAGTATGACAGAATATGGCAGAATGCAGTTGGCTGTTTGGTTGAGCCTGCATCTGACCTGGTCAAGGCTGTCAATGATGGACTTGAACATGCCGGCCTACAAATGGAACTCATTCCCAGACCAGGAGCTAAAGGTTTTATACGTCGAATGCTTGGCACTAGATGCAATAAGCTAGCCGACACCGAATCAAAAGGCGGCGGAAATGAGCCTGGTAGCCCTGAATTTTCAAAGGTGCTTGAGGAAAAGCTTAATAACTTCTCCAAGGACAGAGTTGCCTCCTTGAATGCATGGGTTGATAATGGGCGTCTCCCTACAGATCTGGAAACTGATCTGCATAAGTCCAATGAAGGCGGTGACGACGAGCGTCTTAGTCCTGACATTCTCCACAGGGATCGACAACAGCTCTATCTTCTCCTGTACATGCAACAAATGGTGAGTAAGATCTCCTGGTTGCAGCTACCAAGTCTTTAACGAATGCCGTGTAGTTATATTCTGCTGGGATATCTGTGCTTGAGTTGTGCAAGTTTACAGACGAAATAGTCGCCAAAGGCGTAATGACCCGAAATCGACTTATTGTTCCCTCCCTCCGCAGAGTTTATAAATGGCTGCTCAGCATCTTCGACACGGCCGACCAGGCTCTAGCTGATGACGACCGACCGGGCTCAAAGAAGGAGGCGACGCTGGTATTTGGACAGTCTACTCGACAAACGCGTAACATCGAACACCTTCCGCCTACTAATGCTTACGAGAGATTCGGGGTTAAGATCCAAAGATTTCAAGGATTTCTCAAGGGGCCCGAGTTCAGCTTTGGCTTCCGATCAGCTTGCGCAACCATGTCGTGTGCTATTATCGCCTACCTTGAACCAACGCAGGCGCTGTTCATACACTACCGCCTGATCTGGTCCGTCATCATTGCAGCAATTGGGGCGAATATGTCTGCTGGGCAATCCGGCGTTTCTTACATTCTTCGAATCCTCGGCTCGTTTGCAGCTTTGATTATCTGCTATCTGGTTTGGTACATTCCAGACGGTCACACAGCGTAAGACACGTTTGAGTCCCCATTCAAATTGCCACGAAACAGCTAACCGCTAAATAGAGGGGTCATTGTTTTCATGTGGTTTGCGGCTTTCCTCCAGATGTACTTTTTGATTAGGTGGCCCCGGTACATCATTGGATGGTTAGTCGTGTTTATTACCGAAGTTCTCTCAATCGGCTATGAGACCCAAGTGAACAAGATAGGCGTCGAAGCGGCAACTTCAGCGGGTGTCATCTACTATAAACCTTATTCTGTTGTTGCCGTACGCGTTGCTTGTGTCTTGTGGGGGACCTGCGCTTCCATGTTCTTCACTTACCTGCCGTATCCCATCACAGCTAGAGGCATCTTGCGTAGGAATATGGCGGCCATTATGCACTTAGTTGGCAATTACCACACAGTAGTGCACACGACCTTGAAGACTCGACTTCGCGGGACGGAGGGGGACGTGGCTGACAAGAAGAGCCAAGGCCACTTGCTCTCGCGGACCCGCAGAGCAATGTTTAACAAGACGATGATCTTGAACTCATCTGTCAAGCACAACGTCTACCTCCAGAAATACGAACCTACACTGGGAGGTAAATTCCCTGTTGTGATTTTTTCCGACATTATCTCACAACTTGGAATGTAAGTTGGACTTGGACTACTGCAACGCAGTGTGTGCTACATGACTGACACTCAGAGTAGGCTACTAGACTATATCGCTCTCTTGTCATATTCCACTCAAGCATGGTCATTGCATGGGCCTCACTCGCAATATTACCATACTTCAACGCGTACACGAGAATGGACGGAAGATCTTGCTAGCCTTCTTACCTCAACTAATGTGCTAGAAGAGAGGGTCACTGTTGTTCTATATCAGCTTTCAGGTGCGGTTGCAACTGGCCAGCCACTGCCGAGCAGGATCAAGCCCGGAAAATTATATCAGCTTTCGAAAAGATTATCACAGCTAGACCCTGCGATTCTGGATATACGACATATACAGGATCTTGGTTACTCGACCTACGCTGTTGTTGAAATGATTTCTAACATGATCAATCACCGAGTCAATGTCCTTACTCAAAGCATCGAAAACCTGGTTGGCATCACGTATTTCGACGTTGACAAGATGTATTCCATAGAACACGGAGAGCTTGAGGAATAGTTTGTGTATATAACGTATATAATAAGCGAACCGATCAGGCACGCGAGCCGATGAAAAATCTCAACCTAACGAGAAGGGCAGTGGTAGTTTGGGCCAAACTACTAGTTACGGTTCAGGGGCATAGACTAATAAAAATGCAGGCCAGCACGCAGGGGTAGGTACAGGATGCAAACAGGGGGCTAAACTACTATCTTGCATTATAGCTAATTAGGATTAAGTATAATAGTTATAGTTTCTAAGGGATAAACTAGTCTATATTAGGTTTATATTAGCAGATAATATAAGGCATAATGCTAAGTTAGTATAAAGTATTATGTTACTTAATATATAAGTAATACTTATAAGGCTTATTATTATAAAGAATTTTTATTAATAGCTAGTAAGCTAATATCTATAAAAGTGCTAATAAATATAGTCTATATACTTTAGGGGTATTGGTAATAATTAGTGAGGATGCTACAGGATTAGTGTTAATTATATCGGATCAGTACTGATCGTGAAGTCTTGGCGCTGATCTGTTTGGACTGGGTAGCATTGATTGGAGGAAAATATGGGGGTACACGTAACGACGTCGCGGGGGTCGTAACAAAGACCCCGGTTCTGTCCAATGAGAAACGGTTTCCTATGAGAATCTCCCCACCACAGAACAGACGGCATTTTCATTCTCGTCTGAGTAAGCCAATATGCCAGAGCCTGTAAAACCTGTAATAATAACTACCTAAATTTTGAGTTATCTACAAACCATTCACCACCACCATGGCCGCATTGCCTGAGAATGTTCTAGGATTTCTTAGCTTATCCAATGAAGTCTTGCTTGCTGTATTTGGACTATGCAGAAACACAGAGCAAAAGCAACACAATGACACTATCTCCAGCCTGAGATTAACATGCTGGAGGTTTTACTTGCTCTGCAGCGATTATGCTATTCGTCGCTGCGCCACTTTAGACTTTATCCGTCCAGAAAGCGTTAAGTTGTTTCGCCAAGTGGTTGACAATCCTCGAATCGCAGAAGGAGTATGCGAAGCCAATGTGCGGTTGCATTTCTACCATCCATGGATTGCGGCCAGTCTTGGCAACTTCATCTCAGCCACTTTGTCTGAATGGGAGCAACGAGCACACATTTTGGATGGGTCAATTGGCATCACCTCAGGCGGAAAAATGACATTTGAGTACCTGATACAACGATTCATCAACGACGTACAGATGCACAAGGATGAGTTTATAGAGCCATCTATATCACGCAATAGAGCAAATCAGACAGGTTGTCCAAAGGGTATCCTTGAACGTGCTTATAATATATACAAAGAAAGGCACGATTCACAGATGCTCTTGCATGGCGACGGCGCCTTTGCATTTGAGATAGCTGAGATCATGACGAGACTGCCAAACATCCGGCATGTCACGCTCCATGATGGCGCTCTTGAAAACAACTATGATCTCGGCCGCAAGTTTGATCCAGTTGACGAACAAGACACCTCGGCCCAAGCCGATATTTTGATTCGAGTTCTTTCTCGACCGATGCTATGGGAGGAAGCACGTTGGATCCAACCGAACGAATTCATCTGGCCTGGGGTTCCGACAAGGTTACTGGTGGATATTCCACTAGCACTGGGCAAAACCGACTCACTGGTTATCGATCAACTCTCTATCCTTGTATCAGCTGCGCCGGATTACATGACAATGCAGCTCAGCAGAGATGACCGGGACAAGTTATCAGAAGCCATCAAACGACTCGACCTTTTCCAGTTTAACTTTTCGCCTCGGTGTCGGAGCGGTTGTGGTCCGTGGACAAAAAATGAAGAAGAGAACGATACTGTTAGGACAGCAAGTGAGATGGAGGCTGTAAATGAATACTTGAGCGCACTCTTTAACGCCGGATGCATCACACACGCTGATATAAATCTTGGCGAGTTTTGGTACAGCTTGGGGTTTAAATCTATGCTCGCTGCTCCGACTTCAGTTGGTATTGGGTTTATGTGGCCTTTGGAGTCTGACTTGCGCTCAATTCATCTCACCGAGATCTCTGTCACCACTATTGAACTCGGAGCATTGGCTAGGGCTCTCGGTATTGGATCAGAGGTTTCGTTGTTTCTTGTTCACATCAGAGAGGGCTCATGGCGAGATGCTCTTCAAAGATTGAGAGAAGGGCTACATAATCCGCAGTCGGTTTACATCAGACATCCATCTGGTGGTGAGATTCATAGTCTCACGGATGATCAAATCAAGTCAGCTTTTAGCTGTCAACACACTGAGGAGGGCACAAAAGCTGAATGCTATGCTATGGGGAGAATCTTAGAAAATCCATTCAATGCGTTTAGATAGATGCCATTTGGCTTTTGAAGATGATGTTGGCCCAGCCATACGTTGAATAATACCTACAGTTGCTTCCCCTTTTATGTAGTAAAACTTATTGATGTCCTTCTTACATAGCTTCAGAGCACGAACTAAGGGGTATCAACGCAGTCAGAAGCCCCCTTATACTACCAGATATACGGTAGCCCTATGGAGTTGTCGCTAACTATCGTGTAACTTAGAGTAATTATCTATATATTCTTTAAGCTTTAAGGGCTTCTATTAGTTTGCGCATACATATGCCACTGACCCGTTCGACATGTCCAGTCTTGCTCAGCCTTACATTAAAGTCTCTCGTAATTCCGATTTTGGACGAAACAAACTCTACTAATGAAGTAGCCAATTGGACAGAGTGGAAGCAGTGTTACTGGCCACTTACATCTAACTCCCACAGTCATCTCAGGAGCCTCGCGATAGACAACGTACTCATTTCTAATTCTTAATGCCAACCAGGTATAAAGAGAATCACCCAAAATGCTCTAGTACCCAGTTGAGTCTTACTGTGTAGAAATAATTAATTATCTACATCAACAATTGTAGTTGGTTTTGCCTTTGAAAGTTTTATACACAATCGTGCTTAACTTCAATCTGTTCACTCATGTTGATCTAAAGCTCTTTCGCATATATAGTAAGTGACTTAATATTAAGACTAGGCCCTTGAAAAGACTAATACTACCTGGTGCAGACATGTCTACCCTTAATACCTTGAAGCAGTTCTTGCTCCTGTGTGAAATGACTTGTGATGCTTGATATGATCTGCTTCTTCGAGTTGCTTTTAGCGACTGGTTGTGCGTGCAGTGAGAATGATAACCCCTAGGTCCTATTCTTCTTCTTTCTTTATTTAACCCCATCCGTTGATGTTGTCACTACCCCCCTCTACCGTCCAGCTACAACAACGCTCTCGGTGCCCTTGAGCTTCTCCTTGTCAAGCAGGTCTAATATAGGGCCAATCGCCTGGAGGAATTATTACCGTAAATTCCAGGCCTGCACAAGGACAGGAAACTCGAGCCTCACGTAAGTTCGTGCCACACAATTGGCTTTCTGAAACGAGAGGCGTCTGCAAACACCCAAGAGCATCTTCAACATGAGCAAAGGCCGAGATCCTCTCCTCTTTCCAGATAGCAGATCAGCCACAGCCCCATTTCTGGTTCTTTCTGTGAGGCTGCTGAACCGAGATTTGTGTTTATAGAGATCATTTAGGACCGAGAAATGGCCAATACAAGAGCAGAGAAAAGGATCTCTGCCAGTGGCATCATAGACCTACAAGACGAAGATCAAGGGGAGCTGACCAAAGATGCCGTCATCCAGGTGACGAGGCATTCATTAGGGGCCTGTCACCTCATGTTCCCCAATCAAGATGATGTTGCCAAGGATGTCGTCGTATGGCATCGATTCGTTCACGCCATGATCAATGTTTTACAGCGATGAACAATAGCGACTCAGCAGTGGAGTTTAACCAGTTGTCTGGGCCTGGGGATGGAGGCAGGATCGTCTTTCACAAGCCACATCCTGTTGACGATATCGATCCAGTTCTCTTAGGAAGCATGGGAAGGAAAATGGAAAGGTGGTTTGGCTGGAGGTGGGAGTTTCTTACTCTGCGTGACGAAACCACCTCAGCTATAATTATCTAGAGATAGAGATCACATGATGAATCACAGATCTTGGTATCACGTAATAGAGAGCAATGCATATCTTGTTTTAAGTGTGTTCTTTCACCCTGCCTTCTACCTTTATGCCGTATCTATGAGATTGTTTTCCAGACGTAAAACCCATCTGCCGAGGTATCACCCTAAAGCCCCATTGCCTTTTCCATTCCTGTCAATAAATCCTGACCAGCGCCCAACGGATTGCTCATCATAGTGAAAGACAAGACCGCCAAGCTTCCCGTCTAATTTGGCGGTCATGTTAGCATCTCATGGAAACAGGCTGTAAGCTTCGTGGTATACTTACTATTCGCAATAGGTTCCGCAATATCCACAGTTGCGACCAGGAATGACCCAAACATCATTTTCAGCCGTAGAACATTTTGGGCATCGAGTGCCAGGCATTTTGGTATCAGCTGGAGGTTGAGAAGTCATTTTGATGATGCTTTCGTCGAGTGTTGGTAAGCTCGTAAATGTGTGATGTAGTAGTAAAGGTTGTTAGTTGTGTGTGAAAGATGGAGATGGAGATGGAGATGATTGATGTGAGTTTGGCGGATCGGGCGAGGTTTATATATTGGAATTGGTCATTGTTCACGATTGACATGCCGGTGTCAGAGCGTTGTTTGAGGCATATGTTCACTTCCTCGTTACCTCTTCCCTTCTTGAATCAGATGGTTTCACCACTTGTTCAGTCAATCAGTGCTTTGGTGTATCACTGTTAACGCATCTACCGAGGAAATGTCTCTGTGAATCAGTTGCAGATGGCCCCAGTTGCGGATTAATCAGGGAGGATGGGCACCTGATCAGCATATCACTGCTATTGTGCATTGCGTGAGATGATGATTTCGTCACAGCTATCACTGTCACGCCTGAGTAAGATTCCCTCTTCCTTATCTCACCACTATTGCGATACTCTTGTGCATATCGGTACATCTCTGTTGGTACCGATTGAAGGACAGAATATAAATGACATAATGACACTGATGAGTTCTTTGGTCTTCCTGGTCGGTGGCGCGGCTAGAGTTTCCGTGGCGGAAGAGATAAAGAAGCACAAGCACAAGCCTGGATAATACGACATGATCTTTGACACAAGTATGAAATCCCAGGCTGAGACAACTGCGTTTGATAGGTTATTTCTAATGGCATCTGTGGGTTTGGAAGGAACGTGGATTCTAATCAGACTATTCAGATCTAGAATGGACAAACGGAGCGCAACAGACATGTTCATTATGAAGGGGAGCCCAATCTTGACAAGACGGAAGAGGATGCTGTCTCCTTTACCCATATCAAGGTTCTCGTGACGCTTGCCGCCCGACTTCTCTCACTCTAGAAATATTTGGTGTCTGTCTTGAGGGTTCTCACTTGTTTTTCATGGTTAGAGTACTCAGGGTGCTTCAAGCTTCTGATGATCAAACTAAACATTCGCAAGCTTACTATTCTCACCGTCTCTATCATTCCTCTGCTTTATAATCTCAAGAGCACAGACACCCTTAACTGCAATAGGAGGATACTGGGAAACAAGCATAGCTAGTGCCAAGTAGATGAAATGGTTATTACATCAGTGAAAGGTTCGTCTGGATTGACTCCTTCGCTTCAAATGGAAGGAGATTCGAACTGTGCTGTAATATCCCTCAGTTGTAACCTGTATTGCGAGCCTGCACAACCACTAGCATTATACCAGGTTCAAGACCTGGAGGGCACCTATCTAAGGCGAGCTTTCGGCAGCAATGACTGGTGGAAAGGATGGCGAAGAGGGAGAGGATGACTGGGTTCACGTGAGTCCAGAGAATAAAACCATCACAGCCTTAAGAGGATGTCGATTTGCCACAATCCAGCCACCCATCTCATGCGTCGCAATTCTTTTCTCAAGATGCTCTATTTAGTCTGAATGAAGCGAATAATCTGCAATGATGTTAATATTACATCAAGTGACTTATCTCCTGCGACTCCGTCTGGGAACTTGGTTTCAGCCGTCGCAACAACTCAGTTTATTTTATCTTGACTGGGATCATCAGCTTAACTTAATACTCTCAACCATTCTTCATCATGAGAAATGATAGTGCCAGCGGTCAGGACCAGTTTCGATGACGCTAGGCGCCAGGAGGTTCGGTTAGACTCTGCATTCTGCGTTGCAACTGTTGATGTGAAGGAGGAATCGACTTATTACTTTTAGCTTCTATACCGCTGGCAAACAAACATGTCATATTACCAGTGAGCTGTTTGCCTGGATGGTGGATTCTCAGCTTCTTAATAGAAACATGTTTTATAGTTAGACGCAACTCCACCAGAGACATATATCGTGCTGGAAATGCCGTCTCCCGATCTTCTCGGGAACTGCTTTCGCAAGACTAGTTCTTCAGCATATGTTCAAACACTCTGCCGTTGTGAACTTCACCGAATAAACCCCAGAAAGTATGCGTCTCCCATTGCGAATGAAGTGAAATATGTGATCCTATGGGTTATATGTGATTTCGCACTGAATCTCCTGCTCTTCATGTTTACCACCGGCTTTCCCATTAGCCTGCTGCATGTTGACAGGCCACGCCGTATCCATGAGGTGATAAGCCTCTCTGTATGGTGAGTGCTGTAATGTCTTATAGAGGCAAGTAATTGGCTTGTTCATTTTGGTCGATGGACGCTCAGGTTCAATGGGAATCTAACTATCTATGGATGCGGGAGAAAATGCTAGACGGTGATTGGTCACAAACAGGAAACGCAATGCGTTTCTGCTAATAATTCTTTTGAGTAGCACTTTACGCGACAGGACGCGTCGCGTTCTATAGTAAACCCCTGTTCTGATCAGCACTACCCTTCCTGTATGTGGAATAATGTACAATCAACTCTACACCCTAGCATTAGAGTGGGTCGATAAAATCAACTCTACCTAAAATTGATTTAGTCATTAGTTACTAGGGGTCACCTGAGTGGCTGTATCAGGCAGCAACGCGGGGCACTGAGGGGTATCCGGAAATCTCACAAAGAGAAAACCGACAGGCAATCAGTCATATATCGCAACTCCGTGCCGAATTTTTCTCTTACCCCTTGGCTCTAGAGCATTTAATTGGCTTTCCAAAACCGTAGTCGACACTTCCGACGGCCGCCATGTCTGCTAACCGTCATTCGCAAGACAGTTGCTCTGCACTCAACCTCCTGGCAGCTCTGAGAACAAATTCCACTGTAAACCGGGTAGGCAAAATCGCCCTTTCACCAGTTGCTGTTATATACGTAGGATGTTGACCATCTATATCTCCTTTTCATCCATTCGTGAAGCTTGAGCCTGACATTGGAATTCATAGTCGAGTGTTTATTCTAGTTCAAGGTCAAGATCAACCTATAGCTATGGACTTTACGGCAATAGGATGTATTTTAAACCTCAAAATTTCGCTACGAGAGAACCTTTATTCGCCAACCTAAACCAAGAGTCCAGCGAGAACCAAGTCGCATTTTCGTACGAGCAACTTCATTGTGGGACTATCTCCTGAATATTTCAAACATTGGCCTGATGGTAACAAATGTTTAGGTTCAAACGTCTCCAATCCACGGAATTTAATGCATCCTTTAATCCCACTTGATGACTCAACTCTATCAGCCAAAAGCACCACCGGAATTTATCTTCCCTTGCCTGAGGGTGATAGCTTCCGATTACTAGAGATCCTTCCGGGGAAAAGTGGCATTGTTCAGTGCAAGCTTCATATCTGCAGTCTGAAAGAAAATAAGATGGCATACGAAGCCCTGTCGTACACCTGGGGTAAAACGGCATACGAAGCCCGATATCAGAAACCAGCTAGAGACCAGAAGATTAGGGTGACAGCGAATGGGAAAAACCACTTATTATCTGTTTCGGAAAACCTGAACATTGCCTTACGAGAATTAAGACGAAGCAATGTCCCCAGATTGATATGGGCCGACGCTGTCTGTATCAATCAGGAAGACGTCAAAGAGCGAAGTCAACAGGTGGTAATGATGGGAGAGATATTTAGCGGCGCCTGGCAGGTCATTATATGGCTTGGTGAGGAGTTTGACCGCTGTTCCTGTGGTAAAACCATACTTGAAGCGGCTCTTTCCTCAGCCTCAGAGGCCTTTTCAGGAATATGCTCAGTCGTCAATGAATGGCTGATCCAGTGTGGCCAGGAGGATCTCAAGGCAACTTACTCTGAAGTTTCGAGAGATGGGCAATCCGTTTTGCATCATGCCAAGATCAGAAATGATGCTACGCCTGACTCGGAATATGAGGCCTGCCGTTTTGAAATGATGCAGCTCTTCAGACGGCGCTGGTTCTCTCGCATTTGGGTCTTACAGGAGGCCGTCCTTGCTAGTCACGCTATCATCCAGTTGGGTTCATACCAGATACCCTGGGAGTGGGTGGGACTAGCCGCAGCTATCACTGTCCACAAACCTGAGCTATCGCTGAATGATTTCGGAGAGATAATTCCTACGGGAGCGATGCACTGTTATTTCATGTATCGACTTTCGATATCACAGCGTTGTTTCCCTCCACTGAAGTTCTCCTTTGCTCATTTGCTTCAAGTCACTCGACTATTTGAAAGCAAAGATCCTAAAGATAAGATTTATGGCCTTCTAGGTATCGCGACAACAGATTCAATAGCCATAAAGATTATTCCGGATTACCGAAAGGAAACTACCATAGAAAAGGTTTATGAAGATGTTGCAAGGTTGATGTTAGAATCAAATTCACCTTTAACGTTTCTATCAGGAGCAGGGACTTTTGGAGACTTTGATCCATCCAGACCATCATGGGTACCAAGCTGGCATAGATATCGCCCTTGGACTATCCTACCAACAAAGAAGCATCCGGGGTTTCGGTGTGCCTTGAGTGCTCTGATGGAAATGGACCGCACTAATCAACCAGGGCAGCTATCGCTTAAGGGTGTTATTCTCGGTCGCATCCACTCCATGCAGGAAGTTCTGGGGCAGGTTGAGCTTTTCGATCAAAATGAGAGAGAACGCCAGATCTTTTTAAGTAGACCAAGATGGAGTGAGGGAGATTGGAAGATATGTGCCTTGACATTGACATGCGGGGGCGAAGGGAGAGCATATCCTGTAGACGACGAGGCCACACATCTTGCCGACATGGCTGCTGCAGTGCTCTCAGGGAAGCTGAACTGGGTAATGAAAGATCTCATCACCCTTGAAAGTGTTATCGAGTCTAAGCCTGGCGATGTTACACAACTGGAGTATCTCAACGAAATTGCCAAAGACGGAGACTGGCGTCGATATATAAGCGCTATAACCCCTTTTCACAATTTCTATAGGGTGTTTGTGACAGAGGCGAATCACTTTGGACTTGGGCCTATGGATATGAAGATTGGAGATCAGCTGTGTGTGCTGTTTGGCGCTGAGGTTCCTTTCTTATTGAGACCAAAAGGAGACGGATATTTGATTGTTGGGGAGTGTTATGTATACGAGGTGATGCATGGTGAGGTTCTTGAGAAGATTTCCTCTTGTCCAGACGGTCCGTTGAAGGCTTCTTGGATCAAGCTTATATAGTGCTTCTTGTGCATGGAGATCGAGAGGTAGCTGAAATACTGCATTGTTTTGCCTGATGTAGGTTGACTCTTTTTATTCAAGTATGGTACCAGCCCTCCAAATGGTAGCCCTCGTCGTCTTATTCCGTTCCCCCCATTTAATCCTCACCCTGGCCCTCCACCCATGCTTCGGCTGACTTACTCGACCGCTTCTTCGTAGGACATTCAATGTCCTCCTCGTGCTGCCTAACGTTCATATCCCCGCTGAACTTACCCAGTATTCTTCTCCATAGCCTGATCAGCGACGGCGGCCTTTGCACCTCTGTCCTCCTGTGCATATTCACAAGGCTCCTGCGAAGAACTAGGGGCGGTATCAGAGCCAATCCATGTGAAGTTGTCAAGGTTTGTTGTTTTCTCGACCTGTGCCCCTTCTGTCTCGTCTATAGAATCTATCTATGTATTTATGCTTTCCTGGCCGTTTCTGGGTTCTCATGTATCAGTTACCTGTTGCTTCCTTTCCTTGTCCTTCTACCGTCTTTCTCTTTCCCGCTCCCGCTCTCCGTGCCCCTGAAACTGCCGGTCATTCTTCTTTGTCAGTTTCTTCTATGACTTGCCTGCTGTGGTAACTATGTCTACGACAGTGGGATCTAGATAAATGACCTAAGAGCCATCGTTGCATGTAGTTATTATCCGCATCTATGCATTAGAATAGCGGGGACCTCGATAACATAGTTTCCATTCTTGTCTACATGGAAACTGAAGAAGCTTTCTCCCGAAACAGTTGTCCAAAGGATCTGCAGGTCGAGGCTATCGGCCATATCGATAGCCTAGATAGAATCACGATATATCATGGATTCTTCCAAGTTGAAACCTGAACCTCTTAAAGAAGCGTGGTGGGGGAATAGATGTCGGCTGTAGATGTGTGTTATTGGCAGGCTCGTATACGACCCAGCCAAATGTTTGGCTGGGTTGTCCTGTAGCAGTATTTAGTGTTCCTTCCAGACTTAAAATCAAAGAGTGCCAACCAGGTCATCCACTTCGTCACTAAACTTAGCGCCTTTCTCCAAAATGGGCATGAGGTCGCTAAGAAGCCTTACAGAGAGCCTTGCAAATAACCTTACCTGAAACCTGAGACAAGCTTGAAGCTGACTACTGGCCAGCTGTAATTACTTTATCGTAAAGCACCACAATAGATCTCCATATATTAAATATAAAAACAGGTCACCGTGGCATCCGCTGCGATGGCTATTGCCTTGTTAATTCTGGAGATATTACCAGCTAGAATCAGACGGGAAAGTATCACTGTATCGTTTGTATGGACTGTGACTGGTGTGAGACGTGTTGTTTGTAATTCTTAGCTCATAAGCGAGCTCTCCCACTCAAAATTCGGCAAAGATGCAAAGATAAAGAGAGTTTCATCTAGGCCGTTAATACGGATTTGCTGCGAATAATTGTTATTAATTGAGTAGGGCTAAGATTATCGTTAAGATTCCCGGTAGCCCGACCGATAATAGAGCCGAGTCTGACCAACTCGGCATTCCCGCTCCTGCAGTCAAAGTGGCTATCGATGGTGATGCCGTTGCGGATGGGGTAAAGGCATTAGAGCTTGTGTTTTTTCTTTGAAGCTCTGTAGGTAACTGCTCACATCTTGTTAGTGATCGGTTTCAGTAAAGAAGTGGAAAAACGTACGACGGATGAGCCTGTTTCAGTCCTAGTTACCGTTATTCCTGCACTATCTGTTGTGATAACAGTGCGACAAGGGACAGTGGTCCTGCTGGTACCTGATGTGAGGATCACTCCGGTTATAGTGAAGTTGTTGCCAACCGAGTCAGAGGTTGTGATCAGTGTGGTAGCCAGAGGACCAGAGTTAGAGGTCGTGATTGATGTGGTGTCTGGAGAACCCATGATAGTAAATGGAGCTGATTGAGCAGTGGCGCCGGTTGAATCTCTATTATGAAGTGTTAAACAGTATATCCTTGACTAAATGCAATCAAGTAACGGTCTGTCTACCTTAAAGTAAAAGATAGTGAAATTCCCGGGGCAAAATTAACAGTCCAGATAAGCGAATTGCCTGTTACCTGCCCGAAATCTTGGAGAGCAGCTGCTGAAGGTTGATTTCCTGGCAAGATAGAAAGAAAGTAGGGTGGGGTGCCGCCTATCCAAGTCACCAAGAGTGGTTCTCCGAACTACGGACTGGGGTATTAGCAGAATGTATTGAAACCATGGAACGGAAAGAAAAAAAAAGAAGGCGATGTACCACAGCGTTCGATGGTGTATTAATCGTTAGAGTCCCCTGGGCAGAAATAGTCCTGAAGAAGCTAATAAAATATACTGCTTTAAGGAGATACATTTTTAGTAATCTCAAGTGCTGTCAAGTAGATAGAAAGAAAAAGAGGGGAAAAGCACAAGGACCTACCTAGGAGTGTATGTCTCTATATGGATTACTAGGTCTACTTAAGGCAAAGAGTTTAGGTCACTTAAACTCTGCAGGTAATATCACTGCTTATTAGTACCGCCACATAAGCAGCCACAAAATATACTTTAAGCAACACACCAGTAATTGCATGTTTAAATTAGAAGATTACTGCTCCTAACAGTTTGTAAAGTTGACCGATTAGAGTAGCTTGGTATTTATTGCCCCGCTACTCTAGAGCATACAGAACACCTTAGGCGAAAAGTAATCCTAATAATAAATCGTCCTAGCCACACTTCTTATTATTTCTCAGCTTAAGTATCTTACGTCAGCCGCGGCGTATTCCTTTAGGTAGGGTGTTTAATGTTGCGCAGTAACGGTGTATAGCACATCTGTCAGATTGGCATCATTGTGCAGAATAGGAAGGAGTTTGCTCGTTATAGCAATATGCGTGGCTTATGACTTATGGCAGAAACACACACAAGAGACTTAATTGCAATGAACTCAAACCTGATACGTCAATGTCATCGTCATATCCTACGCAATTTAGAAATCTGGAATATACTGTGGCTGTGTTGAACCCCGGTCTAAGATGTGGAAATGGTGGTCAGCTGTGCAGCTGTGGCGGATAGGAGTAGCTCCAAGGCTTAAACCTAAAATGATAGCTTGCAGAATTAAGCTGATCTCTGCCTTGTTATTCCTACTCACTATATTCTATTTTCCTCCCTTATTTGTTATCAAGAGATTGACAACTCTATTGCTTGCAGCAGTTCAAGTGTGCTTGTTGTCGGTTATTACCACCAAGGCGAATAGTGGTTGTAAACTGGAACAGAGGTAACTGCCACCCTTGATCGGGATGCTGCGTTTGTATTACCAACTGACAGGGCGAGGGGGAACGAGAACTGGTGACAGGGGGTTGAAGCGTCTGTGACTGGGTACACTTATATATCAAAGCATTGGCGTTGACGTTCTTTGCCGCGAAAACCCGGAAGAGTATCCTTCGTTTGATGATGGTGTTACTCCAGGGTATTAAGTTCTTCCGGCCAACGTTAACGCGCCTGATTGATTAACGGCCTAGTCCTACATACCAAAATCAATTCTAGTAGAATGGATTTCTTTTGCCCCACATTACGGAGGTCGGGTGGGGAAGTACTCTCGCGTTATACGTCCGTTATAAGTTCGGGAAGGTCTTTTCATGAAGCATTTTAGAAACAACATTGTCCTCGGTTATACCTCAAAGTCTTTCACTTGATTACTCAGAAATATCACTATACCGCGGGCGAACGCACGTGGTTTTTTCACGCTCCGTCATCATGACTTGCTCCGATGCAGCATGTTACATTCGAGTTGGGAGTAACATGGTTTAACCTGGCATCATGGACACGATGTGTACCTGTATCTCGGCAATAATGTGCCGAATAATTGGTGAGTTCGGTGCTCTCGAAGCCATAGCTCTCACAGCCATGATACCGATGAGTTAGGGAGATTTGGATCACCGGGAATCAGTATTGCCGGCTCTTACCATGTGGCGCACACCCGAAGTCGGCATGACTTCATAATTAGCGCTTGTTCAAGCGACTATTGGCTGCAACGTTTCTAGGACGCTCTACCCCAGGCGCAGAGGGCTTTAGCATTGCACGGAAAGAGCGGACTAGTATCTATTTTTGAATATCCATATTGGCTGGTGTTATCAATGACCTGGTAGTACTAATTGCTAGTGGCCGCGATTAGTTTGGTAAGTAGGGACAGGGTTAAGATAATTGTAAATGTCAGTGAAATTTCAGTCCAGGTCAACACCACAGTTAAAAGTCCACAATAAATCCGCCATTATGAAAAGTCATATATATACTGGATAAAGCAAGAGCTCAAGATCTGTTAAACATACTTTCATATATTCCAGGCATTTTAGATCCGACTTGCGCATTTATTTTCGCTTTCTTTCCCTTCCTAATCAAGCCTGTAGACTAGAAATACGCCGCATTTCCACTTCTGCACTAATTAAAATCTCCATATTCTTACGCCAAATTTCTCCCCTAGAAATGCGCCGCATTTCCGTCTAGACCTGTAAACCAGAACACGAAACGCGCCGCGTTTCCTCCACGAGGGCCCGTGCCAATCTTGTAGAAGACCGCGCTCTTAGACATCGCAGCAGGCAGCAGCGCTTATTATATGTCAATTAAATCAACTTTAAGCTCAAGATTAATTTAATTAATTTAATTAATATTCTATATTAATTCTACTAGTAGAGACCCCTATGCGAAGTTATCCCCCTATATATACTAAAAGTCAGCTACCTGCCTAGCTATCTAACTTTACTCTGCCCTACCTGTTAAACCGTTTATTAATTAAGCTATCTAACTAGGGCCTTTCTAATATAGCCTAGCTAGTCTCTAAAAGAGGGGTAAAATATTATAAAACTCTTTTATTTTAAGAAAAGTAGCTCTTTTAACTAAAATAGCTTATTAATTAATATCTAATAGTTTAATATATCTCCTTAAAGTAATAATATTTTATTACTTTAATATTATTATTAAATTTTTTTTTTTTAAAAAAAAGTATTTTTATTTAAGATTTTATAACTTTAATTAATTTATATTTTATTAAATTAATTATTTATAAAGTATTATTTTAATTATAAGTTTTTTTTAATTAAATTTTTACTTTAAGGTTTTATATTATATTAATAATTTAATTATATAATAATATAACTTATTATTAAATACATATTTTATAAAATTTAACTTTTTTTTAATTTAAAATTCTTTTTTTCTTTTAAAAACATATTATAATAATTATTTAATATCTAATATTTTATTTTATATAATAACTTTTTTTATTAAGTTTATTTTTAAAATTTAAGCTTTTTTATTAACTTTTAAGTAATATCTTTTAATTTATATTTAGCTTTTTTATTTTTATATTTTTATTTATTATATTTAATTATAACTTCTTTAAGATATTAAAACCTTTATTTAAGTTTTCTTTAAGTAGCTCTTTTTCTTATTACTTTATATAAGTTATTTTATAACTTAAATATATATTATATTTTTATTAATTTAATTATTAATATTATTATAATAAAGCTTATAATTAAAAGGCTTTTTATATTACTTATAAAATATAATAGACTTAAGTTATTATTATTATTATTAATATATATATTATTACTTCCTTTTAAGTTTTACTTTATTAATAAAGATAATATTACTATTAAGAAAGTTTTACCTTATTATATTTACTTAAATACTAGTATTTTTAATAAAAGTAATAATAAATATTAAAAACATTTTAATATATATTATTATAAGTAATATATTACTAAGGGTATTTATAAGAAAATATAAATACTTTAAATTCTTATTTTATAATTTATTTTATTAATTTAGCTTTTATTTTATATTCTTATTACTGCCTTTTTTTATACCTTTTATTTTTTTTTACTTTTATATAGCTTATCTTAATATAATAAAAGATTTTAATAAAATAAGTAATACTTTTTATAGTTTTAAGCCTTTATTAATTATTTTACTTTTTAATAAAATAATTAGAAAAAGAAAAAAAAGTATTATATTATAATAAAGATTCTATTAGAAAGTATAGTATTATAAACCTTTCTTAAAGAGGTAATCCTTTATAATAAGATAGGTTTTAAATAGGTAAACTAATTTATATTAAGTTTTATATTTACAGAGTTATAAGGCATTATATTAAGCAGTTATAAAGTATTATATCTCTTAATAGTAAATAGAGCAGGTTAGGTATATTTAGGTAAAGAAGTTTTATTAATAGCTAGTAAGCTAAGTTCTATCTACTACTAAATAAATATATATATATACTATAGTAACTTATAGTTTTATAAGTTAGGCTTATAGTAAGTTATAAGTTAATATTATAAGCTATATTATAAGGCTTATTAGTATTATAAGGCTTTATTTATAAGTTATTATATAATTAGCAGGATTGTTAGTAGGTTATATATAATATAAGCGCTTCCCCTTATTAGGTTATAATATCCTTATATAGCTAAGTAAAAGTATATTTTTTTATTTTTTAAATTATTATAAAGGTATTTAGCTAAATAAATGTTTTTTTAAAATAATATTTTTTATTTTTATATTTTACTTTATAAATATTATAATTTAAATTTATTATATTTTAAGTATTTTATTATAAAGTATTTTTAAAGAATATATTATAATAAACTATTTAATATTATAAAACTTATAATAATAATATAAACCTTAAATAGCTTTATAAAATTTAAAATAATGTTATAAAATCTAAAATAATATTATAAAACTTAAATAAGTATTATAAAACTTAAAATTAATTTTTAAATTTAAATTTATAATTCTTTAAGGATTTTATTAATTATTTTCTTAATAACTTATTTATTTTAATATTTATTTATATAATACTTAATATTAACTAATTTAAAGTACTTATAGCTATTTTTTTATTTTTTAGCTTATAATGCCTTTATAAGCCTATTTAGTATAAGCTCTATACTTTTTATATAAGTAAGAAAAACTACTTTTTTTTATAAGTATTTATATAGCTAATAGGTATATATATTTATATATTTTAATTTAATCTTTAGCTTTTGAAGAGGATTTTTAAGTAAATTAAATATTTATTAATTATTATATAGGAATTATAAATTTATATTTAATAACTTAATTTATAAGCCTTTAAATGGCCTTTATTAAAATACGCCCTCTTTTAATATTTATAAAGATATAAGTAACTTACCTTTATTATTAAGGTTATTATAATATCTTACTTATTTATATATTATTTAATTAGGCTTTTAAATAGCTATATTATATAACTTTAAAAGCTCTTTTAATTAATAGAATTTTTTATAAATAATATATTATTATAAACTTTAAAACCTTTTTTAATATTAAATTATAACTTATAAAGTTAAATTATATATAAGTAATTAAAAACTTAATTTATAATAAAAATATACTTTTTATTTAAATTAATTATAAATCTTATTAATATAAAGATTATAAATATAATATCTAGTCTTATAAGTATAATAATAATTAGGGTTTTTAAATAAATAAACTAGTTTATATTAGGTTTATATTAATAAATTAAATAAGGCATAATACTAAGTAATATAAAGTATTATATCTCTTAATAATTAATAATATAAGTTAGGCTTATTATAATAAAGAAGTCTTATTAATAGCTAGTAAGCTAAGTTTTATAAAAGTATTAATAAGTATAATCTTATATATTAAATATATCTTTTAATAATTAATAAGGTTATTAAGGGATTAATAGTAATTTAAGTAAATTAGTATTTATTATAATAAATTAGCTTTAATTATAAAGTCTTAATACTAATTATTTTTAATAAGGGATATAGTAATTAGTAAAAAATATAAGGTATATATAATAAAACTGCTAGGGTTATAATAATTAGCATCTAGCAGTTTAACACTACTTAACCTAGTTCTTAAGGTATTAAATATATTTTAATATATTTAAGCTTATTAAAAGCCTATAAGATATAAATCTTAGTTTTATTATACTAAATTACCTCTTAAAAATTACTTAGTATTATTAAAATAATAAAACTATTTAAAATAAAGCTACTTAATAAATAACGCTTTATAATCCTTTTATTATTAAATAGTATTTTATATATCTTATATATAATAGTTATAGTTTTTAAACAGGTAAACTGGATTATATTAGGTTTATATTTATAAATAATATAAGATATAATATTAAGTAATATAAAGTAGTATATCTCTTAATAATTAAGTAATATATATAAGGCTTATTAATATACAGATACTTCATTAATAGCTAATAAGCTAGAATTTATAAAAGTATTAATAAATATAGCCTATATATTAAAAGGAATTTTCAAACATAATAAGAAATAAAGATAATTTAAAAGTAGAACTTATAGAGATTTAAGGAATAAGGTAGCTAAGATAACAGATTCTTCCATATTCTAACAATTAGTCATATGTGGAAATAGCTGATGGACATTGGCGACGTAGTTAAGATGCGTGAGTTTGACGCCTTTTAGGAGACCGGTTGTTCCTGAGGACAAATGGATACTGGCTATCCGGTCTTCTGTATTGGCGTAGTGCGGCGCAGGTAAAATCTTGTCTTGGAATATATCATGGTAGAGATCGTTGTAGGAAGGATATGAGTCTGTGGTCAATGCGACTATGATCAGGGGCTTTTAAAGCTTGGGATTCTATTATCTTGCTAACTCAATGAATGCTAAATATACAGCTATTAAACATTGTGTCACTCGAGCCGTATTGGCAAAAGCCTTCTGGATGCCTTCCAATTCATCCGAGGTCAGGGGAATAATGGTACCATGACGAGGAGACTCAGGGTAATTGTAACCTTTGCGCAGTGTCCGTTGCCCACTAGCCAGATCAGTTGATTCTAGTGGAACATAGCCATTGCCACCGAATTCGTGAGCCAGAAGGATATATCTAGGACCGTTGACGTCCTGGCAGTTGGTCTTGAAAATCGAAGGGCCCTCCACCTCTTGCGTTCCCGCGTTCTTCCCAATGCAACTGGCTATCATGTGCCAGTTATTTAACCCCGCAGTTAACGAAGCACTGCTTTCCTGCACGATATCCGCACAACCATTGACAGTAGCCTTTGCGAACCGATAATAGATTCCATCCTCCTTGATACCGGTGGAGTCAATCCGGCAATTAGGTGGGTCATCTTGCCAGACTTTTGGCTCGCTGAAGGTTATAAAGTCATCCGTGGTAGCATAATCCATACGTTGGTACTCAGTAGTATCATGATCGGGGTTTGTGCTAAGGAGGCTATTGCAATCGGCGCGACTCGCTGAGTTAAGCTAGAGAGCGGGTTGTTACCCTCAAATACATTTGTGAAAACCGAGAATAGCGCCCTCGGATTGGAAAAGCTCGTGAACCTTGCCCCAGCCGCCTTGAAGCTGGACAACTCCCAGATTTGTCCTCCTTATTGCTTCAACATCTGCTGGTATAAGTGCTTCTGGCTTTGAGATAGTTTCATCTAGTCGCATTCTTTTATCGGAAAACGAACTGGGTGACAATGGGCTGCTAGGCTGATAAGCTAAATGTGTGCGGTTCAGTAGGCCAGACGCAGCTAGAATATGCGCAGGGGGCACTGTCCTTCTCCCTTGCTTGCAGACAAATTGCGTTACAGCAGAGGCTAGCACGGCCCCTTTTGTGGTATCATATCGAGAGACCTGTGGGAATTTTTCACTTTCGTTTTTCCGGTTATCAGCTCCTGACTCCAACATGTCTGGGGGCAACGCAGAAGTGCGACTTGACACAAAGTGAGTCACCATATAAATCCATTTATCATCCCAGCACGCAATCCTCGTCCAAGTCTCATATGCTCGATAAGGCTTGATTTCCCTGCGGAATGAACAAGCCACAGCGCCGACAATTAGGTTGCATCGCTGGCCATTGAGGCCCTTTAGGAACAGTGGCCCGAAGAGAATACCGGAAAGATACGCTCGGGATACGTCGAGATCGGTGAAGTAGGTAGAATTCGATTTATGGAGGTTAAAGTCACACTCCATTAGTGGTGATCGAGTTGCAGATACTGCTGGAAGGAAAATATGACTGGGTTGAAATAAAGGCTTTGCCTTGCGATGTACAAGCATCCCAGCTGCGAGAGCGCGAAAAAAGCGGAACTACCAAGTTTCAGGTCAATTGGTTGAGATCAGTAAAGTCAAATTCCACACTTACATGCCAAATCAAGGGCATATTCTTCAGGCCGAAGATGAAAAGTAAACCTATTACCCATATCCATGCCTCCATGTTTTCGGTTTGGTGTTAACGCAGGTTTGAAGTTGGTCGAGGGTTATCTTCGTGCATGAGACTTCACGAAAAAACAATTAGAGTAGGTGCCAAGAGGTTTAAGACGTCGGCGATACAGTAAATAAAAAAGATATTTTTCTAATTTATAGCGATGTTCGAGAAATTCTCAACCCGCCCCGCTGTAGACGCCTCGACCTCGGCAGAGGATAACAGCGGTTCTTAGTCGTATCACGCTCGAGAATCGCCGAGGCCAACGCCTGCGATACCCCACATCCAAGGCCTTTCGTACACAGGCACCCGAGGAGAAAGGTGAACAAGACGGAGCGTCGCCTTGACTCTATTTTCTATAACACGTTAACTATAGGTAGACAAGGGATCGTCGCATAAGGTAGACATTGAAAGAGCTGAGCCTCGGTGATGCTTACCTCTGTGGACAAATTGAAAGATGGAGGAACTTAACAATTGCAGGCAATGCAAATGTAAACACACCAAAACCAGGCGGCACTTTGGAAGAGAACGGCAAAGATAAAACTATGTAGATGACTCATGCCGAAGCGGTTGATTCGTCAGAGTCGGGCAGTGGGAATCACATGACAATTGCCATTACTATTATATGTCCAGATATTCCTGCAATATGCATGGTTGAAGCAAGTAGTCATGCAAGCTAGTCAGTGATAGTAAAGCATGCCAATCGAGAACGAACCCATAGGTCAAGTCATTACATGACAGTCTCTTGGACGATTCAGACTCATTCCTGGCTTATCTTGGAGCGGGACCTGTTCATACACGACCATAAGAATGCCGTTGGACTTTGATTAGGACGTTTTTCGACCTATTTGTTATTGCAAGCCCTCCAAAGAATACGAATGATTGAGATTAGTTTGTCGCCATAACCACGAATGAACAACAGAGTGATGGTAGGAAGCCAAAATTCGAGACGATAGTCAGCAAACAATGCAGACTAGCCATAGAAAAGTAAAGTCGTCAAATTCTGGGGCCAATCTTTAAGGGAAGAAGCAAAAGTTGGTCCAAGATTCAAGCGCGCATCCAAAGGCAAGGAATATGCCACCCGAACGATGTACTTAACTACCATGCATAGAAATAACAGCATCAGGCAAAGCTTAATAGTATCTGAAATTTAAGAGAATATGACAACCAAAGCAACTCTAACCTGCTGTCCCTTGCAGTCCTTCCGACCTTACAACATGCTCTTGGAAACTTCTTCATCCCCTGCCTCACTGCTAGATCGGACAAGATCTCCTCAGCAGCACCCAATATTGCGTCAGACTTATAGGTTCGCTGAAAGTTCTCAACACACCTTCCCATACCAGTTGTATCAAAGCGCGGCCGCCAAAAATATTCACTGCTTCATCGGGAACTTCGTGAGCTACTCTGGTGGTGAAAGACTTGAGTAATGCTAAGTGGCCACCAAGATGGGTTGCTTGTTCCATGTAAGACACTCGGTGATCTACTCTAACCATGCCTGCGCTGCCTCAACGCTCGCAATCATCTTGGCGAGCTTGGACCCAATGACGGGCTGGTCAACCAACCTGCGCTTGAAAACTATCCGCTGGTCACACCATTTGAGACACTCCTCGACAATACCTCGGGTGCCTCGGATGGCCATTGTGTTAAACCAGAAGTGTATTTGCTAACCTTATGACTGACTCATAAAGTCAATACCGATCCTAGCAAGTTCGTATGACACGACCAGCTCGTGGAAAAAGTCAAAGTCCTTACCCTCAATAACACTACCGAGGAGGGTACGTCCATGGAGATGTTCCCCTAGGCCTAGACGCATGGCATGGATGTTTTATTTTGCCATCCTTTCAACAAGTTCTTGACCGATATATGTGACATTCCTCTCTTTTTCTTCAGCTTCAGGTATTACGTATATGTCGACGAATTTTCTCATGGCTTGTTGTAGGCGGTGATGGCTTTCCGTGTAGTCGGGGCTGCTGACCTCCGGACGAAGCCACAGAGATTCGGCATACGGAACGGGACTAAGGTCTCCAGGTTTAGGTTCAAAACTTCTGGTGTTTCATTTTCAGGAGTGCTTATGCAAAGGTCTGCATATTTTTGGAGAACTTTATGGCGATGAAGATTGTAGAAAGCAGCTGTCGCGTCTTGGCCAGCTACCTGCTCGAGGACCACGTTACCACCAGGGTGAGCCTCGGCAAAATCAGTGAGATCATAGACCTAAATACTGCATACCGTCAGTAGTTGCTTCTTTGTAAACATGAATTGCATAAATACATTGTGATCTACGATGCAGCAAAGATCGTCTGGCTTGTTTACCGAGTTGTAAATGAACTGCTACTTCCGAGCATCGAACTCTGGGCCTGGATACATGTGACGTACCCTCAGGCTTGGCCTATCGGTGATTTACAATAGTAGATTACCTTGTTGTCTTGTTTGTGAGGCATAATTGATCGCCTGAACGCTCACGAAATGCCTAGGTGGTCGATGAGCCCCCTCATACTTCACCCTCGATAATCATGAGTTAGTGGAGCTTACCTGACCAACTTTTCAAAAGTTTTAGAGAAACTCTCAGATAGAGCGTAGTCTCGATGGTCATTCCCTAAATACAATAATGCTTAATCATAAGGAAACCCTAACTGAGTCATATACTCATATTCAGGGATACAACTATTGTCTTGACTACCATTCCTAGTAATGACGCACTGTGATATAAGAACTTAATAGCAAAATTCTTAAGAATAACTTATACATCAGGTCCTTGACATATCCTCCGTCTATAAATTGGATTTTGTCTTTGTGCTATCGACGCGAAACACCTCCTCGTCCTCTTCCGGCACTGTTAATACTGGAAGTGTAGCTGGGAGCATCCGTCGCGGATTTGCGCCAGGCACCACGCTGTATTTGGAGAAATCAGTTACTCCTCTCTTACGGAGAAAATCTTCGTCAAGCTCAAGACATCCGCTGATCTGTTCTGGGGGCGTCCTTAGCATCTCTAGGATGGCATCCGAGAAGATTGTCTGGCAGTTTGTTAGCTCCTTGCGGTGGCTTAATTGAGCAGCAGTGTGGACGAACCGGCGTTCTCAAGTCAGACAGCAGCTTTGGGTCAGGCGTTGCTGCTGATTGAATACCCTGTTGACGTCAGTACCAGTGACAAACTATCATGAATGTGAACACAACGTACCACAGCAGGCCAGATGCTGGTGATGGCCATGTCTTTCTTACCTTCTCTTCTCCAGTCCATGGCCAATCCTTTTGTAAGTACAGACATTGCGACCTTTCCCATTGCATACGCTGTCTTTCCTCTGAAGAAGCGAGAGTAGATGGGGGGGCTGACTACTATGATCCGGCCCTTCCAGCCGTTACGCTCGAAATACGGAAACGCAGCCTGGACAGTAGCGTATAAGCCTTCCATGTTCACACTGGAAAGGAGCTGGAAGCGCTGTAGGGGCGTTTTTTCAACCGAGGACCACCAAATGGCGCCTGAGTTATAAATCAACACATCCAGTGATCCGTACATCTTCACCGTAGACTCAATCATATTCTTGATGCTTTCAGGACTTCTCGTATCAACCTGGATCGCCGTTGCTTCTCCGTCAGCTTCACGGATTTCGCGAGCTACAGTGGTAATAGTTGACTGTTTAGAATTTGGGTCGGGGGGGAAAGGAGACATCTTTGTCGCATCGCTAACGGATTTAGCTGCCACAACGACTGCGAACAAGTTAGTTCCAGAGCCACTAGGCTAGATAAGCTGCGTGTTGTACCTTTGAACCCATTTTTAGCCAGGTCAATAGCGACTTGACGGCCAATGCCGCGAGATGCGCCAACGACCAGGGCGACAGGTTGCGATGGTTGAGACATTTCAGAACGTCTGTAGTGGTCCTTGGTTCGCAAGATGTTTATCCAGTTGGTTGTACGAGGCGGTATCTTGAAGAAGAACTTCTATTCCTTTCTTTTTAGATCAGGCTTGTTGCGATGATGAGCATTCCATGGCCGTAAGATGCCGAGGTCCTCGAGTTGCGGGGTAAGCTATAGTGTCTGCGCGTGCGTTTCGAAGTACTCTCGAGATTGTAACACCTCGGAACTGTTCCCCGGGCGTGCGACACCAATTTACAATGGAGCCAATGTTCCTCGGATATTGGTGTCGTGGCGGGCCCACTCATCATTCTGCCACCGAGGAAATTCTACACCCAGTTTAGAGTGAAGAGAATAATTGGTTATGCTTTGTCAACCCCTCTTGACAAGGCGAGAGTTGAGTAGTCTACTCTTAGTTACTATTATCCGATGGCTCTCTGTTCGGAGTTGTTGCTTTGTTTGCCAAAGCATTGTCCAAAAGTAACCAGGTCCGAGACAAACGATAAAATAGTGTCCACGAATCAACTACACATCTGGCACGACCGGGAATCCAAATGGAGTGGTGCTGACACATTGGAATGCTGTTGCGTCGATTAGTTGTGCGATGCTCGTGACAAAGCACGGAGCCAACGATGTCATCTGTTCGTTTCTCCCTCTTGCACACATCTATCAGTATGTCACAGAGCACGCAGCTCTCTGGTCTGGAAATGCGACTGGTTACTCTCATGGAGACATTTCAGCACTTATTGAGGACATCAAATTGTTGCCACCAACAGCTTTCACAGCTGTTCCGAGGCTTTACAATCGTTTTGGTACCGCGATCAAAGCGGCAACTGTGGATAAACTAGGGGTGACTGGAGTCTTTGCTGTGTCGTGTGGTTTCTATAAAAGTTCGAAAAATCTCACAGAACTCCTCAACCGCTACCAATAAGCATTCTCTATAAGATCGTCTCTGGTCCAGGAAAATATCATCGCAATTCGGGTTCGACCGCTACACCTACGTGGGTTCATGTATTCTTCCATATCGATATGCAATCAGATCTAACTCTGCATAGATTAAAACTGAAGCGTACGCAGATTGCTCGTAATTACAGGGTATTATTGATGAGTTATATGAGCGGATAAATGAGCAAGAGAGTCGTGAGGAGAAGGGCAAGTAGCGACTTCGGACTCTAAACTTTTATCGGAAATCGACGTGTACATAAACGCTACGTTGGTTCGGAGCCTAATGTGCTCATGGGTCCTAGCCACCAAAGCAATCATATGCATAGAACAGCCTAGTATGCAATTGACAATTCTGCTCATCGCGCTCAACAGCCCTTTGCAGCATTTTGAGGCTTCTGGAAGAGAGCCGCGAACAACAGCCCACATCGGTTGCGGAAGGGTGGTTCAAACATCAATAAACATGAAATTGGTCGAGGTGATGGATGGTGACGTTCAAGATGGAGTAGGTTGATTTGATTTCACATATAAATTCACGACCTGCAAGCGGTGTAGAATCGCAACGAAAGTTGAACCGTTTGAATGGCAATCAAAATTGTGCTAACAGAAAGACGTTGCCACATACTAGTCTCTTATTGAGATGCCATATAAGGCCTCTTAGAACCAAATAACATCGTCGAATTAGTCAGGGAACGACTTTCGGCAGGCCGGCAACTAAATTCGTTAGACAGGAGGTACGAAATTGGCCTGTATGGGCCCGCCCCCACCCCGGGGCCCAGCTGAAGGTGCAGTCAGTGAGGTCTTCAAGACCCCTTCTCTGCGCCTTTGCATCCACGCAAATACCGTATCCTCGAGATACACTCTGCGAACCACTCTGAGTTGTCTGACTTTGAGAAATACCTCGGTGGTATTTATTACCATACTTCGTTCTGAGATCCCTCGGATGCGAGATTTAAGAGCCGCGGTCGAAATGCATCAGTAACCGGCGGAGCTTCAGTCCAACGTTGGCCTGCCGAGGTATCGATGCCCCTAGTCTAACGCGATACCACTTTTCTGCATCAGAATCGCCAACAGAAGTTATTAACGACATCTTCGCTGAATTATCATCTCACTTAAGCCGGACTTGTAGACTTAAAAAGAACTGATCTTGACAATCCCTCCGGCTGGCGATCAGAAACAGTGCAGAGTCGATTCTAGCAGCTTCAACGTCCTCATAACGACAGCAATCATGCCTTCGCACGACAAGAAGATCGAGGCGTATATTGATTGCGGTAAGTTGTCCACCTCGATCTTGATCGTCACTTCGAGGGCTTACGCCAGTCCAGTTTCACCTTATAGCTTTTACTCGTTTTCCTATCTCCGCAAGAATAGACGCGCACTTGAAACCCAGGGCGTAGAAGTCGAGTGAGTGCAGAGGATAAAGACAGAATCATCAATCAGTTCTTATGTGCTAATTATCTAGATTTATTCCCGTGTTTCTTGGGGGGATTAACGTCGGCAGCGGTAATGTGCCTGTAATCTTGCATGAAGATCCGCTGTTGATAACAGATTGAACAGGAAATAAGCCGCCATGGACTCTTCCGGCCAAGGCGAGCTATTCTATGTATGACGGTAGGCGAGCTCAAAAGTATTTTGGACACAAATTCGAGACTCCTGATTTTTTCCCGATTCTCTCATTGCTGGTATGCTACCAAACTTTCTTCCCGCAGGAATGTATTCACGCTCTGACATGCTACTTCAAACAAAACTTAGCCTCAACGCTGTCTTACATATGTCAAGATGAAGCGCCCCGAGAAACTCGAAGATTTGTTCCAGTCATGCTTTGAGTCATTGTGGCTTGAGCACCTCGACCTGGCAAAGCAGGAACACATGCGCACTGGGCTCCTTAAAATATTCAACAAACAAGAGGCGGAGGAGATCCTGAACGCTGCACAAACATCCGAGATCAAGCAAGCCCTGAATGACGTGACAAAGCATGCCGTTGAAGATCTTGGTGCGTTTGGATGCCCGTGGTTCTGGGTGCACGATGGCAAGGGAAATGCGGAACCGTTCTTTGGAAGTGATAGGTTTCACTACATGTGGGACTACTTGGACATTCCACACCGAGACTTGGAGCTTCGGGGCCTGGTCTCTGGAAAGCTGTAAATGATTTCTCTTATCATATATTCCGACAAGAACGGCTTGGATCCGCTTCGTCCTTAGTGTATTCGTTAGTATTGAACCCTGCAACACGCAGCGATATGTGGTGGTGCAGACCGTCGCAAAACGCTTGATCAAAGAGGTCTATTCATTCATCTCGGATTGCGTCAACACATATCACCTGGGAAGACTGCGGAAATCATCTAGATCCACATGCATCAGTTGCGCCTATCAAGCTGCCGTTCCCATTTGCGTGCTACTGGTGGTTATTCCAGATGCAAGCTATCCTATCTTCCATTTTCAAACTTCCTAGGGGGTGTAGGGTTGCTTGAGCTCCTCGGTAGCCGGGAAGTGTGGATCACTTGGAAACACAGACGACTTGCAGGCTACTACCTCGGTAAAAGCTGCTGGAGCCCGACTATGCTGGGCCAATGCATGTGACAATTCTACCCCTGGACCCACTCTCCATATATAAAAATCGCCGAGGCGGAAGGTGGACGTGTACGACACGACCCGGCCCGATACCACCTGAATACCTGCAAGTCGTCCATTTTCGCCTAATGTTTTCACGATGTTGAGGCAAAATTCTCCTACAGCAAACCGACAAGCATCGCGCAGACGTCTTGGAGGCGCTTGTAAGGCCTGCCATAACCGGAAAGTGAGGTGTAGCCTGGCCAGGTCTGGCCCACCCTGCACAAACTGCTCCTTGGATGACAAAGAATGCGAGCCTCGAGTTCGCAAATCACAAAAGTCAGTCGGACCCTCTGCTCAACAAGCGCACTCCAGGACATCCGCCTCGGCTACCCTTTCGCGACAAGCGTTGCCGGAGTCATTCAGTCTCTTTGGCAATTATGACCAAACAGATGATTCCATAACCGTTGTTCCATCACTAGAACTAGAGCTAGACGCACGTCCGGCGACCAGTGACTCCTATCGTACTGGCCTAGGGATCAACAGTATCGGGAAGCCAGGCGACTTATTGAGAGGCCCAGATGGCACCTCTGCCATTGCTTCCGAGGCCGTAGTAGCCTGCAGTGAGAGGTCAAATGCGTCATGCTCCAGCAATTATCGCCCATTCCCGTCGCATTTCAGCCACTTTGAGGAAGACGACGCGCTGAACACAGACTCACTCCCAGCTGATACGCCCATGTATGGTATGAGAACCCGCTCCTATTTCTCCTCCATTGTTGCCTCACTCAGGGAACTCGCGCCATGCACCGCAGAATTGGGGTTGACATCCATAACTCTACCATAGGTGATCCCGCTGGCGTTTGCGCAATCGCAAACATTTGTGAGCCGGAAGGAGCAGATAAGAGCGGCCACTTTCTTCTCCCAAATGGTATAGTTGCCTCACTCGATCCGGAAGATCAAGAATACTTGCGACGCAAGGGGGCATTCGTATTCCCTGAAGCTCGGGTTCGTGATAGCTTGGTTCGAGCATACTTCCATTATGTCCATCCGTTTTTTCCCATTATCGACGTTCAAGACTTTCTTCCCAAACATGAAAGCGCCACACTCGATAGGGTTAGCGCTCATCTGTTATGGTCCATGTACCTCGCAGCATGCAACGTAAGTTCAAAATGTTCATAGTCCAGTTCGACATTGGCCATACTTATCCGTGCTAGTTCTTGGAGGAGGACGTAGTTCGGGCAGCCGGATATGCAACTAGAAAGGAAATGAAGCGCTCGATATATCGAAAGGCAAAAGTATGCCCAATTTCATCATCATGTATCTCAAATCAAGGCTAACACTGTAGCGTAGGCTCTATACGACATGCAACACGAAAAAGACAGAACCACATTGATACAGGCTGTGCTGCTGATGGGCTTTTACTCATCCGACACTGAAGATAAGACAGGTCCGTGGCATTGGATCGGAGTCGCTATCGGTCTAAGTCAGACAGCCGGACTACATCGAAACCCTCACTCCACGGCAAGTCGTATACCGCAGCACCGTCAGAGACTCTGGCGTCTTATCTGGTGGTCATGCGTCCATCAAGATGTATGGTTCTCCGTTGGTATGGGCAGGCCAGTACGTATCAACTTGGACGATTGCGACACTCAACTACCAGTCGCTGCTGATTTGGATGCGCTAGCAGTAGGTGTTCCGGACACACTTCGCGAAAAGTACCTTCCAGCTGGCATGCCCGACTTGTCCAAGCTCTTTGTTGAGTTGATAAACCTCGCAATCATCCAATCAAATATACTATCAACGCATTACCGAGCTCGCCAGATTAGGCCGAGTATAGCCGATGTGGTGGAGGTTGAGAAGCGAATATCAACAGTAAATAGAAAAGCGAGCTGGTTCATAAGCTCCGAGAATCTTATGGTTTACTATCACGCCTGCCATCTGACACTGTTTTTACAGTACTTTTTTCCTCCCATTGGGGTCTGTCTCCGCTGATCTTTAGTCTAGATCGGTTCTAATTGTCTTGTACCGGCCGTATCTTCTGAGCTTGTCCCAGAAACATTCATCCAGCCTGTCTCAGGAATGGTACTCATCAATAGAGCGGAAAGCCCAGGTGGCTGCTGCAGGATTTAACAAGATCCTTGAGGCCCTAATAACTGCAGACATGATTTTGGCATGTCAGAGTATTGTGTCAGTACAAACCTCGACATTCATGTTTCGGCTTTGAATTTACGAAACTGCTGAATGCTGATTGAACCGAATTGTAGTTGCATTGCGCTCGTGCCACCTATGCAGTTTCATCTCCTGAATTCGACATCGAGCAAACCACTCATAGCGACGCTGGGACAACACAGCCTCGACTTGTGTATGCTTGTCGCTAATGAACTACGCAAGACGTACTTTGGAGCATCACTTTTACATCAGCTATTCTCCCAGGCACAGACTCAAATAAGAAATCGGCAGGCCCTGCAAGAGGCACCAAAGGGCACTCGTTTAGCCATGACGAACCTCGAGACGCAGACGACGTGCTTATCGCATGGCCCGATACAAAGCCAGGATTTCACAGATACAGCCATCATAAGGAACCTCGGCTCTGCTTTTACAGGGTTCGAAGGTGACCTTGATGCAGATGAGTACGTATAAGTTTGGCTTGCCTCTATGTATTACTCAAAAACTAAGGGAAGCGTAGCTTTGCCATGTTCTGCTCAAGTTTTGACTTTCAATTCCCTACGGATTCGTCGGATGATGCTCCTTCGAGCCAGCGCATTAGATGGTATCCAGAATTACCTACAGAAGACTGATTCCACATAGAAGAGCCGAAGCTGCACTAGAAAGTTCCATGTGCCTTGGCGCAATGCTCTATGCTAGTTGTTTACTCATATAGAATCAAGCGTCATTTGTACCGGCAGTGACAGCCAAGACATACGTTTCTTTGAAATCTATGACTCGCTGAACATCAATGCACACTCCGCTTAACCAATCGTAACTTTGGCTATTCGCAAACCAGCTTTTGAAGCAATTCGGCCCTGCTGATGACAAACGCACACATACGACCCCAGACGGAGTAGGGGGTTAAGACAGTGACTATAGATAACCGAACGGAAGGACCATTTCCATTTTCTGGATAAAGGTAGCGTAAACGGCTCTTTCTCTACATATTTACGACAGTACTAGAACATTGGTAGCATTGGGGCGTCAATAGTTCAGTAATTGAAGCCCTGGCTTCGCTGCGCAGTCAGCCTTGGCCTTCGCAACATGACTACCGCCATCGTTACTACGCCCTACCTTAAATGTAAAGAATTGAAGAGAGAGGTATGGCGTCGAGATAAGCGTGAAAATCGGGGTTGTTGGGGAGTGAGGTGCACTTACGTCTTGAGTTCCTTAAACTTGTGATGACTTGAGTGGCCATCTATCCATATCTCCACGAAATAATCTTGTTCATGTCCTTGAAAGTTGAAGCGCTACCCTGAGAATGCCTCTATAAAACATCTCCGAGCTTTAGGTCACCTATTTAGCCCGGGATCAAACTTTGTTGCTTCCACTGTAAGGGTCAAAATTTCCAGAACAAGTCGAAGTTTTCATTTCACATGGCGGCCTCCTCCGGTGGCATGTAAGCACGCAAGGGATTCTTGCGAGTTTATTCCTGGTATATTCCCCCTTAAGCATTTGGATCAAGACCAACAATAATGTGAGCGTAAACTTAAAAGTCCACGAGTTGAATTGCTTATTACTTAAACTAGAGATTATCTTACAATAGGAAACAACAATGCAAGAAGTTGAAATTTTGAATAAATGATGTCTCAAGACATCTGATTGTCACAGTCATTCGTTTTCGAAGGAAAGAATAGGCTCTTTGTTCTCTGCATGCTGCTTACAATCTGGATTCAATTTGGTCGCTCTTAAGAATACCTTCAAGCTTGGTCACCTTTAGTACATCGCCCTTGATCTTGAGTTTTCCAGCCATAAACAAACTTTGTGCGTTGACTTTATTGGAAAGTATATCGCCAAACTCTTTCTCAGAAAGCAAGAGAGCCACTGAGATTTGTCACTATGAAGAACGGCTTCAGAATTACATTTACTCACCAGTAGGGTTGTTGCAAGGACCTTTCCCAACATTGCCCGTTTCCTTGAGATCAGTGTGCCAACTATCGGTCTCGCCGGCAGTGTTGGTCAAAACGAAGGCGAAGACGGCGTTGCATTGTTTCATTGCATTATTACGCTCAATCTCCGTTGAACTCAGCGCTTGCTGGATTATGTCAAACGCGACCGAAGAAGGAAAGTGGGCTAATATCTTGATCTTAGTCGCGTTCAACGAAGGTGGGAAGAGCAGTCATGTTTAGTAAGGTAGTAGCAGAGGGACTAACGGTTCTTTAGGGACATCCTAGGGTGCGTCTAGGGCCAGGTGTATGTGGAATGATTAAAGAGTGCAAGACGCAGAGACGTTCAATTCATTAATGCTTGCTATAATTCTGAAACCATGCACTATTTATTTGCGTCGAGCCGCGTCATTCATGGTTCGGTGCAAGTCGGTGTTTGTGTATTTATGTTCGCACGTGTCAAAGTATTATCTCGGCGTAAGGCCGGACCAAGATGGCAGTTGCCACAGTATTCAATGTTTCTTGACTTGATAATGGTCAGATCCTGAAATACAACCCTGTTTCGCAATGTCGTGCATAGAGATGAACGCCGAGGAATTTCTCGGCGATCGTTTAAGCTCATTTCACCTCGGCTACAAGGGTGAAGCCCTTCAGATGCAGAAACAGCGTCTCTAAAACGCGGCACGGCTACCTCGAAGATATCCAGGCGTTCTTCCGCTTTCTAGTTAATAAGGGTCATGCTGAACTTGGATAAGGAGGTAGGCTCAAAGGTTTATTATCATCTGTCTACACTTAAAACAAGAGTTAGTTAGGCTTTTAATTGTACTAATCCCGGGCAAAAGTCCCGACATATCCGAGGTCCGACCACGCTTTCAACAAAAGATCAATATTAATACCATGACTTTAATGCGTTATTTCTATAGATAAAGATGCCTAGAATTAGGCAAAAAATATATTATTCTCCTTATAAAAGAATAAGGTTTATAATATTATATAAGTTAGGTATTTATATATAAGATATTACAGATAAAGAGGGGTTAAGCTAGTATATAATTTATAGAGTTACTTAATAGTATTAATACTAGTATGCTATTAAAGACCTTCCTTGCTCTAAGAGGCCTATAAAGTTATTAAATAAAAATAAAATATATATTAAAATACATATTATAAATATTACTTTTATTTTCTATTAAGAAATTATTTATTAAATATATTTAACTTACTTAAAATTAATAATTTATTACTAGCTTTATAATTAAGGGATATAATATAAGCTTATATTTTAATACCTATTTCCTAGTAGAGAAAGTACTTAATTAAGAAAAACTTTTTATAATAAATATTATTATAAAAATAAGTCTTTTTAATATAATTAATAGTTTTTTAACAGGGTCTTAATTAACTATATAGATAGTAATTATATATAATAGTTATTTTACTTTATTATAAGTTTAAGGACTTTTATTTTAAAAGCTTATTTTAATAATATTATAAGGCAAGAGACTTTATATAAATAAGGTCTAATTATATAAATAACCTATAAGATACTTATAGATATTTTTTAATATAATTAATTATAATAAATTATATTAAATTATTTCTCTTAATAGTAACCTTAAGTTTAAGAGAGGGGGTATAATAAGCTAATATATTTTAGCCTATTTATACTTTTAGCTTTTTAAATTAATTAAGAAAAAGGAGCCTTTTTAATATAATAATACTTATACCATTAAGTCTAAGAAAGTTTAAAAATAGCTATAACTTTAGGTAAGAAGATAAGGAGCATTTCTTATAAATTAGCCTTTTTATAGCCTTAACCTTAAATTTATTAAGAATATCTAAAAAGTCATAAAAAAGAAGATATATAATATATAACCTAAAGTTACTACTTATTTAATATTAGCTATAACTTTAGCCTAGCTAATTAAAGCTATAAAAGAGTTATAATTAGAGGTTAAAAATATAATAATTAAAAATATAATAAAATTCATACCTAATTAACTAAATATATATTATAATATAAATAGCTATTATATTAAGTACTAATTTATTACTAGTAATAGCAAGTCTTATAATCTAGCTCCCTAAATATTCTTTTAAAGTTATAAAATAGTTAATATCTATCTATTAATTTAACATAATTATACTATAAGTTAAGGAACGTATATAGATTAGTTAAGGTTATAGTATAATAGAATTAAAAAATATATAAAAGATAAGAATTTGCTTACTACCTCTTATTATAACCTTCTCTTATTATCCCTTTTCTTTCTCTATTTAAGAGGTTATAATATATAATAGCCAGATTAAATAAGTAATTTAATTCTTTCTAAAGCTACTTTTTATATTTATATAAACCTAATTACTTACTTCTATATAATATTACTAATCTTTAAGTCTATAAATAGAGTTACTAGAAAGGTATCTAAAGCTATATATAAAATACCGAGTTTAATAAGAAGAACAGCATCTAAGTCTACGCTTAAAGGTCTAGCCTAGGAGACCAGTAATATTTTGGCTATAGGAGCTCTATCTCTAGCTTTTCTAATTACTACTAATAGTTAGAAAGCTTTAGGATTATAATAGAGGGCGAGACCTAATTGTCCCTATCTAAAGGCTTGCTACAGTCCTTAAAAAGCTTAATTAAGGGCATAAAATGCTTTCTCTAAGTAGTAGGCCAAACTGAAGCCAATATAGGGTTATATCCTTAACTAGTAATTTATTTATTACAGGAGTGCTATTTATAAATACCGAGGGTTATTACAACTTCAGCTTTCCTAATATTAATATAATAAAAACTATTTTAAGGGCGTTTTTAAGTATAAGTAAGGTAAATAGAGACTTAAGAAAGAAATAGCTTTAATAGATAGAGCTGGAATTAATAATAGCTTATAAAGTATAAGATTTATAGATTTTAAGCCCTAGCTAGAGCAGACCGGCTAGGAATAGACCTAGGGAGTGAATTAAGAACTCCTTAAAAATCTAACTATTATACTATCTCCTATAACTTTATAATAAGGTATAGTATTAATAGTAAATAGGAGAATCTTTAGTTAACTCTAGCCTAAAAAATAAATACTAAGCTTTATTTATAATAAGAGAAAATTTACTGCTCTTAATACTGCTATAAATACTATAAGAGATAATTATAAATAAATTACATAGCTAATAAGTAAGAGCCTGCTATACTAACTATATAGTATATAGCTTTCTATTTACTATATTAAGCCTTTTATTTTTATAAGAAAATCTATAAGTAAAAAGAAGTATATTTACCTACTTAAATAGTTTATTATTATAATCTTTTAGGCCTATAATTTACTTATAGGTTTTTAATAATATTAAGCTAGTATATAATTTAAAAAAGTATATACTTATTTAATATTAGTAGTATAAGATAATAAGACCTAGAAGTAGTTTAATATTTTAGCTAAAAGGTTTTAGAAATTAATTAATTTATCTGCTATAATTAATAAAAAAGATAATTTAAATAAAGAAAGTAATAATAAAGAGGAATACTATAATAATAATACCTTAAGTAGGTATAAAGATAGTACTATAAAAAAATCTAAAAACTTTAAAGATAATTATAAGCATAATATAAAAAGAGAATATAAAAATAATAAAACACTTAAGTAAAATAAAATTAAGAAGTATAAAAGAGAAAATTATATAATAAGAGAATTAGGTAAGAAAATACTATTTTTAAATAAAGAAGTATTAAAACTATTCTTTAAATTAACTATAAAGCTTAATACTAAAGAAGTTATAAATAGTTATTTAGCTTTAACTATACTAATATATTTTAGTAGGATCTTTAAATTCTTAGCTAACCTTAACAGCCTCCTCCTGGCTAGGTTATATATACCTAACCTTATAGCACTTATATATATCTAATGCCTCTTATTTATAAAGTATGCCCTACTAGTATAAGGTTATAATTCTCTTAGAATTCTAAAATTCCTTGAGATAGGTTAGGTTTTATAGCTATATAAGTATAATAAGAGTATTTAGTCTTTAGGTTATAATTGCCTTTTAAGGAGCTTTTCTTACTCCTTGCATATAACAGGGCAATAGCTAGCTTAGAAATACCTACGTTTCTTCTTAGGTAGAGCAATAATAGCCAGACTATATTATATAAAGATAAAATCTCGGTCTATATAGAAGAGTTCTAGCATCTGCTAATAGCGCTTTTAGAATATATAGAGTCTCTTTATATAGAGTTAATATATAGATGGAAACTTCTATGTGATATTTTTGTCTGTAAAAGATGATATTTCAAATACAACACACGGGTTTTCATTCGTCAGTTATCCGGAGGATGGTAAAATAACGGTTCTGGGAGATTGAGAGGTTCTAAAATAGGGGTTTATAAGCTAAGAAGTGGATTAATAAGGACATTTTTACTCGCTGGAGTATATGCCACCATAGTTGTTATGGGTAAATATAAAGCTAGGAATCAAGCGTCAAGATATAAACGGGACATAAGAAGTGAGAAAATTATCATCGAGCGGCTCCTACTTCCAGAAGATAAATCTATGAAATTCTTTCTTTTTTAACAAGATGCACCCGACCCTGAATATGCTCAACCCCAACCAACGTTCTATGCAGGCCACGATCCTTCAACCATAACTTGACCGTCTTATCGTCGACTGTATCTGCGCCCCTAATCCAGTCTTCTGTAACAGGACCAAGGAGTTGTGAGATAGAAGGCCACGCGTTTTGGATGCAGCTGAGGTTTCCAGCGCCTCGGAACATCAGTACCACGGAGAGGACTAGGATAAGGTGTAACACTGCCACGGCAGCGACGATAATAAAGGCAGTCCAGCCTAATGGTCGAATAACTTGGACCAGAGATACACGGGACGATGGCCCGACTGCGTCAAACATTGGGATTCGATCGTAATAGCAGATAGAGCATAGAGTTGTAAGAAATGCTTGAAGACCGAGCGCTGGGTTCTTTGTGGAACTTGCCATTTGACTGAAAATCGAGTATTGAGCACTGTTCACTACATCATTGTACACCAAGTCACTGCCGACCCAGACAAGATTCTGCGTGGTTTCGAGGGCGTCACCAGTGTGCTCTAAATCCTCGGGGTACTTAGACCATTGCCATGACCGAGGCGCAAGGTCAAAGATGCCACGTTCCGCGGCTGATATCTCTGATGTCCTAGCTCCAAGTTGTTGTAGAACAGCGTGGGTATTCCACATGGCGGTTGAGGTGTTCCAATGCAAGGACGGCTCTGGATGTATTAATGTCGATCTCGTTGCGTCTACCTCCATTCGTTGCGCTTGGAATGATGTCATGCAGAATGTAAGTTGCAGACGCGCAGATACAGAATCTTCAGAGCCTGGGATAGACTCCCACACGTCGGAGTCGTCGATATCCTCCGAGGACTTGAGGAGTGTTGCGTTAATGAGTAAATAGGAATCACCGAGATGCTTTTTCCCTTTCGGCTCCATAACTGAATAAATTCCTGTTATACTAGTCAATACGGCATCTAAAATCTGTCCCTTTCAAACTTCTTTCGTACCTTGCTCTGAAATATTGTTGCCACAATAACATGCAGCAAGCGCCCAGTGAGGTTCTGAGTGGGGTCCGTCCGGAGGCAATGTGATACCGCAATCAAAAAAGACAGAGAAATTGTTATTTCGCCCCTCCCTTGCTTGTCGAACAAGGCCCAACGGCTTCTGCTCAATATGTGCTAGTCCTGTTACATATAAACCGTTGTGCATAGAGAATGCGAGCTTTGTGAGACTTGGGCGCATGCAGACGACCCGCGTGTCTACCACGGTGGCAATTCCGTGATATTCTGTTATTCTATTTCGCTCTTCGTTATTGTCAATAGGAAGAAACGCTCGCATAACGGTTCCTGTGTCTCTTATGCCAGGCGCATTGCTTGAGGCGAATCCGTGCTGAGCAGCCATGTTAGAGGTCGATGTGTTAGGAACCCATTCAGCGAAGGCTGGATATCTTGCAGGTGTCGTACTAAGAAATGATGGATTTATACCGATCAAAGACCAATACGTATTCCCCTCTGTTTTGATGCCATAATATGTTTGTGGGACCGAACTTGCCACAGGGAGGGAGGCTAGGCCGACTTGTGACAGTAAAATAGTTGATGTGAATTGCAAAGATAATGTTGTGAAGGTAAGCAGCGCAACTAGTAAGCCTACCAAAACAGATCCACGGTGCCACTCTGCTTCCATCTTCCCTAGAAGTGACCAGGGACCAGTGTTATCAACCCTGATGATAGACACAGCAGCCGCGGCTGGTAACGGGACTGCGCCTTGCTTAAGCAAGATTGCCGCAAGCATAGATGTGCATGTTGCCGCTTGCGCAGCTGTGGCCCATCTGAGAACGAGAGATGTAATTGTAATAGAACGAGCCGTCCATTCAGCAAGGACGATGCTTCTCCAGACAGTGTTATTTTCGTCGGCTCCCCATAGGAACGCGAGAAACACCAAACACCCCAGACAGACCACGAACAAGGACGTCAGGATGACGACCGAGACCTTTCCAAGCTGTGAGACGATCCTGGAACGACGATCGCGAGGAAGATTGTCGTGCATGATAGAGAAGCGGTCATTCGACAGGCTCTTGGTTGTCAGGGATTCAATATTGGGCTTATATTTGTGACCGGTTGGTGGTTTATATGAATCTTTAATAAAACATGCGGCTATGGGAATAAATCTGGAGTAGCGCATGAACTATGAGAATATATACTTGACGTCAATTAGTTGGCTCCGTTATCGAACGGAATAGGCAACACGCTCAAGCGGCAAGGCGCAGCCGAATGAGTTCTAGCCACAGCCACAAACGCCCGTTTGGATTAAGCTGGAGCCTTAGAGACAATAGTGACACAAGGGACAAAATCTGGAACGTGACCGATCAGCTATGTGAAAACTAAACCCTATTGAAACGCATTAGGGCTGATTATCTGATCGGTTCTTCTCCATAGACTTTGTTCTGGGTTGAGGGGGGGAACTACAGAGATTCTGTCTAGCGTTTAGGCATTAAAAAAGTATATATTTATAAAGGTTTAGGTTACTTAAGACTTCTAATATATTAGTTTATTAAAATAAAAAGATAATTTAATATAAAGATATATTATTAAAAATAGTAGTATCTCGCCTTAATTAAGTCTAGTTTATTATTAACTAAGAATAAGAAAAGTATAACTTAATAAGCTATAATAAATAATAAGGTAATCCCTTTCTTATTTTACTAAATCCTCTTTAAGTTATTATCTAAAAGGACTCTTTAGACTCTTAAAGATTAAGGCTCTCTAGCCTACTTAATATTTTAACTTAAAATTATCTTATTTATATTAATTTATTACCCTTAAATTTAAAACCTCTTATCTAGTCTTTTAATTTATAGTAATTAACTTAGCTAGTATAAGAATATTATTTTTAAATAGCTTTAGGGCTATATTAATTAGAAGTTAATTTTAAATTATATTATTAATAAAAACTTTACCTTTTAGTATAATTTTAAATATATAGTTAAATATTACTTTATTATCCTTAAATATATATAATAAGCCTATATAAATAGCTTTACTTATAAGTTTAATATACTTACTAGCAAGTTACTAATTAAACTTTATATTAAGTGTAATGGTTGCACAAGCCGTTAAACCACAGGGCAAAAGATCGGGCCATAATCGCTATGCATGCAATTATAGGTATGCTATAGCTGTCTTATAGAAGCCTTACAGCGCTATTATGGTAACCAATCCTAGCATTAAGCCCTTAATCCTTAGTTAGTATCTAAGCTTATTTTAAATATATAGTATCTATATTAATTTTAATTATAGTAATTTTTTCTATATTTTATAAAACTACCTTAAGAAGGATTTTCTTTTACTTATAACTTAAGTTAATAATAATATAACTATTAAATAGCTAGAGGTAGTTAAAAAGCTTTATAGGTTTTAAATTATAATATATTTTATATTATAGTAATATATTATACCTTAGTAATGTTTTCTTATTTTATAAAAATAAAAGTAAAGTTAAGGTAATTAATTTAATATTAATTCTTAAAGAGAATTATAGTTTTAATAAGGTATATAATACTTAAAATTAGAAAAAAGAGATTTATTTAAAATTAAGAATATATTAAATATAAATAAAATAAGGGATAAATTATAACTTTATAAGTAAAAACTACTTTACTTAGTTAATTATATATTTTAGGTTTAGGAGCTTAATAGGGGTTTAACTAATTAATATTTACTAATAAATATATTATAATTAGAGCATAATGTCCCTCTCGTCAAGCAGATCGGTAAGAGTTCTAAGCTCTCCAGATCTGTTTTGCAAGTCTTTGCTATCCCAGTAACAAACAGGGATTGCCGGAAGACGGCACAGCTTGATACAACGCGTGTTGCCACTTGCTCCCAACGTCAAGGTTCTCATTAAATTCGAGGGGCTCAGAACAACGTGACTCGAGCGGCCGTCGTTGCCGTCTACTCTGATCAAAATGGCCAGACCACGTTCAAAGAAGTATATTGCACGGGTTTAGAAGAGAGTTTGCGGGAACGCCAGCCGTCGACGGGAATGGATCTCAGTAGTGCGCCTTAGAAGATGGCACCTAATTGCAGGCTATGAAATCTGAAATATCTTTTATTTGATTATCTCTTATATAGAATTTTTTATATAAATATAAGATATATTCTTATTATTATGTACATTTACTTATGCCTTTTCTATATACAAACAATGCGCTACTGGGCAAAAATGTATATTTGCTTCCTCTAGACCCTTCGAGAGGACGATAAGGCGGCTTGTTCAATGTCGTGTTCGGATAACTGGCAGTATCTGAAACGTCGGGAGGTCTACCAATTATGCCCAGGGAGGTTATCATCGACGAATCAAATATCTGCATACCCTAGAAGTAGGGCTATAACCCTATTCAGTAAAGTCTTCCAGAGGAATTTAGAACCAAGTACAGTAGGCAAACAATCGCGGCTAGAGTCTCTGTCTAAAAGCTTATGAAAGCGATAGATATAGAGCTTAAAGCAGAGCTACAGCTGTCTATGACGATGTTCGAAGCTTATACCGGGACTATATCGTGTTAATTACTATTCCCAGATATAACCAATAGAAGTACAAAGTTCTACAAGACGATTCATTAAAACAAAGCCTCGCAAAACTCTAATGAATACAAAGCCCATAGAAGCAACATAATAACGCAAAGTAACTACTAATCACAAGTTTGCATTATAGTGGTCTTGGATTTAACTAATTCGAGCTACCCAGGACACATAGATATGTATGTATTACGAGAGGGGAAACTCTACGCAAGAAATAGTAATTGAAGGAGATGTCTTTAGTCACATTTCTTGTAATTGCTTGAGTGCTTAGGCGTTTTTAATGCTTCAAGTGTCTTGCAGACCTACCAGAAGCATGATAGATTCCCGACACTATTAGGGGCATTTCTTGATGTCCGTAATGTTTATCCCCGTCTCAAGTTACGCACTGCTTCATTTAACTTGCCAATAAGAAAACAATCTATTTATTAAGTACAGAAGAAACGAGTTTGTCAGCAGTATCTCGACTAAAGATGAGATACTTGTCAGGAGATAACATCTCCTTCTCGGACTGCGCATATGACGACATTCAGTCCAAGAGAACGGGGCAGAATTCCAGGCTCAAACCTCTTTCGCTATTTTGACATTAACAACAGCTTCAACATCATAGATAGAATAGATTGCTCTTCTCTCCTCAAAGGAATGTCTTAAGGACCCCGATCATCTTGAAGTCAAATCAAGACATTGGTGTGGTACCAAAGGCTTGTTTCATCGAATGAGTGTTTGATTTATCCTCTGTTCAGCAATAAGACTATTGACACAAGCAATGTACAGCGCCTGCTCTCCATCTTTGACTCTATAACAAACAAAACTAGCTTGTACAGTGGTCATGTAGTGATGATTTGGCCTGCAAACACGCTACGTGATTGTCAATCATCAGAATAAACAAGATCAAGGCAAACAGGCCAACTAGGCAGCAGTCTAGGTTAATTAGTAACTTACTCTGGAGCCCCACCTTGGTTATCTTATCTGCCTTGGGCTTTCCAGTTGGCGAGCCCGAGCTTCGTCTTCCTCATTCACAGTGCGTCACCCCCCATATTTGGAATCCCATAAACACTGCGTTTTTGTTTACGCTGTCGCTTCTTTTCCTTCTTTCTTTCTTTGGATGCCCTCATCGGAAACATCTTCCATTTTCCTTCCTTACTTTTTGGACTTTTTTTTGAGAGCGAAAGGTGAGCCGCCTGGCAAGCATCAACTCTCACCTGCTTGCGCGCTTGACCAGCGGAACTGATCTTACAATAGGTAGCTCAAGATATGCCCTCCTGCTTATCATCCGCCTAAACACCAGGCAGTCATCCGTATCTCACACTCGTCTACGGGCGGCAAGAAAACGTTGGACCTCGATCATAACGGACGAAGAGACTTGGGTAAATTATCACAAACTTAGGGCGCTCTTTGAAGAGTTTATTCTGACATCTTTTCTCGAGGTCGGCCGTTTTCGTGATCCCCGAGGCTCGTGCGGAAAGGATCAAAATGTCAACGAGGTATTTCGACACCGTTGTATCTAGGAGTGCATATGACACACTGCTTAAATCCGATCTATCGAACGGGGCACTCTCCATCGTCGACCTCCAAGCCTCTGGCAGCAGTTGAGGCCGCCGTCAGCTGTTCGCCTGCCAGGTCGTCGTCTCACCAACAGCACAGAAAGTACTCCCAGCATACAACAGATACACGGGGAATAGAAATGAACGTTTGGAAGAGACCCAGGAAATCAAGGATTTCCTTCGCGGACCTGACACGGCATTACTGCACCAGAGCACTCATTTCCTGATTCACGAGTACGGCGTCTCTCTAGGCGAGCTTTGGGCTGCGTTGGCAGCCGTCAAGCGCTACCCCCGTCCCCACACTTCAAGGAATGAAGGGACACCGGAAGCAAAAAGACCTCGACGGAATCCAGTTCGTGAAGGATACGTCAACTCAGCCGGCTTTCAAATCTCATCCAGCAATCCTGAAGACCACCCTAGTTCGCCAGCTCGCAGCGAAGGATCGGCTGGCTACACCGAACCAGAACCGACGAAAGAGCTCGCCGCCGAAGACAGCGCCGTGCTTCTGATCACACGCGTGTTGCGCCACTTGCTATACTACACACAGCCTCCCAAATCGTCACGAGTAGTTGAGTTCCGCCCTGAACGACGTCGCATGATCTCCCAAATCTCCGAATTGGAGAAACAGATCGTTGCCATTGACGATGGCGGGCTGAGCCTCAAAGTCGATGAGGGTCTGTCTACCGAGCCGGACGTTACGGTTGCACTGCTCGAGGCCAAGAGACGCCTTGTTGTTCATAAAGACAAGCCTAGGATCTCCGATGAGTGCTTGGCACAGATGACCTGCGAGGCTATCTTGGCCAGAGGTAGATCTGACTTGGAACAACTGAAGAATGAAAGGTATGCATCCTACCTCTTAATTTACCCGGCAGTGACTAACTAAATTAGAACACTCATCATAAATGCCACAAGCCACTATGTGTGCTTTTTGGAATTTCATGTCACAAGCACGTACATGGACGAGTTGGGAAATGGATCGTTACCGTCTCAGCCACTGAAGGTCACAGCAACCCAATGGTTTGATCTAAGTGATAGAGATGGGAGAAGCGGCGTTTTGGAAAACATTCGGGGCTTGGTAGGGATGGCCATGGACGATGTTGATGAGGGTGTTCCACAGTAGCGATTCTCTTACTCTCTGTATCCATCTGCATACAGTCGTTAAATGCCAGTTCTTTATGCAGTGCTGCTGCGCAGCAACCCAAGAGGTTTCAGAGAATAAACTAAATGCTTAGGTTCTTTACTTAACTTTAATGATCTTATGATAATAAAAGGAAACTCAACCAAGATCCTGGCCACCTATGTTACCAGTATCAAAGTATAAAAGCCTTGATACCACCGTAAAATCACTGGCCTTGTGCGCTATTTGAACCAAGACCTGTAACGGGAGTCTAGAAAGATAAGATAAGCGAGGCGGGGATGCTGCGAGTCGCTAACTGACAGGGGAAATTACAGTGGGCTTACAGGGGACTTGGGCCTGGGCGCCTGACCAATCAACACCTTCGGATCATCATGTGTCAGCGGAGACAAATAATTCCTTCCCCGCCCCCGCCAAACTCATGTCGCGTCATTCAGTTCAGTCGCGTGTGCCAAACAAAAACATCACAGCCAACAACAACATTCATTCCGCTCTCTTGCGATGCGCGCACGATGGACCAACAGACGCCGATAGCAAAGTCTCTGCATAGACTCTGCGTCGAGAACCCGCGTTTTCTTGTTCACCCTCTATTCTGGACTTCAGAGCACCTTCGAGTTCTGCACTGCCATTTCAATCACCTCGACTTTGCCCCTCTCCCTCCCTCGCTACCACCATCACCGCCGCTTTCGCCCAGCAGCGACGTCGAGCCAGATCTCTCAGAGATTGTCCAGCAGCTGCTAAACGCCCCAGGCCCCAGAACCAGGTTCACCTGTATTTACAAGTTGCTGCGTCATCATGGCTTGGTCAGCACCCGATGGCAGCCTCACTTCCTCTACAACAAGCAGAGAGCGCATTCACCAGACTGCAGAGTCTTTCAGTCAAGCGCAGTGCATAAACTCCAGCAGCGGCCGATGATTGGTACCTTTCAATACGAAGAACTCATAAAGCAGCGGGAACGAGCCCTCACACCCAAACGCCATCCCATTGCCGGCGCCGACAATCTTCCCGTGGAGAGACTTTACCAGCGCCGAATGCGCGACTTGACTCCTGCCCTGTGGTTTGAGGACCCGTACTTGGTCTGCATCCTACTATCTTTGGCTCAGCTTCAATGGCAGCATCGTCGGTGGACGCCAGAAACCCTCATCGTACGTCTGTCTACGTTCCCTTCTTACTAATTCCACTGACAATTAGTTCCCCAGGTCCGATTGCTAGTAACCAACGTTTCCGACACAACGCACGCGCACGTCTTCCAGGCCGACATCCCCTCGAAACTCCTCCACGCACTCGACCACCCGACCCACGACATGGACAATCTTGTCTGGCCGGCGATACAGCACGTCCAGGTCCCATTCGAACCGCATGCGAGCTTCTCGGAACGCGTTGCAGGACAATTGCTAGCTGGTCTCAAGCCTCGGGCTACGGAGGAGATGCCGCGGGGAGAGAAGCGCAAGCGTGATGAGCTGGATACCATGGGGAAGGCAAAGAGCGTCAAGACCCGGGACACCACCAACCAGCTTGCAGCGGTGCCTTTGGCCAACGGCTGATGATTCTGTCGCATCCAGCGCAACTGAGCTCAAGATGGAAGAGCTGGCGTTGGCGATACCTCAACCTAGCTGTTACGGTGCAGCAACTCCCCAACAACCAATACACCCGCTGGTGCAGCCTACGAACCATAGACCCAGCCCGATTGACACGGAGCCAGGGCGTTTCGAACGCACCAGAGCGACGAAACATGATCTGTATAAAGTAACAGTAAGTTCAGCGGCGCAGAGACCACGTATGTGTCGCAACTAACCCAGCGGTAGACATATGCAATGCATCCTTTCATAACACAATTCAGTCCGCATAGCTACATATTCTCATTCGCAACCAGGGTTCCGCCATCATATGCAATGCGCATAAGTGTAGGCTGTCGATAGAGACTGGGAACGGAGCGTCAATGTTTACAGTAGCATGTTTGATAGGGATTAGTTATTTGCATGCATATCATGCTATCACCAAATTGACATGAGATGATTATAAATCCACCAAGTCAACGCTGCATGATATCAACCAAAGGTGATTTATGTCCGATCCAGTCAAGGCCACGCGCGCATCGAGCTTATATTGCATAGCAACACTCGCAATCTCCGTCTCAGAGAAGCCACTGTCTCAAGTCAGGGCCAGGAGGTTATTGCCAGTGGGAACAAGCACCAGCCGTGACGTGTCTTCTCCCTCAACACAGTATCCTGGCGAAACCCGTGTCAGGCGTCGTCTGCCAGCCTCGAGATCACAGAGGACACCATTGAGCAGGGCGAGGATAGCGGCGTCTGAGTACATTACCCGCGGGTCTGTCAACCTCTGCCAATGGGACATGAGTCCTTCTTGGAGCTCCCCCATGGACAAGACTCAGGCGGTAATCTTGTGAGGTCATACTGGACTCAGTTGCATGGTTCCTCTGCGCCAGGTTCATCGTAGCGCTGGAAAGCTCGGTCGATCGTTTTCGCGACTTGTTCGACTTCATTGCTGTACTTGTATTGTACCAGTCAATTTGTTCAATGTAGTTTGTTTGTTCTCTGCAAAGTGCAACTTGAGTGGTGTCCCTTGGCTAAAACGACGGGGCAGAGTCCACGTGACGACGTGCCAACTTCGTGAAAGGCGCGGTTTGTTTTGTGTCCAACAAAGTCAATCAACGATAGCAGCCATGAGCCTAATGTCACTCAAAACCATAAGCCCAGTCATTCTGAAATAGCAATTAGCAAATTTGAACATAAATGTCAATGTTAGGAGTTCTGCATTAGTTGATGGGATCTGATACCAGCGAATATGTAAGTATCTCTACCTGGTTGATTCTATCACAGAACTCTCAAGCTTTGCCTCTAAAGAAAAAATTACCTTCCACTCACCTCCACCCTGTTCTCATCGAGTTTCCTCGCTTTTATGACCACTGACTTTGTTGTGAGCTGTGCACGGGCCACAAGAACAGTTGACTGTGATTGTACTGTGCGCAACTTAACCTAGAGCTGGGTAAAAGTCATTCAAGCTTCTATTCTCTCTTTCCTCTTTACATTTAGGTTCTTTTCCAGAGGTAAGTTAATAAAGCTCTAAATTGTTGACCTTGCCTATAGTTAACAAACCCAGGACCAAGATCAAGACTAAGCCGCGTCATCGCTGACCGGACTCTCTTTCTCTCACTGTTCGATTTGAGATTTTTGACCAAGTTCTCCTTCGTGTCCCCACAAACATCCATCGACTGCACAGAATTGTCCGTTGCTAACCCTACATGTTCAACTCCTACTACATTCTTTGGTTACTATAGACGAACGGTCGGCCTGTTTGTTCATTTGCGCTGCGTCAATCAAACCTAGCCCACCACTTGAATCTAGGCAATTCCAACCATTGTTTCCTTTGACTGGTTGTCCAAAACGATGGATTGAATACGTTGAAATACAAACCATTAAGGGAGGATATCGTGATTCCACGTTGCAACAAGCTTGTGAATGAATTACTGTATTCTGGCACTTAAGATTGAGTCATCATCTCGGTCAATCTTGACCGGCCTTATCCACGGCGTTTAACCGGAAGATAGATTTATTAGGTATAGATATGTTAATTCAGTTTAATATGACTTGGATACCCCGTTTCTCCTTTCATTCATTGCGTAATTTATGTAGGCAGGTTCATGCATTCCTTCTGCACAATAAAGAGCTCCCTATCTTTAACTGGCTGTTACTGTCATCAATATTCAAAGTACATACACACTCAGAAGACTGTGTAGCCAGTCAAGAAACCAGTAAATAAATTCTATCTATAGTGGCATTATACAACTGACGCTTGGTTACAGATTGTCGCCTCAACCGACCATTCCTTGGCCCCCCAACCCGTCTCTCGCCGCACCTCGATCGAATACTTATTAGGTGATAAGCAAAGCTGTCTAGCCTAGTATGAAAATGAAACACCTAGCCTCACCACTGATACAGAAGCATATAGTCAAACGAACCAACCTAGATGGATAACACGGCGCCGAAATACACACTCCGCGCCAAGACAAGCAACAGGGAGTGGATTAAACGCTCTAATTGATCCAACACCGCCGGGTTAATTGAACGCTTCCCAAGGATACCTTCTTATGACCCACTGCCATTCCATGAACCAATGAATTAGCCCTTCTATTGGGAAAAAGGCCAACGCCAAGGGCCCTTTGCGCGAAGATGGGAGCACGAATTGCAGGTCAACGACAAGAAGATGTAGACTAACGAGTGGATCACTTTAACCTAGCCTCTAGCCATCTAGACTCGATATAACTCAAGCTCAACTGATGAAATACTGTATGCTACTGCGAACACGGGACTAAACCCAGGGAATGTATACAAGCCTCCCCAACAGACTGGAGCAAGCTTTACGCACAGGCTGTTATTACTCCCTCGACTCCTTCGTCAGTAGAAGATCGACTACGCCTGTCTCCCAGCGCCATGCTCAGTCATTCTATTCGCATTTGTATATCTCCAACGCTTCTCACGACAGGGACGAAGAGATCAGTTGTTACAAGGATGCAGATCGCTTGACAACCAACGGACATGATAAGCAACGAATTGCTGATGAGAGTGCATATCAATCAAGTTGCTGTTGTTACCAACGTGTTCGCTTGGTTTCGAGGACTCGGGGTCAATGCTATTGATGGCTGAGCATCGAAACTAGTGCAGAAAGAAACACTGGGTCTATCCCGCCACTTGGTTTATCGGTGCCTTTGTTGACTAAGGATGCTTCTCTTTGACGTTTCCGTAATGTGAAGTCTTCGGGAGCACAATTTGTTGAAGCTTGGATCGCTGCAACCTGACCTTGTTATGTCTTTTCTCACAACTGGAGATCGGCAACCATATTCCAAATTGCTGGGCCAAGTCTTCATCCAAGCAAATTTGACGCAACGATTGACGGCTCAAGTCCGCAGAAATGGTGCACAGAATAGCTCAACCGCTGGGACGACCAGTCGACCAACCCCGCCTTTGCTCCTACTTCGCTCGACTGTCTGCTAGTCTCCAAGACGGATACAAAAGCGCACAGCGAGAACTCAATGCCTATGACGCTCTTTACCGAGTTGACCACTGCTACAAGGCAACAAGCTTGTTGATGCCGGCATGAAGCAATGTGGCTTGTAAAAGGCACTGCTGTCGTTAGCAATAAGTGTGACACTAGTCTCTTGGATCGTTTCCCTTCGATGGAGGTTTGCTTCCTGCCCTTGGTGGTATTGAGGGCTCTGACAATAGCCAACTCATCGGAATACCTACAACGATCTTACCGTTGCTCACAAACAGCAGAGCCAAAAGGCAAGCTTGGTTCCGAGCGCAGACTTGATGTCCAGACATCAAGACTCAGCAGTTGGAGGCAGGAAATCGCCCTCCAGCTCCATAGCCGCATTGTTGGTGTCCCCGGGCCTATTCTCAATGCCCGACTTGGACGATAAATCCTCCCTTGACCTTGTAGACTAAGCCTTTGATTAGATAGCATAGGTACGAATGAACTGTGCCGCTCGATGTCAAAGGTACAGATCTCCCAGTGTCACCATCCTGAATTATCATTGAGGTGTTTATGGATGCCGAAGTCGAAGGAGGCTGAGAACTCAGTGAAGTCCTATCTGAGAAGGAGAAAACTTTCAAGGCAGACTAAGACAAATTGACCTTTGTCAAGGAGATTGCCCAGTGTGAAAAGGGGAGTGACAAGCTGGTAAAAAGAGAGATCGACAAGACCAATGTCGAAGCCGAAACAAGATCTAGTAAAACATATAAAACGATTGAGACTGTGGAGGGGAAATAGAGAAATGGATAAAGGGTGCCAAGCTTGGAGCGCATAAGGTTAATTGCGTCTGAGAAGGGTTACTGAAATAGTCCGAGGCACTGATAACTAGGTTATCATGCAGCTAGAAAGAGGCTATAAGCATGCTTATCATTCAAGGGGCTCGGTTTAACTCAAGTACTTACCTATTCGGTCACCGATGAACATTTCCAAGCTCATAACAATCAAGAAAGTCCCTCTCTACAGCATCATTAGCATGGTAGGCGACGACATTACCGTGCGTGAAATCTGGAGAAGAACCGAGTCAGTATTAAAGAAGATTGAATAAAGGGAGTTCGCTATAGGACTATTAGCGGTTTGAGGTAAGGGCGATGCGGTATAGGCGGAGGCGGCTGTCTACTGTTTTGAAGGGGAAGTAAGACTAGGCGAAGGTTAGCTTAATGCTAAAGCCACTGCAATTATGGATATCAATATAATGAAACGAGGATAGTGCGGAGGCTCTAGGGTAAGCCATATTAATGAAAGGGGTTATGTAGGCAGAAGAAGGGTTAAACAGTCAAGCCGTAATGTTTTACTGAGATAAGATTTTAATATAAACTATAGTAACCTAATTATAGTATAAACTATAATAAGCTGGTTGCAGTATAGACTACAGTAAAATAGTGTAAACTAATCTCAGTATATCATGTCTTTCTGTTATGGTGATATACACGGTCCCAGCTGGAAGAGACATAATCCAGCCCCCCCTCCAACTACAACAGAAGAGGGAGAAAACTCATCCAAAGCCCACTATCAAGACAAAAGGATCTCTGTAAGCCTCACCAACCAAGATCTTGGCGATGGTACGGATACTCAAGATCATGATCAAACAAGCAAGGATGTGATCTTCCAAGGAGGCCCATCAGCTCAGCGCTAAATATCTCTGGCACAGCATGGGAAACAACTGTTTGCCACTCTAAGTGGGACTCATCGGAATTCCGAACTAAGCTGGAGAATGAGCTGCGTGGCAATGGACCTCCGGCTGTTACCAACGCCAAAGATGGGAGCCAGCATTTGGTGAGACTGAAACAGGCTCTTTCGTTTTAGTTGGACTTTTTCACTTGAGCTGGTAATTTGGCGCTGCTCACCCAACAGTACAAAGTCTGACCGCTGCTTGGCACATGAATCGGAAGATGGCTATTCAGCAACGTTGGGCTGGCTTGAGAAATGTGATAATATGCAAATGCCCGGTTTCTGAGTTTATTTCGCTCCTTGTCATACTACATCATCTTAGACATTTAGTGCAAAATATTTAATATGTGCAATACAAATCGTAATTTGGATGCATAACTTCAACTTCACTACTGAGGTGTACATGCTAAGTTCTGTGTGGTGATTATAAGCTCTCAGCCACAGGTCTCAACTGCAAATAACACATGCATCATCTACACCGTAATGTACCCCGCTGCAGACGGCACAGGCCGCTTGCGGGGAGGCTATGACATGCTGGGTAGATACTCTATCGATCCAGGCACATTTCCCTCACAAGCAAGGTCCAGAAGGGCCGGTCACCAGCGCAGATCGGGCTAGACATGCTTGTCCATCTGAATCGGGTCAGGGATCACGTATGCACAGATAGCTACCAGGGTCATGTCGTCTCTGTCGACCCAACCCTCTTCTGAGCCCTGAATCCCGGCCCATGGGTAGTGACATGAGTAACATTAAATCTCGCCCTTCACGTTGGTGACTTATGTCTAAGCGTTGACCCTCTATTCTTGGCGTCTGCCAGCTCGGCACGCCACAGATTAGCTGTTTGTAGATTAGAACGCACAAGCTCCCTCCCAGAGCTAAGACATTGTTGTTTCAATCATGCAATCCATATCCATGCAGGCGAAAGAGAGACATCTCCCAAGCGTTAAACTCTACATGAAAAAACTTCTAGTCAGGATCGGTCAAGCAGGAACACGGATTTCAGGCTCTTCTGTTTGTCTAGGCTTTGGAAATTACTGTGAGGGCTTGTTCCAGGCGACATCAGTTTTGTCAGCGAGAACTACTGGGACCAATAGAGTGGATGGAAGATTCCGGGGGGAGGATTTCGGCTTGCTGCATCGCTTACGAGCTAACCAGAAAGTTTTGGCACGTTACTGCCATGTTTTCTTCGCATGTTTGCTCACATCCACGTTCTTTCCTGGCATATCAATTCTAAAAATGGTGCGCTGGCACCATGGTGGTCAAAGAGAGGAGCAACCTGATATAGTGGCATTGAGCCAGGACTACCAACGTTGGTCTCTTGATTAAGACTAGTAGTTCCGTTCCCTCATAATCTGCCACTAACTCTCTCTGTTACTTCTTGATCTCCTTGCACATTCAACTTCATTCATATTCAACTTTAACTTTCTTTACATTCATCTTTTGTATTTATCTTCCTTCACATCCATCTCACCATGTCTCAAGCACAGAACCAGGTCATGATCTTTCCTCAATTTAGACTCCTGGCCCCAGAGATCCAAGCCAAGATATGGCAGTAGACTCTCCCGGGCCCGGGTGTCCATACCATCATAGAGTACAACCGCATGCCCGATAAAGGGGCAGAGAATTATTATGTAAAGATCCAATGCCCGCCAGTTCCCATCGCATTCCAGGTATGCACCCAATCGCGCTACGTGGCGTCCCTCTTTATGAAGAGGTTTTAATAAATAGTAATATAGCTATTTAATAGCTCTTAATATTAAAAGAGTATAATTATATTAAATATAAATATCTTAGAATATTCTAAGATAATATTATATACTATTAAAAAAAAGTAAAATATAAAATAATAAAAGTTTAATAAAAACAAGGTATATAATATACTTAAATAAGTAAGAAATATACTTAGTATTAAATTATTTAAGATAAAAGTAATATTATAAAATATAATATTATAAAAGAGATAATTATTATAAGTTAGGCCTAATTAAAAAAAGAAAATATTATATAACTCTGAAAAAAAAGACTTAAAAAATAATATAAAATATAATTTAATATAACTTAAAAGGCTATATTAAGTATAATACTTTACTTTTTAAGATTTACTTAATAGTTATTAAGTAGCTATATAAATATAAATAAAGGTAGTTAAAAGAAGTTAGGCTAGGTAAGAAGATAAAAAAGTAATATATAAGTAATTATTACTTAATTAACTTAAGTAAAGCTTTAATTATAAGGTAAACTACTACTACTAATAACTTAATAATATATTAATAGAAATATTATAATAGCTTATTAATATTATAATAATAAATCTAAATAATATATTATTTAGCTAAAAAGGTAGAAAGGTATTAATAATTAAATATTACTTAATAAAGTACTATTACTTAAGCTTTTACTAGAGGTTATATTATATTAAATATAAGAAGATATCTTTATACTAGGCGATTTAATTTATAAATAAGTAATAAAGCTTATTATATAATATTAATAAAGAGCTTTAAAAAAACATATTTACTAAAAGTTAAGATAGTAAGTTTTATAATATTAAAAATATAAATACTAATAATAAGAAATAAAATAAAAATAATAATTAATAGAAATATATATATAAACTTATTATTATACTTTTATATAATATTAGGTATTAAGTAATTTATACTAGGCTATATAAAGCTATACTTATATATAGATATATTAGTTAATTTATTATAATAGGCCTACTTATTCTTTTTAAAGGTTATATTTAAAAGTTAGTTATAGAATTAAAGTAAGGTTAGAGTAAAGGTAATACTTATATTTAGAAAGTATTATATAATATATATTAATAGTTATATTATTATAAATATAAGTATTAGGTAAATAATATATAAAAAAGGGTATTATAAAAAAATAAGAGGGTAGCTATTAATATAATAGGCAGATATTAGAGAGGCGCTATTTTTTATAAGTAAAGAGCTTAATATTAAAAAACTTACTTATGTACTTTATAATTAAGTTATAAAGACATATAAAATACTAAACTAGTTATTTAAGGAATTATATTAAAAAGTTAATTAAATAATTAATATAAGACGGATAATTAATAATATAATATAACTTTAAGTAAGTTAATTATTTATAAGTAATCTAAAGAATAATTAATTAAAGCCTAGGCTAGTAAAAGTAATATAATTAATAAAAGTATTAATATAAGATAAAATATAAATTAGTAAAAATAATAAAATAATAAAATATAGCTTTATAAGTTATATTTATTTTAAAAGATATTAATTATACTTATATATATATAAGGCAGGCTCCTAGGTAGGAAATTAAAAATAATAATATTATAATACTATAACTTATAATAGCTAATTTAAAATATATTTATATTAAATAAGCAAGTTATATTTATTATAAACTAAAATAAAATAATAGCAATTTATAATAATAGCTAAAAGGTAATATACCTTTTATTTAATTTAATTAAGTAAAGAATTATAATATATATATTATAATTAATCTTAATAAAAAAACTATTAAAACAGAAGTATTAGGTTATTAAATTATATAATAATTAGCTAAACTATATACTAAGATATTAACTTATTTCTTTTTTTTTTTTTTTTTTTTTTTTTTCATACTGGCACAAGCGCTGGGTTCGCCGGCATAGGCTGCATTCAGGGAGAACTTTATCGCAGCATCGCTTCTGCTTTTTGCAGGCTTTGCAAGCCTGGTCGCTGCGGGTGGCCATGGTGGATGCGAGTCTTGTTTTTGCTGCGTGTCATTTCAAGTCGAGGCGGAGATCAGCCGCATGCCACGACACGCTGCGAGACCTTGCAACCCAGCAACAATCCGAGGCGTGGGCGAGTTAGGAGCGAGAAACAATAGTCTGATTGTGGGGATTCCTGTTTATCGCTGCCCGCATATGCATACCCCATTGACCGCGGGAGAGACCAAGGAGTTGAGCACGATGAAGATGGCGTATTTTCCTGGCTTCGCGAGCAAGCGTACTGTGGAACTCCGTCCCTCTTGACTGTTCCCACAGCATGGATGATACTGACTCACCGTCTGACCTGAGGGGCTGGGACTGGCGGAGGGACCAGTGCGGGGAATGCGGCCGCATTAGCGGGACTAACTGATCCCGGTAATCTCAGACTTGGTGGCGCGGGCTATGTGCGGAGAGCACAATCAACCTGATGCTTGTGTCGTCTGAACTGGTCGAAGATATAGTTCAATGCGGCATTCACTAGACCGAACATGGGTCAGATCACAGGGCAATCCGGACAGATGCCTTGCTGCTTCTGCTTAGGGTTCTCGATCTAAGGGGCGAGGGGCGCGGAGTGGTTAATGTAGGCGATGTCATGGAGGGCGTTGGAAGTCTGATGGGACATCTCAGAGAACTGGTCGACGAGGATGCCGAAATCGTAGTGCTGGTCGGGGCGGTACGCGGAATCCCGCATACACAGACTGCGAAAGAAGCACCCGCTCGCGACACTCGAGGTCGGACGGATGGAGACAATTGAAGCCTATGCAGCACCGCCGTGGCAACCCCCGTGTCGCTTGTGTGTGAGGTACAGGGGATGGCAATAAGTTTGAATACCTGGCGTCGATCTTTTCAAGCTGCTAGCTGCTTTAGGTTGAGTCTGTGTGTATATTATCTCTCGTATGCCAATTTAAGCTATGCTGATTGGCTATTATGAGCTTCTTACTGGGATTAGAAGCTAGCTAAAATAAAAAGGGCTAGACTGCCATCAAAAGGTATTTAAACTTATTACATGCCGCTGTAAGTAATTTAAGTTAAAGAAGACTAAATAGGAATTAGTACCTCTATATAATTTATTAGTATTCCTTAACGCAAACAAAGTTTCTCATGACGAACTATGTGGCATATGTTTCCAAGGTACGCCTTAGCTTCTTGCACATGCTTCATCTCTGTAAGGAACATCAGGACAATTTCGCCGCTAGTATCTAATCTAACCTTCAACGTTGGAACTGTGTAGTAGAAGCCCGATGGTCGTCCTGTGACGATCGCGTGTTTCAAACAGTGGGCCGTTAGCGGTCGATCAGAGGGTAAAATGTAACGATTCGATGCCAATGATGGTGCGCCACCGGGTAATAGCGTCGGCGCCAGACGCCTTTACTGTCAAATGGCAAGGCTGAGTTGTGAACGGAGCAAACTCAGGGCACATCAGCTCTGCCTCCTCGCGTCGCCCCATGGATTTGATTGGCAACCTTGGGCGCGGCCAGAACTCTAAGTGTGGAGATCCGTTATTTGACGGATAAATTGCTATTCCGATCAATTGGTGGCTGGGATGCGGGTTTCTCCTTGTCAAATGGCCTCGCCCCGTTGATTCATGTGGAGCAACCAACCGGATGTTTTTCTTTCCTCTAATGAACGCAACAATCCATACCCCTGCTACGTCACCTTTCTTGCCCTTGCAGCACAAACAGTCGCAGGAAAGCAATATTTAATACACTCGGCGACGAAAGGATGGTGAATGCAAACGTCATATGCCTGTCATGGCTTGGTCATACGGTCTCAACAGAGACATGTCACTGCCAGCAAAGGATAATGCCACTTAGGGGCTGCGGTTGTCTCAGAAATCTCCCCCGGCGAAGTGACAAGTCACGAGTTGGGACGAGTGGAAAGGGTTAGGACAACCAAAGGGGAAAAGGAACACAGGCCGGCATCCGGAAGTGAACGCCATCCCCGCCCATATGCCTTTTATCAAGTTCGCTATTCCCACTACATGTATTTCCTGGATCTAGAGCAGCCCCTTTTGACGTGTCCAGAGTATCGCGGGACAATGACAGCTAGAGGCGACATATGGCAGCGAGACGACTCTCGGCCGCCAGCCGGGCCACCCCCTCCTGGCATAACCTCCGACTTTCTCAATCCTCCTAGCACCGCCCACAAAATCATCGTCGTCTCCGTCGCATTCTCTGTTCTGTCCTCTCTTTTCATAGCGCTTCGCTTGTACACCATCTTGTCAATTACACACCAGAGAGGAACAGATGACTGTGAGTGTTGGCTTGCCAGATTCTCTAGTTCGTTACTAATGCTTCTAGATCTCCTTGTCATCTCATGGGTACCTTCATCTCGGCCGGCCTTTTCTGGACCTGACTCTGACGGCTATCTAGGTGCTCGCTCTCGTGTACTCGGTGTTGCTTTGCGCCGGTAAACTCTGCCGCTACAACCTCTATCGCGCTTTCGGCTGACTCCAAATTAGTGACGAAGTACGGTTTGGGACGTCATCTATGGGACATCCCATTTGTAACATTCAACAGAAACTTCATGAAAGTAAAGGTCCCAAGATCTGATCCTTTAAGGTTTACTCCAGTAACGATAATTCTTCTTTAGCTAGGAGCTGTTGTACTCACATTCTACGGCATCACGATCATGCTGACCAAGACCGCGATCTTGGTTTTCTTGCTCCGATTCGTGACCGCGAAGCCAAAGCTAAGGCTCACAATACACTTCACCATAGTTACAGTCGCTGTTTACAGTCTCATCGTTGCACTTCAATGGGTCTACGCCTGTCAGCCAATCGAGAAGTTCTGGGACTACACCATCACCACAGGCACATGTATAAGATTTCTGGGTGTCACTGTTTTCAGCGGGGTTATGAACTCGATTACTGATGCGGTTATTCTCGTTCTTCCCGTATTTATAATGCGCGGATCGCGGCTCCCCAAGTGGCAAAAGCTAAGTGTCACTGGGATTCTAATGACGGGTGGATTGTAAGTTGTCAATTTACTCGTGATTTTTCAAAGCTATGTTAACCGAAGAACAGGGTTTTAATTATCGGTGTTATCCGGGCTAAGATAACCGTGGATTCCCTCAAGTATAATGATCTTCCATGGCAGGCTGTTCCTGGCATGCTTTGGTGGTGAGTGCTAACCGTTCCTGAGCTGTATTTGGTTTTAACATTGCTCACAATAGGACTGCGGAAGTTCATCTTGCCCTAATCTGTGCATGCCTACCATTTATGAAGCCATTTCTTCAAAAGTTCTTTCCCGACACCTTTACTCCTAGGCCCCAGCCGTCCATGGATTGGAATTTGGTCGGTTCATTCTGTGGTATCTACCACAAACGATGTCAGCAAGGTATGCATGCCGTTCCAGACTGTTACCTTGCGACCAGCACTGTATCAGCTGCTGCCACCACCACTGGGCCTTCCATACCAACTGAATCGGAGAGGCAAAATCAAGCCGACGCTAACTCTCAGGGAGACGGGAATTCTGTTGCCCATTTGGCCTCCGCTAAGATCCGAACGCGGTTTCAAGAGTAGCAGCCTCACCCCAAGTATTCACTGAAAGCAGCAGCAATGGGCTGAACCCACCAGCTCACAGCTTTTCCCCTGGGGCGTGCCGCAGGGGAAGCACAATATCACTGGATCCGACATTCGAGGGCACAGCAAGCGAGTAGGGTAGCAAGGGCAATCACAGAGGCTGCGGATAAAGTGGAATAGCCGGGATAATTGTCACTGGCGCAGAGGGGAACCATAGCATGCGTTCAATGGGAGTAATGTGGTATCGCAGAAATTCCGCAGTCAGGCCGACGGTTACACACGAGTAGGGAACCGTGGGAGGGTTCAGGTCGTTCTCCATATGACCTGCCGAGTCGTCGCCGCGAGAGGGATGTTGATCCTGGGATCGCCCACATGCGTTGAGGGGATCAGTAACAGTGCAGGCGTTCCCGATACCGGACCATCGAATTTAGTGTCTTGTTGGCAAGCAACACTTACGGCTAGAGTCTTTCTCTACTGTGGTCATGATTAACTCTACCTTCCCCTGCCTCTCTCTAAGTCGCGACTGATTATTGATCTAACATCTCCAATAGTAATAAATTTTAGAGGAGCTAGGCCCTTTCTTAAAGACTATAAGCCTAGGCATGATTATAAATCTTATATAAACCTGGACCTGAGGAAGCCTCTTGTTAGATAATGGGGTTAAGTGCATATAATATAGTAGAGGGACGGGCTTATAGTGATACTTAGCAGTAAATAATGTTTGAATAATACGATTGTATGTTGTGATTTGCGATTTAAGAAATTTAAGACTACTCCGTGTCTCCTGAGCTCGAAGAGCCTTCAATAAAGCGACTGAGGTAAGGAAGATCTTCCGGTACTCGGTCGGCGACACCGATTGGGGACGTTGGGCACTCCCTTATCGAGCGATCAGGCGAAAGTGAGCGGGAATCATCGCCGTAGATGGGGTAGAAATGGTCAGTATTTAACGGATCGAGACCTAAGTCCGAGGTTGCAGAAGAAACCAGAGAGCTGGGACTAATTTGGTTCCAATACCTTGCCGCATGTTGCGCGTCACCACCCTGATGGGAATCAACAGGCATATTCGGATCATCGTATACAAAATGCTGATCACCCTGATCGGAACACAGGTTTTCTGAATTGACCTAATTTGACGAAATATCATCATTCCGGGACTGCGCAGTCTGTGGCATCCTTGACGGATGTTGACGGGCATGATAGGCTCGAACGCGGCGTCGAGTGAGTTCACATTCCGACAAGGCTGGATCTCTTCGTAGACGGCCCGCTAGTGCTCGCACATCTCCGCCCGCATCCGCAAGACCTGTCACAGCAGTAGCTACAGCCTCGGACAGTACTTCTGTTAATGGTTCTCTCCCGCTTGTATAAATAATATCGGCCTCGGACGCATCACTCGTTCGTCTTTCATCTCTCGGAGAATGCGCCACCGGAGCGTCCCATGGCGCGGCTGTGGGGGAACAAATTCGTAGAGGAGTATGGCTGCTAATGGAGGAATCGTGAACAGTAGAGATCTGTGGTAGGAGGTGTTGAATGTTGTCTGACAAGGCGGCAGGATGGCCACGATGGAACTGCTCGTGTGAATGACCTGACAGAATGCAGGACCATGAGTTCAATAATGGGAAGAGATATCTTGGGTTGGTGAGTCTAACTCACGATTGTCAACATTGTCCTCCATGGCTTGGACCTGGCTCACTAGCCGGATGGTTTCATGGCTATTAACTTCTCGGAGTTACCGCGTTTGACCCTGCCGACTTAACTATTGGCGCCGTTTTCTACCACGATCCCGCTCTTTCTGCTTCTTGGACTTGACCGAAACCGATAGAGGCGGCATGATCTCGGGAAGCAAACGATTTCGCGAAGATAAGGGCAGAACGAATCGCACGTTCCTAGATCAGCAGGTTCGTCAAGCCTTTTTCTCTCCCTCTCTAGTTCTGGCGTTATCTTGGTCGTCTTCATTGTTGTTATTCCCTTCACGCGTCGCTGGGACGCGTTTCTTTAATATGCCTGATAAAGGGGCGAGCTTAATTTCGAAACTCAGCACATAATTAGGTGGGCTGACAGGGCTAAGAAACAATTATTGGTTCGGAGGGATAGAAGCGCCTGCTGAGAGAGTTTGCAAGGTTATGGGGAAAAAGCAAATAAGAGGTTATCCTAGTGCATAGTATTTGAAGGCTATTAGACTAAATACAGCAATCTAGGGTAAAAGTAAATAATAATTATAATAAGTAATTATAATAAAAGAGTAAGCTTAGTAATAAAAAATATATAATAATCTTATAAATAAATTAAATAGCCTTTTAATATTATATATATTATATTTTAAATTTATAATATATAAGGTAATAAAGTCTAGGCTATATATAATATAATTATATTTATAATTATCTAGTTATTTGGCCTTTATATATTTATATAATTACTTTATTTAGCTAGATCTGTAGTAAAATAAGACTTACCTTATTTAGATATTATTATAAAGCCTACTAGGGTACTATCTAGTCCAATCCATGCCATTATTAGCCAAAGCCTTAATATATAATTAGTATCTCGAAGTACCCCTATATATATCCATCTCAGCTAGCCGTTTCAGGAAGCCACTGTGGAGGCAGCAAGGATACTATCTGGTTCAAGCCCTCCTTTTATTGGTTTAAGCTCCTGACCAAGTAACTAGGTTATAACGATATTTCAAAAGCAGCCTCCGAGCTTAGACTATACTTTCATCTCAGGAACAGGTTAGAAGCTTTCTTTTATATATTTCTTAACTAAAGATAAAGAAAAAATAGTTTTATAAATAATAATTAGTTAATTATATTCTCTTTTATTATTTTTTATATATATTATTATATATGTAATAATAGTTAGATTTTTATAAAAATAAAATTACCTTTACTAACTACCTGCGCAAATTCCACCAAAGTCCCCCAGAACTCGAGCCTAGGGGGAGCCCGATTCGCATGTCTTATATGTAGCCCACCACGCTAAACCTTTTCTGTCAGCTTATGACCTTTCTGCTTCCTTAACTTCATCTGCTGTGTTCTCTCTTAACACTGTGCAGGGTCTTCCCGCCGGTGCTAAGAATATACAAGCCGGCGTTATGAACAAGTAGTCGTACATGATCGTAACTTGGAGAACAGGACTACGTTCCGCAATGAGTGGGTGCGGCAGCGTCGGCCGCTGACGGACATTACGGCGGAAGAACCCAGATTACAAATGTGTGCGAAGTTGACGGCGCGCAAATAAGCTTTGGGCACCGTCTCCAGATAGAACCGGTTCATCCGATCAGTCGCCGTATAAAGCTTCGAGCACTCCTGATCAGAAAATCGAGACATCCACATCACCTCAACAAGTTCCGACTTAGCCCCAAGTTTTTCGACTATTCATTCAGCATTTTCAATCGTTCATCATGCGTTTCGACCTTCAAACCCTCTTTGTCTCCGCGCTCGCTGTTACCACAGTCTCGTCCACCCCCATAGACGAGCCCAGCATGGTGGAAAGATGTGCCACGACCTGCAGCCAACACTGCTCACCCCGGCCAGCAACTCTAGAGCAGCAGCGAGAAATCTTCGCCAAGTTTGTCGCCACCGCCATCGGCCAACGCGACTTCTACAGGGCGTACAAAACGTTCGCGGCCGACGATATTATCCAGCATAACCCTGCCATCATGTCGGGACTGCAAAATACTCTGGACTTCTTCAACTCGCAGCCTAACCTCGCCAGCACAAAATACACCATCATTAACACCAACTTTGGCGACAACCACATTGGGTACTTCCACTACCGTGCAGACATTGCCCCTGGCGAGGAGCCTTTCGCTGTAGTGGACTTTTACCGCTTCAATGGAACATGTATCCAAGAGCATTGGGACGTGGTCCAGCAGTATGACCCTAACTCGCCTAATCCACTGGCTCTGTTTTGAGAGGAGTAGGCAATGATGCGACCGAAGGGTGCTAGGTTGGCAGTAAAGAAACCTCTACTATCTCAAGATGTAGAGGGCCTGGCGTTTGTGTGGCTGTGACCGGGAAACATGTTGTAGCGAGGTCAAGGTCCGAAAGTAAGGTCTTAGCTCGAGGAGAGCTCAGAGGGCACTGGCACCGGAAAGAAACTAGAAGTAGTGTCTACTGCTATAAAAATGCTAAGCTTTGTTTGTATCCATGTGTTTACGTTCTGCTGTAAGGACGCGGATAACCCGCAGACAGATCGGTGGGCGCGGAGAAGCCCTTGGGAGACAGTTGAGAATGCGGTGTTACTGAAGCTAAAACTGCCTATGCAAGCAGCCATACCCCACGGCCGCTTCACATCAACAGCAGTACCGCCGCCGACAGAATGAACCACGAAGACCCACTTCTACAGGCTTTTCTCGTGTCGACGTCTCCCCCCGTTTAAACCCAAGCGAGCATGGCGAGACTCTTCTATACATCTCCATCCATGAGCTTGCCGCCATTAATAGGTCCGTGACCATGCTCCCTATGCAAATGTACGTTATGGTTTGATTACATTGTCAAATGTACCCATTGGCAGCACCAACCTACCAGGTAAAGCTCTCTCCTTAACGAAACCGACAACTGTGCTCTCGTCTTGGACTACACGCACGGCAAACCACACGCCGTCTGCCAGCGCCCATCTCAAAGTTCAGTTCGTTCTAAGGAAAAGCTTCAGGGTAGGTATAGTTGATTGTGGAGAAGCGGTATGTTGCGGGATCGTGGGGTCGTTGAGTGTGGAAGAGACGCACATCCATTCCAGGGCCGGTGAATTCACCGCCCCTCAGGAATCGCAGGAGCTCTACCTACAGACGACAACGCAATAAGCCAACCTGATAGTCATGTTTCGTTGAAGTCCAGGAAAGTATAGCCGCAAACAACCTCGGCCAATCCTCTTCATGCGCCGATTGCGCGTATATAAAGCAGCCCCCATTGCATGATATGAATGCAGCTCAGTCTTTGTCGCTGTGCCTAAGAAACGAGTTTCAATTTCAAGTCTGCCGAATGGAGTTGAGTTAAGGGGGAATCAGCGCAGCAAAAAGCTTCTAGATAGATAGATCCGAGAATATGCATATATGTATTTTTTATCCGGCAGGCCGTAAAGCCCCAGAAGTCTCCTAAAGGAGCATAGTACATGCTAAGCTAAACTATCTATAATTGCTATTATATCTGACCTCTTCTAAAACACTTATATTATCTACTTATATTAACAGAGAGCTTAGTTACTTAATCCCTAAGTAATACCTTTCTACTTATAGCTAGCCTAATAATAGTTTTAAGTATATTATCTAAGATATTAATATAAATAATAAAAAGAAAAGTTCTTATTTAATTATTATTTTATTTAATATAGTATTAATATTAAGATATAGTATTTTAAAAAGGTATTTTATTAATAAAATTAAATCCCTTTTTATATTTAAAAGTATAAAGTTTATATCTTTTAAAATAACTAATAATTATAATTAAAGTTTTATATTTTTATAAAAAACCCTTATAAAAGAAAAATCTAAGGTACTTATAATATTACTTTATAAGTAAAATAATTATTTTATTTTATAATATCTAAGTAAGTTTTATATTATTTTAACTTAATAATTATATTTAATAATCTTAACTAATATTATAAATTATTAAGGCCTAGTTATATTTTAGGTAGTAGCTAAGGCTATTATAGAAAAGAGGTTCTCTAGGCAGTATATATTCATAGAGGTCAGTCGTGCAGCTTCGAAGCTATGGAAGGCAGGGGGGCACTGAGGCCCTATATGTTAAGGGCCCCAAGAAGGCCCAAGAAGTCGAGCAGCTAATGGCTGCTGGTGTTGTCTAGGCAGCCAAAGCTGCGGAAGTTGGCTAAAGTAGTATAAAGCTATAGGTAAGGACAAGGGTATAATAACCCGGAATATTAAGCAGTAGGGTATTATAAATATTATCTAGGTAGCTAAGGTTATAAAGGTTAGTTATATAAGAAGTTAAAGACAAAAAGCTTAAAATAATAAAGGCTTATAGAGCTAGAATATTAAGGTCTAAATAAGTTATAAATATTATAAAAAAAGAATATTTAAAGACAAAATTAAAAGCTTATAAAGCTTAGTATTATTAAGAATAAGTATTATAAGAAAAATTAACTCTTTAAATTCCTTCTTTCTAATAGCTATTAAAGCCCTATTAGCCATAGAGCTATCCTTGCTATTATTTCAGCCTATAAAAATTCTCTGCCTTAGCAGAATGCTAACAGCGGGTGCCAAGGAATTCTTTTTTACAGAAGAGAGTTGATAGATCCGAGAATGGTCTGTGCTGGGGAGGGAGCCTACAGGGTATGCACTGGCCTGCTGGGACCTGCGGCCGCCTTTCCCGCCCCAGCATAGGCCTTGCGCAATTTGCTTGGGCGGAAGATCCTGCCCTTCCGAGTTTTGCAGTACGCATTGACGATGAATCCTGATTGCAGTGCAGATCACCTCGGATTAAGGGCGTGGGTTCCACTGCCGAGAATCCACAGGCTTCGTGGGACGTGGACAATTATGATAGGTGCCGTTAGGTCCTAATGGGCAACCGGGCGCTTGTGATGCCCGGAGCGGCACAACCACTGTCTATGTCCGCATTGGAATCCGCAACTCCGACACAACAATGACTCGCGAAGATGACTTCGTCGATCGTCCACACCTGGACTACAAGATATGTAAGGGGAACTTTCATTATTTATCCCTGAGCCCGCAATCCTTCGACACACCATTTACCACTTGTGAACCTTTCTCTTCAGGCGCGTTTTGATCATTGCTCGTTATATTATTTCGTATTTAGACATGCCTGTCCTCGTGGCAAGCTGGCCAATGGAGAGCAGCCTCTTCACGACGATAGCTCTCGTCGTAGGCATTGCTGTGAGTAGCATATCCAACCCAGTCATTTTTGGATTGGTAGATGACCGTTTCTGACGCAGGTGCCGTCCTACCTGGTTGTCTCCTCAATCTACTATGCCTACTTCCACCCGCTGGCGAACGTCCCAGGGCCAAAGCTCTATAGTCTCACCAGTTTGCCGTACCTTTACCATGTTGCACGAGGAGATTGGCACGAAACTCTGCGGGTCTTCCACAACCGTTACGGGCCCGTCGTCAGGTTTACCCGAGAGGATGTCTCTTTCATATCATCCGACGCCGTCAAAGAGATCTTTGGCCACAAGTCCGGCAAAGAACAAACGTTCGAGAAGGATACTGTTCGATTCTATACCCCCACGGAGCATCCCAATATCATTAACGGGAACAATGAAGAGCACAAGAGGATGCGGCGTCTGTTGTCGCACGCTTTCTCCGAGAAGGCACTGCGGAAACAGGAGGATATCATGAAACACTATGTTGACCTCTTCATCGACAAGTTGAGGATCAAGGCGGGGGAAGGCACCGTTGTTGACATCGTCCGGTGGTACAATTTTGCTACGTTCGACCTCATCGGAGACCTGGCTTTCGGCGAACCATTTGGCTGTCTGCAAACGGGTGGCTATCATCCCTGGGTAAAAATGATCTTCGAGAGCATTAAGGTATTGGCAATTAGCCAGATCATTCGTCGTCTCAACCTTGATACTTTGATTCCTCTGCTCAGCCCGCCATCACTCAAGCGCAGCGCCAAGCAGCACCGTCAACTGAGCCAGAACACCGCATTGAAACGACTGCAGTCCAAGGACACAGAGCGAGAGGACTTCATGTCTTACATTCTTCGTCATAACGACAATGAAAAGGGCATGACGACGGGCGAGATAGTTGAGAATTCGGTAATCTTGATTGTTGCTGGAAGCGAAACTACAGCGACCCTTCTAAGCGGGACCACGTACTACCTCTTAACTCACCCTGATGTATACGACAAGGTAGTGCAGGAGATTCGTTCCGCTTTCCAGTCGGAAGACGAGATTACCATACTTAGACTCAACCAGCTTCAGTACATGCTCGCGGTCTTCACTGAGGCCTTCCGCATGTGTAAGCACCCCAATGGCCCCACCTGACGAACTATTCTAACTCTTCCCAGACCCTCCGGTTCCAACCCATCTTCCGAGAATGAGCCCGGCCGGTGGTGAATTCATCGGTGGCTACTGGATACCTGAAGGAGTATGTGTTTCCCGACGCTGCTGTCATGCAAACAGCTAATCATTGGTATCTAGACATCTGTGTCTGTGCCTCAATGGTCAGCGTACAGGAGTGAGGTCAACTTCCGTGACCCAGATATCTTCGTCCCAGAGCGCTGGCTTGATGATGCTCGCTATAGCGAGGATAACAAAGCCGTTCTTCAGCCGTTCTCCGTTGGACCCCGCAACTGCATCGGCAAGAAGTAATTTGTTCCCAGTATGTTCGACTACGAACTCTGAGCTGACTCTCTCCTAGTCTGGCCTATGCCGAAATGCGAATGATATTGGCGCGCTTGCTCTGGAAGTTCGATCTCGAGATGATGCCCGGCGGCGAGAACTGGAACGACCAGAAGGTCTTCGTGCTGTGGGAGAAGAGCAACCTTGATGTGAAACTGACCGAAGTTATCCGAGACTAAGTGTTATAATAGCAAGCGGATTGACATTTTACAGGGAATCTATACATCTAGTTAGACTTAACTGCTAGACATAAAGTTACCTTGCCTAGCATCTAGAGACGAGAAGAAGTAGGGTAATACCCTACATCTCTATGGATTTATTTACTTTCGATGAAAGTGGACGTTTCGTATTATTATTAGCTAATAATCCTTATATTAACCTTATATTCTACTTTTACCTAAAAGAAGGTTTTTAATATATATACTTAGAGTAAGGTTTAAGCAAAAGCAGTAATCTTATTATTTTATTAATTAACTTTATTTTGTTTTATTTAAAGAGTTTTAATTTTAAGCTATTTAAATAACTTAAATATATTAATATATATATAATATATTTATTTTAGCTGCTTTTATATTTAAGGATATAAGCTTTAAGTAATTATAGAGTTTTATTATTATTACCCTTTTAAGCTATTTATAAGTATTAATCCTAAAGTTAAGATATTTAAATTAGAAAAAGGCTATTTAAAAGTACTTAAACTAATTATATTATAATTACTAAAATAAGTAAAATAACCTTATAGCTCTAATATACTTATAAAAAATGCTTTTTAATTATATAGATTTTAGCTTATATTAAGCATTAAGATATTACGGCCTATATAGCTATATTATATAGCCCTTATAATTTCTACTTATTATAAAAGGATTACTTCTCTTAGTAATAATCCTCTTCTATTAAATTACTTAGATTATAATACTTTAAGATTAAATTATTATAAATTACTAATAATCCCTAGAGATCTAATCTTTAGATTACTATTATTCCTTATTAAGCTATTAGGCTACCTTTAGTATATAAAAACATATTTATTAATACTTAATATTATATCTTATATAATTTATAAATATAAACCTAGTATAGACTAGTTTACCTATTTAAAAAACTTAATTATTATATATTAATAGCTTTTATTTAGAATATACTATATAATACTAAGTAATATTAATATAATAATACTTATAACTTTAATTTAGCCTTTTAACTTAAGATATACCTAGTACTACCTGCAGTAAGAGATATCTCCTAACCTAGAAGATATTCTTATAAAGATTAATAATAAAAATAAAGAAGATATTACCCCTGCTTATTTAAGTACTTATAAAGGGGAAGTTATAAAACTTAAATATAAACTTAAATATCTTAGCTAGTAATATAATAACCTCTTAGAAAATATAAAGAATAGCTTTAATATAGCTAAAAATAAAATTAAAAACCTAGAAAAGAAGATAGCTAACCTTACTAAGATTATAGAGGCACTTAAAAAGAAAGCAGAAAATAGTTAGAAACTCTATAAAGAATATATTAAATATATTATAGCCCTTATAATAATAGGAAAAGACCTTAAAGAAATCCTTTAATTTTACTAACTTAAATTATTTAATAGTAATATTAATAAACTTTAAGGATTCCTTATTAGCCTCTAAAGCTATTAGATATATTACTTTATTTAGTTTATTATTAATAAATTAAGAGTTTAATATAGTATAAGATTCCTTAAAGATAAAGCGCTATAATTAATAAAACCTATTATTTAAGATTATATTAGTAAATTATATAAAGAATAATAGGAAATAATAAAATATATTTATAAGAAATATAAAAACTTTAAATTAAAGCTTAAAAATGGCTTTAAAGTAATAAATAAAAAACATACTATAGAAATAAAAGTATAATAGCTTAAGTAAAAAGGATTTATTATAAACTATCTAGCTAAATACCGCTACTAAGTAGCTAAGCTAAACTAGGGCAAAGAAGCTTATATAGCGTAGGTATATTTAAGATTAAAGTTAGAAGTTAAGGATATAATAATAAATATTAGACCTAAACTAAAAAACCTAAATAAACTAGTAAATATTACTATAGAAATTAATAATTAATAATATAAGTAATGCTAAAAAAAGCAAGCTAAAAGATATAAAGGAATATATAACCCTTAGTAAAATACTAATAAATAATAAAATACTAATTAAGGAAGAAGGAAATATATTAATATATAATATAAAACTAAACTAGGACCTATAATACTAAAAGTAATATAATATAATAATAATAAAAGACCTTATAATATATTTAAGTTAAATACTATAATTATAATTAGTTAAGATATATTGCTAATAAGTATCCTTAATTAAGAAAGCCTAAAGACCTTAATCAAGGTAAGTAAATACTAATAGTAATTAATAAATAAGAACCCTAAACTGCTATATAAACCTAAGTATTAAGAATAATATAAAGCCTATATAATATAATAGCTTTATATAAAGGTATTATATTAAAATATAAATAATACTTATATTTAAATAGCTTAATCTGCAAACTATAAGAAAAGTTTTTAATAAAAAAAGATATTAAAGTAGGAAATATACCTTAAATCCTAATACTATATAAGATAAAGGCAATTAAAAACTAAAAAGAATAGTAAAAGAACCTAAAAAATTAATAATAAGAAAAGGAAAAGGACTATACTTACTACCTTAAGAGAAAAGAAAAGAAGAAATATAAAAAGATAAAATAAATTAAAATCCTTAAGATAATAAAGGAAGAGAGACCCTTAAAGTAAGAAATTAAGAAATACTTAAAAAACCTATAGGGAATAAGAACTACCTCTAATATAAGAAAATAACCTAAAGTATTTAAGATAATTAATATTATCTTAATTTAAATAACTATTTAAGAAAAAGAAGAAATAATAAAGAAAGAATATAAAGTAGGAAATAAGGTTTATATATATTATTAATAATACTCTTAAAGTATAAGATATAGAGGATGGGCTGTATAAAATATTATATAATACCTTTATAAGGAAGATAAATAAATTAAAAATAAGTAAAAGTAACCTTATAAATTACTATTTAATAAATATAATAGTAAGATATATACCTTAATAGAAAATAGATATTTATAAGGAGCTAGGAAATATAGTAATATTAATAAGCTTAAGAGCTTATATATTTAGGCTTATTATATAGCAAATACTATAAACCCTTATTATAAGGAGCTAAAATTTAATACTAAAGATATTATAAAAACATTTTTAACCTACTTAAGATATAATAAATTATTATAGCTATCTTATAAATACTATTAGTATAAGGAATATAAATAAGATAAAGAAGATAATAATTACTTTCTTATTATAATTTCTAGTATACTTAATAATAACCCTTATTAAAAAACAGAAATAAAAGATATTTAGTATATTATTAATATAAAAACCTTAAAGTAATAAAGCTATAATTTTATATATTATATTACTATAAGATTTAAAGAAATAAAAACTTCTATTAAGAAGCCCTATAGATAATAAAAATAATTAAAAAAGCAAAAAGAGAATTTAAAGATCTAGCTTTAGAAGACTATAAGAAAGAAGAAAGCAAAAGGAGATTTAAACTTATTAACTTAAGGAAATATAAAAAAGGAAAAGAAAAGAGTTTATTTAAAAAGCATATAAATAACTAAAGGAATATCTCTAAAATAAAAAGAATAAATTTAAGACTATAAAAGAAAAATACCTCTTTAAGCCTATTAACCTTAGGAAAGGACTTAATTAAGTTCTAATTAATAATAAATAATCTAAATAAGGAATTTCTCTAGATAAATAAGATATAGAATTAAAAAAATATTTTTAATAGTATTTATATAATAAAGAATTTATAAATAACTCTTTAAAGGAAAAGGAATATATTAAAGAATGCTAAAAGGGAGTTAATTATAATAATAAAAAATATAAGTTACTTTATTAAACTAGTTTAAGAAAAGTAATATGCCTTTTATAATAATAAAGCTATAAAAAAGTAATAGATAAAGATAAAAAAGACTTAAACTAATAAGTACTTTAGGAGCTATATAAAATAGTAAACCTAATTGCCTAGTATTATAAGCTTAAATTAAGGGATAATAGCTAAATATATAGATTAATAGTAAAGTAAAGAAGAACTTTATTAATTTAAGAATAGTTATAAAGTTAGGAATACTATAAAGAAAGAAATAATTACTATATTAACTTATTAATATAGAAGGGTAACTCTTTAATTATAATAATAATATAATAAATTAAGAGATTAATTACCTTAAGGTCCTTATTAAAGGAAAAAATTAAGAAATAAGTTTTAATATTATTTCTTTAAGAGAGGAGATAGATATTATCCTTAGAATAAACTAGCTTAAATAATAAAACCTATATATTAACTAGAGGACTGGCTAAGTTATATTTTTTAATAACCTTAATAGTAATAGTAAAATAATTATAAGAAGTAATAAGAGATCTTAATTTATAACTAAGAAGATAAGTATAAATTAATATAAAGTAAAGACTTTACTACTTCTAAAAGGAGTATAATATAAGTATAAAATAGGCTAAAAATAAAAATTAGAAATCCTAAGTATCCTTAAATAATAAGACTTATAAAAGGATAAAACTATAATATTAAGCCAGGACTAATTTAAGAATATTTTAAAAGAATATTAAATATATAATAAACTATTTAAAGAAAAACTAAAGATAGAAGTCCCTAAATATAGTAAATAGGATTATAAAATTAATCTTATAAATAAAAGACTATTATTCTAAAGGCTATACTTACTTAATTAAAGAAAACTATAAGTTTAATAAAAATATATTAATAAGATAATAAGGAAAGGTTATATTAGAGAATTAAGTTTATTAGTAGTATTAGTAATATTTTTTATATTAAAGAAAAATAAAAAAGATTAACTAATTATAGACTATTAACTAGTTAATATATATATTACTAAGGATTAAACCTTACTTTTACTTATAATAAAACTTAAAGACTAAGTATAAGGCAAAAAGATCTTTATAACTCTAGACCTTAAGGAAGTATATAATCTTATTTATATTAAGGAAGGAAATAAATAGAAAACAGTATTTAAAACCAGATTTAGACTATTTAAATACTTAGTAATGCCTTTTAGTTTTATTAATATACTTATAATA